TAATCGGTCTTTAGCTTTCCCGACTTCTTACTGTGAATGTCAAAATGTCATTGACGGAAAAGAGGAAAACAAAATTTAGAGCTTACCCAGATTGGGGAGCGAAGTTAGTATCAAGAGTTATTTTCAATCCCTTGGCTAGTTGATCTTCAACGCTGACTTCAGTTGCCAAAACATTTTCGGTTGTCCATTTTTCAGTGAAGGTCAATTTATGCTTCTTGACTTTATATTTCGTTTCGAGCGACCCTCCGACTTTAGCATTTTCGTGGTTAGATGAACCATTAGAGGTAAATTCTACACCACTGTTCGTGCGAGTTTTGACTTCCAATTTGTAGAAACCATAATCTACAGAAATTACGCATTATTTATATATCAATGGAAATTACTATTGTCTTACTTACTAAATCCTTTATTAAATAAATCTCTGGCGGATTTTCCCAGATCACTGTAAGAAGGTGGAATAACTGCCATTTTTTTTAATAGAGTTGTGTAAAATTGACTGTTGGGAGGACGGAAATTTTAGCATATATGAGGCAATGAAGCCGACAAGGTCATAAAGAAAAGGACAAGGACGACTAATGTCGAAAAATTCGTAAATATATAACAAAAAGTATGTGCTAACGTTGGCTTTATTAATTGGTAAGAAAGAAAAACTAAAGAATAGCAGTTCTTGAGATAAAGAATTCAAAAAAAAAGACTAACCTTTATTAAATGGTCACGCCGTATAACCTTAGCCACTTCCGGTAAAAGTGAATATTATTTTCGGAGGAATTTGTACTAATATTTTCTTAAATATTTCTAAAATATTTCAATAAATAATATTTATTTTAATTAATAAAATGCTCTATCTAATAAAATTGATAAATGAGATACGAAAAAAGTAGGTATGGTTAGTTTATGTGTGGAAAAGCGATCTGGCGAAGCAAAAGCAGGTATAGGCCCAATTTACGAAAGAAATTATATCCCTGTCATATGAAATCTTATGAGTTTCAGAAATGAAATTAATTTCCATGAAATAATAACTTTAAATCAAATTTATAGAATCAACTATAAATATTGATAAGATATAGTTAATTATCTAATGCAATTTTTGCACCTGCTTATTATAGATTAATTAGCATTCTCGTTGAAGAATAAATGAAAATTATATCTAATTATTAGTTTAAAAAATTACTTTTTAAATATAGGTTTGATGTATTTGATAAAGTGTCCATATTTTATCGGTTAGAACATTAACCCTGCCAATTATAAAATTTGAAATCGAATGCAGCATGTGGCATATATTACCATCGCTAAACTAAAGAATATTAAATATCAATATCTGTAAAGAGTATAAAAAACTTTCAAAAAATTCTTACACTATATCTAGATGGCATTTCGCTGTTATCTATATCCTGTTAAGTAAAAGGCTTAATACAAATATATATATATATATATATATATGTTGTTTGCTAAATTCGATCGATAGAACATTACTATTGTCCTCTTTACTGTAAAGGACTATATTTTTGATATTAGACGGTTACAACAGGTGTGTCTATTATTCTTATTTTTTATTATATTCTAATCAATAAAAGTTTAAAAAGTATATTATATTATGTCTAGTTCATTGTCTCTAGCCATCTCCACCTATTTTTTAATCATACCGCGAAAATCCTCTAAGTTTGCTTTGGCAAAGCAGAAATTTGTTAAATTTTATAATGTTCTAAGTTTATTTAATAAATGTTAAAAAAATATATAAAATAATATATTTATATATTTTTTTTTTAAAATAAAGAATTAGATATAGTGAGAATCTCTTAGTAAGATGAATTCAAAGGGCGATAATGGAAGAATATTTGAAGAAACATGTGTTGTTGACTGGACATGCGATCAAGTATCTTCATGGCTTCAACAAACCGGTTTTGGTTGTTATACGGAACTCTTTACAGTGACACATAAAATTGACGGAAAAGCTTTACTAACGTTAACGGAAAATGATCTTAGACAAGCCCCACTGGCCATCAAAATTCTTGGAGATATTAAAAAGTTGATGATAAATATAAGTAATCTTCGATCTAAAAATCGTAATGGGCTACAAACACTTGGCTTGGACAACCATTCACGAAAATACTATCATAGTTTATCAACCACTGAGCTATTAGAGGTTGAAACGAAGCATATTTCATCTCAGTTACTACCGGAATACTTCAAATTGATAGTCTCTTACTTTTACATGTCGATTTCATTTATGATAACAGCATTTGTTATGGTAATTGTACATGATAGAGTACCAGATATGAAAAAATACCCTCCCCTACCTGATATTGTCTTAGATAACCTTCCTTATATCCCATGGGCTTTTGACTTGTGCGAATTTTGTGGAGCTTTTCTTATGTTCCTTCTTGTATTGATTTTATTTTTTCATAAGCATCGGTAAGTTAGAATTATTGTTAATTAACTTTACTTTTTATTTATATTTTCTTTGCTCTCCCATAGTTTTATTATTATGCGACGCCTTTTTGCTATATCTGGAACCATCTTCCTTTTGAGATGTATCACGATGCTAATAACGTCGTTGTCTGTTCCAGGAGCACATTTACAGTGCGCCCCCAAGGTACAAAAGCATATTTGTACAAAATATAAAATTTATTAAATTAATAATAATTATATATGTATAACAGTCATATGGCGATCTATGGGCCAAACTTAATAGAGCATTCGTCATTTCGAAAGGATTTGGGATGTCATTGCAGGGTGTAAGAACATGCGGAGATTATATGTTTAGCGGTCATACAGTTGTGATAACCATTCTAAATTTTGCTGTCACTGAATATACTCCTAAAAGATTTTACTGGATCCAAACTGTGTCTTGGATAACCAATATATTTGGAATATTTTTTATATTAGCGGCTCACGAGCATTACTCTATAGACGTATTTATAGCGTTCTATATAACTAGTAGATTATTTCTATATTATCATACTTTGGCTGGTATAAATCGTAAACCAAGCGTCTCGTCAACAGTATGGTTCCCGCTATTCTCCTACTTCGAATCTAATATAGATGGACCTTTACCAAACGACTACGAATGGCCATTAAAATTTAATGAATTAAAACTGTCTATACAAGGGTTTTATAAACGTAAAATGTCTTAGGAACGAAACCAAGATGACCAATTTTTCATTAAAAGAGAAAGAAAATATTAAAAATGCATGTGATACATTTGTTTAAAAATAAATTAATATTTTCTAAAAAAGAAAGCACTCTTTTCTTAATTTAATAAATATTAATATAATTTTTGAATATTTACCTTGATAAGTCATGCGAGTGTATTATCATAGGATATCCGTCTAGTGAGTACCTTTACTAAGTAGCGCGTGGGAAAAAAATGGTTACGCAAGACGAAGAAAATTTGTCACACGGATAAACTCTTGATAAAATCTATTATTTCCCCTACAACGTATCAAATTTATCGGGCTAAGGACCGAGAGGCGGGGCTTGCATGGGAAAATATTACCGTGGGATGTGACAAAAAGGGGTGTTTCGCAACATTTCCTATAAAACCTGATAAGAAGTGTGGGTGAATTTATTTGCGCTCCAGACAGCCGTCCGAGAGAACAATGACCGACATGAGTGTACAAAATGTCTATGCATTGCCAAATTGCCTTTTTTCGGATGAATCAACGGCTCCTAGTCCTTCTAATTCTCCTAAAATTGTTAAGGAAGGTAGGTCTCCGTGTTAATTTATTAGTTAATTACTCGAAAAGCCTAATAATATTGGTAAAAACTGAACGTTTTGAATATAGACACTTTTGACGCTGAATTCTGGACGGGAGACGACGCCATGGAAAAACTACTGGATACCGTTCAAATGCGAGAAAAGGCTGGAGATTTTGAAAAAGTAATGAACAAAGTTCTAAGTAAGATGGACGAAGTTCGTGCGAAAACCCCGTATCAAGGTCCAAGGAGAGTTTACGGAGAATTTCAATGTTCGAATTGCAAGAAAAAATGGGTAAGTGGCTATAGCTGGGCAAATACTGCTCAACTATGCGCTAATTGTAAATGTGAAGTTTTTCCACACGTTCAAAAGAAGCTAATTAAAAGTAATGTTCCATTGGACGAAGTACCGATTATGCATAAGAGTGAATTATGCAAAAAATGTATTGAATCAGGTCATTTCTGCCGTAGATTACGTTTTACTTAATGAATAAAGTAAGAAAACCACCATAACGGCCAATGAAATGCAGTTTCGATGAATTTTGTCCCAGTTAGTTCTTCGTTCTCAGTATTTCTTTTATTTTTCTCATTTTCAAAAGTGTTCAATGTTTATTTTATTCTTTCGTAATTTTTTTTCTTCGTAAATTTTTTAGTTCGTTAGAACAAAAATAATGAGAAAAAAAAAAACAAAATACGTTACTTTTTCCCATCGTATCACGTGACTTTTCGTTTTTTTTTGATGAATAAAAAAGCTTATGGAATTTATAATTCTGTTGTTTTTTTTTATTATTATTTTAGTTATATTCATTAACTATGCGGCTTTTTATAAGACGAATATGTTAATTTTCATAAAAACCAGGATTCTAAAAATATAGTTGGTTACATAAAACGTTATCATACGATGCGGATGCACGTTGTAAGACTTATTTTAATAAAATATGCTCAACGCCATCTATTGGGAAGAATATGATTTTCTGCTGGAGATAGTAAAAGTTTGTTGGAAAAGGTTAATTTAGTATATGTTCACCTTTTCTTTGGAGGTCGAATAAGCATTTGCCAGGAGCGGCTATATTACGTGTAAGAAAAATATAAGGATTACTAGGGAATGGTTATTGATATTTTCTCTCATTTGGCACTTTAGACTATTAAAGTTTTCTTTTGCTAAGCCTAGACAAATCTCAATTAGAAAAGAAAACAAACAAGACGAGATGTTTTCACTCGGTCTACTCTCTCGAATGGATAACGCTGACTCAATCGAGATGGAGGAGGAAATAGAGAAACTCTTTGAAAATGCATCAAAACTAAATGGAAAACCAACAGAAGTAACTCCTTATCTTTACATCGGTAATTATAATAACGCTTACGATACTGCTCTGCTTAAGAAATTGGGAATAACACACGTCCTAAATTGCGCACAACTTCTTCCTGCAAACCCGTATAAAGGACACGAAGAGTTGACTGGAGTAAGATTTTACTGCCAGTTCGAGGCTAGAGATGACAATTCGTACAACCCTTTACAACATTCGAATTTGGTCGCAAAATTTATTGAACACGCCCGCGCTGGAAAAGGTAAAGTTTTACTGCATTGCATCAGAGGCGTGAATCGTAGTGTTTGTTTAGCTTTGGCATACTTAATGGAGCATCAAGGTTGGAATTTATTGGAAGGAGTTAAATTTTTAGCTGAAAAACGAGGAAAATGTCTTGAAAATAATAACTTTCGTCAATGTTTAATCGAGCTTAATTCAAAAATAAGAACAGCGTCACTATAAATTCTTCTTTGGAACAGATTTATAAACTTACATATTATTATATATCAATCTTATGGATTTACAGTACAACAATTAGTATTGGATTATTATACAATATATTTCAAAGGCCTTAATTTATTAAACTGTGTAAGGACCATACGATCAAGCGATTATCCTAACTACGCATTAAACTAGGCTGCATACAAAGCATTTTTTTTGCAGTGGGCAGAAAAAGAATGCGGTTGAAAGAAGTATGATTCCCTCAGTCAAAATCTAAGAATATCCTTATTTTTGCCCTCCTAAAAAATTAAAATAATGTTCCCTATACTTCTCTTTCTTTCCGCCAAATTTATATTGGTATGTTTTGCAACTGTACCAATCATAAATATTGATAAAAGTATGAATTACTATCTCGTATACCGTATATTAATGATAAAGAATAAAATTTTCATTTTTGCACAATATATATTAGTATAAATATAGAGTAAACATATATTATATATATATATATAATATAGGTTATACCTGTTATTATTTATTGATAAATCAATGATTGCCAGGATTATACAGATAAATAATATTTTCAATATATACAATATGTACATAATATATAAATAAAAATCTGTTGTATTAATAAATATTGATGGAAAAACTGCAACTTTCTGTCTTGTTTCTATTTTTACAAATGTAAATCAGTTTAAATACATTTCTCTATTAAAGTTAATATAAAAAGTAATTCAATATTTCTATTCATTTGAATAAAAACTACTTATTAATAAATGTATTAAATTATAAGCAAGATTTGTATTTTATAAATAACTTCTTTAATTAGAATATACTGGATCAAAACAAAAACTTTATTAATATTTATATAAGATATCTTTGATTATAGATAATGCGAAAGTTAAACCATTACATGTTTATATTACCTATATAAAACGACAAATTTTGCAATGAAAGACAGAAAATAAGCATGGAAATATAATCAATAGGGCTATAGGTAATATTCAATGCATAATCTAGGTAATAAGTATTTCTCAAAAGTACGCCGTTTGAATGGTCAATTCACCAGTAGTTGACTCAAAACAGATTTTTATCATTTACCTAACCTTGAACTCTTCAGAAATATATTTAAAAACCTCATGTAGAATAACATAGATTAAGGAATATTTTGTTATAATTAATTTGTCTCATAGAGGGCGTTTATGAAATTTTTTAAAAAAATATCCTTTTCCAAGAAGAGAATTGAAAAGAATTGTGTTAGTTTTCTAGTTGAGCAAGTGTACTTATTACAAAGCATAATATTATTATTTTTTTTCTATTTAGTAACTAATATTGTAATTAACCTTCTATGTATTATGCATATTCATAAAGTAATAATAAGGCTGGTTTTTGACTAATAACCCAGATTGAACGCACGATATACGAAGACGATAAGTAACTCAAGAAGTTTGAACAAACAAATCTCCAGTTACAATTATATTTGTAACCTGGCTTATACTCGTTCAAACAACCAAATATGAAAATTTAAAAACAAGGTACTTGATCGATTCCCGCTAGATGTCGTTGAATTCGTTAAATGCCTGGTCTAAAATAGTTGGCATTCAAGAACGCATTAAGCGTAAACATTCTTTTACGTCGCTGTTTATTTTTGGTTGAAGACGATCAGTTTTTTATTCAATATCCTGCGCTGAATAGTACCGCAAAAAAACGCACTGGGACAGGACTTTATAACGAAAAAAATGAACGTTATCTACCTCACACTTGTCTTAATTGGATCATGCAGACTTGGATTATTAACAGTAAACCATCAAAGTCCTACTTGTTCAGGTGGGTAACAAAGAGTAAGCGATGGAATTAAGAATTAGAGGCTATAAAAATCTTTTTGTAGCATTTTACTTTTTGTGTATGTTAGTAACGGGAAACGTGTTCAAAAAATGCTTAAACAGCTACGTCCTGTACTGAAAAAGAAAACACTCAACGCAGATAAAACGTATTAAATAAATACAACTTTTCAAGTAGAAGCATGCAAAATTTATTTTCTAACACCTGCATATTTATGTTCAGGGATTGCTGATATCCGTATTGTGGAACAGCCAGAAAATCGAACGATTGCTTGCGACCATACTGACGAATGGCCGATTAACTACGAACCGAAGGATGTTAAAGTGATAATAGAATGGTACCACAACGGAACGTTAATGACTGAAGATTACAATCAAAGATTGTTAGTAGCTTTACATAAGCTTTCCTTGAAAATGTTAAACGCTTAAATAAAAAAAAAAGTTAAAAAGAGAGACAAGAGATAAAAATTATCGTACTTTAAAACTGCACTAACTCAACTTTCTTATTATATTAGTTTATTACTATTTATTAATAATATTTTATTCTTATTTTTTTCTAATTTTGTAGGAATGAAGCAAAAAATCAAATGGAATTTAGACCCATAGTAATGCGCAATTGTGGCACTTATTATTATCGTATTATGCCAAATTTTGCGTATTATAACTGTTCGGAACCACAACCGAAAATATGGATTAAAAGTCGAACATTTCACGTATTCCTTCATTGTAAGATTAATTTCTTGATTTAATAAACATATACAGTATACTACTTATATATACATATACTTTTTTTTTATTAATTTATAGCTCCAGCTAAAATAACAAGCTTTATAAAAAATCGAATAGTAAGGAACGGAACTGTTATAACAGCTACTTGTGATGTTCAGGGTTCACCCCTACCTAAGATTAAATGGCTCATAAATAATAAATTGGTTAGTAATTTTCCATATTTTTATCGTTAAAATTTTATTAGGATCACAATAAGTATAACTAACATTGTTTTTCTTTTATGGGTCAAAGTCATAAGCAACGTGAGAAAATCAAAGCAGTTTAGCTTGATAAAAAGAGTATTAATTTTAAATCTGTGCAGTGTTTTAATCTCGTAATTATTTTTCAAAGATTATTGTTATAAGATCAAAGTATACAAAAAAAGGAATCTTTTCTTTATATTTAATCAAGCCTTTATAGGTTTAATATAAAATTAGTATTCAAAACTTGAGCTAAAAGCAATTTAAACAAAGATCCTCCAGGGTAGCTAACAACAATTAAACAACAATTGACCTCTGTTTAAAAAAAATCAAATCACGTGGCCAACAACCATTTGAAAGTTCGTTATTTATCTTATCTGCCTACCTACTTCTCTTACTCTCTTACTCTGTCTCTTTTTGTTCAATTAGTCTTTATTTTTTTACTCTATTTCGGTCGTCCGGGGGTCGATTTATCGAACACTCTTTCGTTAGAAATTATCTGAGAAGACAAATATAGGCCTACTGTAAACAAGTCAATATGCGTCAAAATAGTTGAAATTCCGCGGAGATTTTACTTATACTTTAAAGTGGAAGAAAATATAGAAATTTTATTTTTTTATGCGTACAGCTTGAGAAAGAAACCACGACTGGAAAATTCAACTCGACAATTGAAATAAAACCGCGTTTTTCTTCGAATATCACATGCCAGGCAGTTAATATAGCAGTTTATGACACTATGGGAAATAAACGTAAGGAAACTGACTCGTCTACCGCAACAATTACAGTCAGTGAGTACAAAGAACATTATATATTTCTCTAATATTAAATTTCCGTGTTATAATTTCTTAAGTTACGTAACTAGTTCCTTTTATATTCATGAACGCAAACCAAATATTCTATTAAAAAAGCTCTCTATTTAGAAAGAGGAGACAGAGTTTTGAATAGGCTCGTTAATATATTGTATAGGAATATAGATAAAGCTTATTGAAAGACTTTTTTCATAAAATCCCTACTTGCATTGCTTATATTATATAAACATATAAATGTACTGTTCAAAAAAGATTTCTTATATATACAGAATATATTATAGATTTTTACGAACTAATTAACATTACTATAGTCATATTAAAACTGGGTTATTAATATTTCTATAACATTACTATTGAAGGTATTCGCTTAAATTTGGATATATAGTTCGTGTCTTAGGGTATTGATGGCGGAATGTTAGACGTCTAAAGTTTTTACTATAATATTGTTTAATTTTTTTTCATATTGCACCTTTACTCTACAACTCTACAGTTCCGAAGTAAGTATTTTACAAGCTATAGTATTCATGTATTTAAAAAATTTCTTAGTGGGCTTGGTCGTTATAGACTTTTTATTTAGATTGTACTTAATCGGGGAGTGGAATAGAAGGAAATAGTGAGTGAGTGTTAAGGGGAGTGTTAGGAAGGAAGGAAGGAAGGAAAGAATGGGGTGGGAGACAGAGGCAGATATAAAGTGAGAGAAGGGCGGGGGGGGGGGGGAGGACACGGGGTTAAGAAAACTCTTTATAAAATTCAATATACAGATGACAGATAAGTTGATAAGAATAAAATAAGCTGGAAATTGATCAGACATACCATAACACTTTTTTAAAAAATTAATCAGATTTGGATACAGTGAGCGTATACAATTCAAATCGTTCAAAAACTCCTTTTGAACAAAATAAAACAAATATTAAACACAAATTCGACTTAGCATGTATTCTCAATTTTATATTTGTCTGAAGAAAATACGTTTAGTATTGCGATCAAGGGAATTTTGTTACAATTTATCTTCTAAATTTATCTTCCATATTTTAATTGTCTTCTTTTTCTTACTTTTCAGTAATTATTGTAGTCCATACAAAGGTAGCTTCTGTTCTTTTCAACTAATGAATAGGAATGTTTACCATAATATAACTGAAGATATACGCCTTAAGGATCGCGAAAAATTTGCCGCTAAACTTTCGGGTTTAGCTAATGAAAAGGATGAAATGTGTAGATCATCTGTTTCGAAATTTGCTTGTCACTCTTTATTTCCCGACTGTAACGTAGACAGGACATCTAAGTCAGAACCGCTTGTTATATGTAAAGAGGATTGCCTAACTATGACACGATTCACGTGCTTACCTGAAACGTTTGATACATTCCTACAGGAAGTTGAAAAATCGTTCAAAAAGGATCCGTTTATTATATCGTTAGTGAAACAAATGACCAACTGTGATAGTTTGCCTTCTTCAAAAGAAGGTAAAGCATGTACTTCTATGAATCTATTTCATTTGGAAAAGGAAAAAATAACGACGGATTGCTACAAAGACGATGGACGATACTATAATGGAACAGTTTCTAAAACTGCTAGCGGAATAGAGTGTCTGCCATGGGATCATCACGTGCCAAGAAAACTTCGCTACCATTCAGAATATCTTCCTTTGCTTCATGAAAACTATTGCCGAAATCTCGGAGGTACAAAAAAGCAGCCATTTTGCTACCCAATAACCGGTGACGCTCTTTTTGAAGTTTGTGATGTTGCTGTATGCGAAGAAAAAAAACCTATCTCTAAAACTCAAGCTGGATTTTTTCAAAATTCCACAAACATTATTGTATGTGCCTGTCTCTTGTTGATAATAATACTAGTACCCACAATTATTTTTGTTGTATGCCGTTCTAGAGGTAATAAAGAGAGGTATTCGCCAGCTCCTAGTATGGAATTAGAGCACTGGAATATTAAAGAAAATGTTAACTATCATCAAGAAACTGAAAGATTTCAATTAAATCCAGTTTTAAAACGCCTAGAGTATGATCGAAATCAAATTATTTATGAAAATGATATTGGCGAAGGAGCTTTTGGTCAAGTGTTTTTGGCGCAAGTAAAATTGGGAAAAGAGAATGCAAAAACCAAAGCTGCTATTAAGGCATTGAAAGAGGACGTCTGTCACCAACGATTTAGAGATTTTGAAAGAGAAGCGGAGCTATTAGTAATGTTTGATCATTCTAACATTGTCAAGCTATTGGGTGTATGTATGGTAAAAAAACCATATTGTTTAATAATGGAATACATGAAATATGGCGATTTAAACTCTTTTCTTCGCAAATCCGATCCAGCTTATAAATTTGAAGCTGAGGAAGAGTCTTTCTGTGATTTAAGTGATTATCAACGAGTATATATATCTTCACAAATTATTGACGGAATGGACTATCTAGCCTCAAAATGCTATGTCCACCGTGATCTTGCAACAAGAAACTGCTTGGTAGATGACGATTTTATCACAAAGATCGGTGATTTTGGTTTAACAAGGGCAATGAAAAATGGATCATGCTATCAAGGATCAACCGACGAAGCAATTCCTGTAAGATGGCAACCATTTGAAGCAATTATGCATCAAATTTATACCCAACAATCGGATGTATGGAGCTTTGGCGTTGTTCTATACGAGATATTCAGCTATGCTAAGCAACCTTATATGGGTTTGACACATAGCCAAGTAATTGATTTGCTTAAAGATGGAGGAAGACTAAGGGCGCCTGAGAAGATGCCGAATTATATAGAAACTATAATGAATCGCTGTTTAAGAAAGAGTCCTCAAGACAGACCTGTATTTAGTCAACTTGCTGAAGAGTTTGTTCAAGCAATTCAAATTACTCTTGGTAATATAGAAGACCAAAATTTAAACGATTCCTTTGTGAACGGATCACCTTTAGAGTCTAAATCTAGCAGTAGTTCAAAAATTTAGAAGCTAATTGTGTCAATGACAGAATCCATTTTCTTAGAGGGAAAGCATAAATATATAAACTGAATTTTACTGTGCCAAACACCCGACTTTTTATCTATTATAATTTGTTTGTTTACGTTTGCTAGTTTTGTCTATATGATTGTGAAGTTTTTTTTTCGTTTTGGTGCTATAAAAGCTAATTAATTGTCACAAATCTGATATTAAATGAGAAATTTTATTGAATTTTTTTATTGAGTTGACAGTTAAGTATTTCTTAACGTTATAATTAAAGAGCAGAAACATTTAAGTATAATCATTCAAGTAACTCAATTGATCGGATTTAATAACTAAATCAGATATGAAAGGCCGAATAACAATAGGCCTAAAACTATATATTCTAATATATATATATATATATATATATATATATATAAATACAGCATGTAAGCGTGTGGGAAACTATGAAAAAGAGAAGGACGAATTTAGGAAATTCTTTACAAAAATATTCCGATTTGAGAGTATCGTAACCTTGCGAAAAAGGAAAATGATTGAGGAGGGCGGGAAAGGGTAGACAGCTGAATAGCTTTTTTTTTTTAAAATTCTCTTTTCAGTATGTTTTTATTATCCACGTTGAACATTTCAAAGGTTTTTCTCCTACGCAAGAAATTCTTTCTATCCCACAAAATTATACGGGTGAAAGTTAATTTCTTTCTTTTCTAATACTATAAACTTCTTTTCAGACCACCCGACTAGTTAGCTTTTGTCAAGTTGTCTCGGTTGGACTACTCTATAAGGTAGTTGCCTCTTTAAATAGAAAAAGAGAAGAGAATGCACTCAATTGACATGTTTTTGAACTTTCGACTTTATCGCTTGATCGAAAATTTCCAATAAATAAATACTTTTTGAACAGTAATCACTATAGAAAGTAGCTTTTATACAGATGGCACTAAATTCAACGTATCTTTCTACCATTTCTTTTCGTTTTGTTGAGCTAGGAACATTGAAATAAAATGTGATAAAACTTTCTTTGATCATCTTATTATAGTTTAAGGATGTTTTTCTTAAAAAGCTTGCAATACTATGTCAAGGTAATGAAGTGTGGACCCTGGATAGCCGGAATGTTTTTAAAAGACTAAGTAAACAGTTAAAGTGACGTTAAGATTAATAAAAATGCTTAGCTATTGGACTGGCAGTTGTTGATAAGACAGAATTGTTCAAGCGTAGTTTTTTAACCAGACGACAGAGGTCGACACTATCTGTGTGTTGTATTAGGCTAAAAAAGGAACCAAAATATCCTGTAAACGAATCGTCCCGTAAATTTTGTAGTTACATATCCGGATCATTACTCGGCATATTTTCATTCGAGAAACAGTTAATTCCATATTAAAAAAATGCCCGTCAAAGAAGTCAAGAGCTTAGTAAGTTTATATTTTCTCTCTTGTTTGTTAAATGCAAAATTCAATTTAGCTGTTTTGTATAATATTTAAATTAATATGACCTAAATTTGTTTCATTTTAGGAAGAATTTAATGAAACTTTAAAAGCTGCTGGAGATTCGGCAGTTTTAGTCGATTTCTTCGCCACGTGGTGTGGGCCGTGTAAAATGATTGCTCCAAAATTGGAAGCTATGAGTACGAAATACAATACAGTTGTGTTTGTGAAGGTTGATGTTGATCAATGTCCTGATGTTGCTGAAAAATATAAGGTAGTATATTCCATATAAAAACTTGCAGGTCGTTATAACAATTAAAACTTAATAGATTTCCGCCATGCCTACATTCTATATGTTTAAAAACGGAAGCAAAGTCGGCGAAGTTGTTGGAGCCAGCGAAGAAAAGATTGAAACTTTGGTTAAGGCTCATCAATAAACGTATTGTCAGATAACAAAGATTGTACACAATTCGTATCATTAAAAATAGAGATACCTAAAAGAGAATATGTCTTGGATTTTTCTGTTTTTTCAGACCTATCTAATACATGTATAATGAATTGAAAGGAGCTCATTGATAATTAACTTAATAGTTCCCAATAAATAACCTTCATAATCAGTTGCTAGCTTAAAAACACTGAGACAGAAAAATAGAAACTAATTGGAAATTTTCCTCCATTCGCCGTGACTAGGCACAAATATCCGTTCTACTATGGATTTATGAACTTTTGCCCAATTCGGAAAAACAGTCTATGAGTAATAGTGTAGAATTTATTCAATATTTCATGTAGGACATTCAATTTTAGAATTATATATGAAGAAACAAAGAAAGTACTACCTCATTATTAGTTTCGATTTATGAAGGGCATTTAAACAAATGAAACCAAAGAGTATAAAAATTGCAGGAGAGTCCTGGATTTTCACCCTGTCTCTCTAAAAGCTACGATTTTCTATATTTTGAATAATTAACGAATGTTACCATGGTTATTAAACATTCAAAAGGGAATATATTAGAAACTTTTACCTAGTTTTTAAATTCTATGTAATATTTATGATAATAATAATTCCATATTTTATATAATGCTTAGGTAATAATATTTTCTTTTAGTTGTATGAATTATCCATTTCTAACCAATTACTTATACACAATAATATTAAACTATCTAACAATATAAAAATTTCTACAGTGAAAGAAGCATAACGAAACAGTTTTCTAGATTGTTAGATTGATTGTTCTATTAGCGGTTATTAAATATACTGTCTATATATATATAAAAAGAGGATTTTTACATTCAATTACATAGTTTCATTTGTGTATAGTTGATATATGAAATTTTTATAATTAATCTAGAATGTCAACATTAAATTATCTAAATATAGTCTGTTTTTTAATCAAGTTCATTCATACTTCCTTCATGTTATTTCATACATGTGGCACTTTTTATTAAATTATATTCATATATGAAAGTTTTAAGAAGTGTTTACTATTAATTACAATACATATTATATTAGTTCTATGCTATATGATTGAACTACAATTATTAATTGCTTGAAGCAACTGAACAGATGGATGACTAGAATACATATTGGAAGCTTACATATTTATCAATGTAATCGTTATTAATTGAAAATATCAATATATCAATAACCTAGAAAATGGAGGAAAGGAGAGTTATTCATAAAAGAGAATCAAAAGAGGATAGAAGATTCTTTATATATTTTAAATTATTGAACAGTTAATTCCGTCATTCAGTAAATAAAATACAATTTATAGTCATGAATGTAGTTTCTGTTTCTTTAATTGTTTTCTAGTTTAAAGAGTGTTTATTTCCAAAATTGAATATATAAAGGTTAGACCTAACTATAAAAGAAATTCCTTTGAAAAGAAAATCCCAAAAATGTGTCAGTGAATTGATAATCAATATTCAAGTCTTTTAGTGAAAAATCTATCTTTCCAAGTAAAATTTTATATTGATAGTTTTCAATTCCCTTGAAGCTATTGATAATTTTTTCCAATCATTTTTCCTCTAAGCAGAGAATTTTCTATTGATATTGTGGTGTTAAGGGAACATGTAGTGAAATCTAGTATCGATAAAGTTTATTTCTGATTCTGGAGTGAAAAGATTTTTTAATCTTTTGGTTTAATCATTATATAATCGGATATCCACGACGGTAAAAGTGATATTGGAATAGCAATGTATTTGCAGTCAAATCCTATTGGGTATCTTCTCTTTGGCCACTTTGAAAATATAGCATGTTCATAAGCATTAGTAACTTCTTCGATATTGGATGATGCATTGTCATTGATGGCTGTTAATGCTTTAACATCTATAGAAAAAGAAGAAATTAAAGGCAGAATTAATAAATCGGCAGAAGAAAAGTATAAATAACTAAATTTTACATTGATTAACGTAAATCTCTTCATCCAATCCTTGCCGTTTATCTATTGGTATTCTTTCAAGTCCCTTTTTAACTAATTTTTTAGTTGATTCTACATTAATGATCTCGGTTTTAAAAAATCCTGGTTCGATAAGATGAACTGTAACGCCCTTATTCATATTTCTAAGCTTTATTCTAAAATTAAACTTTATTTATTAATAATACATTATATGACTAAATTTACCTTAGACAATCGGAGAATGCCTCTGTCGCAAATTTACTAACGTGATAAGGTATATTATTGCCTTCGGCTAATCTTCCCGCAGCTGATGACACATTAACGATTCTGCCTTCGGCTTTCGATAATAGAGGTAAGAATCTCAATGATAAATTGGCTACAGCCACAGTATTCACATCCAAGACTCTTCTGTAATCATCGGAGTTATACATTTCCAATTCACCTACAATAGATGCCGTACTAATACCAGCATTATTGACAAGCGCGTGTAGTCCTACGTCCTTCAATTCAATTTCCAATTTTGATCTAAGTTCATTTACTTGTTTGTCGTTTGTTACATCAAGTAGAACTGTTTGCAATTGATTGGAGCATTTCGTCTTTAGTTTCTCAGCACCAGTTTGTGTTAAACAAGCGGCAATAACTTTAACTCCTTTCGCATCAAGTTGCCTTGCAAATTTTTCGCCAAAACCTATAATTATTGATAAAAAATTATTAATTATGCTGTTTTTTTCCCATAGATTATAGCTTGTATCCAAAACTATATTTAACTGATAATTATCTCTGAATAATAAAAATAATCAGAATGAAAACTACCGCTGTCGCATCCTGTTATTAAAACATGCTTTTTCTCAATATCGTCTATGTAAAATGATCTTATATAATTTTCAGACAACCTTACAGTTGTACCCCCAACAATTATTGCCAAAAAGGATTTAGCAACCTTTCCAAACATCTTCAATTCTATTAAATTCTATATTTTCAATTGAACTCAGAAAAAGATACATACATTGTTTTGATGGATTATTGACTAGTTTATAACTATTTATAATATTATAAAACATATGCTGCCCTCTAGACTTTGATTTTAATGTTACTTTGTTGGCAAATTACCTTACATGAACTCGTTAAGAAAGTATATTACAGAATGATTCATTTGTTTTTGACAATAAAAATAGCAATTTATCAATTATAATTGAATCTAGCTAATTAGTAATTATATTTATCTTAGAATATTTTTTACTGATTAGGCGTAAAACTCTTCCTTTTCACTAAATGATATTTACAATCTTTATGATAAAGTTAATTCTTTGGAAATAGTACTTAATTAGATGCCTTAATTAGCTAGTTTTCCTTGGAAATAATCAAGAGGTTAGATAGCGGAAAAGGAGAGGAAAAGAGTTAGAAAGGGTAGGAGAGAGTTACAGAGAACATCCCCGATTCACTAAAGTGAAAGATGGCGGTATTTAACTAAAATTTGTGGAGATGAATTCTTCGTATGTTAAAAAAACTTGTGCTTTTAATCGTATTCGACGCCAGTGTTACTCTAAATCGGAAAAATATGGATATCTATTCGCTCTTCTTCCGATGTGCTTTTGTGGAGCAATAGTAAGCGCAATAGGGCTGATTGTCTTTTTTAGAAAGAGACCAGTTGTAAAAATAGCTCCGTCTATGAAGAAGTTTCTAAGAGCTCTTTGTGTATCATCTTTCGGAGTTAGTTTAACGGCTATACCATTAGCACCTTTAAGGTGCTTTTCAAGACATCGTACGTCGATGATTGCCTCTGGTTTATATGACGCTTTCGTACTTCTTCCTATAGCAAATGCTTTTTCGGCAGCTTCTTCTTGGCTTACCGTGGCTATGACAGTAGAAAGATTTATAGCCGTTAAAAAACCATTTGAAATGAGATTTTCGCATAAAATTAATATAACATATCTTATTATTTGTATATATCTTGGGGCGTTTGGTCTTCATTTGCCCTATTTTTTTTATCGTTTACCAAATGCAAGAGGAATCCCTTTACAAACAGCTTTTGGTCGAAGTCGCTATTTTCGCTATTATCTATGGGCTAGAATGATAATCGCCAAAATGATACCTATTGTCTTGATGATTTTCTTTAACGCTGGCTTGATAATTGCGCTTTGGAGAATCCGTCGGAATAGAAATGTCTTAATTGGTATAAGGCAGAATTCCCATAATGTAGACCATCATGGTAAAATAACTATTATGGCGTTAGCTCTAAGTACAGCTTATGTTCTTTGTCATATATTGGAACCCATTATTCATACGCCTATATTTGAATTATTCATGGGTAAATGTCATCTACATGGAAAAGTTCACAGGCGAATTACAATGACGTCAAATGTACTGGAATTGTCTAGTTGTACATTATATTTTGTTCTACTATGCGCATTCAATACCTCCTTTAGAAGAGCAGCAAAATGGCACCTATTCCCATGTAAGAGGCATGTTCAAATTCAACACGAAGGGCATCCAACAACAATTTGGATTGCTCAACGAGCTGATTCAATAAGAAAGCAGTCATTGAAAAGTTCATCCGCCTAAGCAGAACTTTAGTTTTCTATATATTTTCTATAGACAAATATGTCCCAAATGCTTATATATACTGTATACAATACATTTTAAGCAACAATGTAATAATATATCACCAATTAAATCTTTTGTAACAAAAATGACACTTGCTTTGTTAGTAACAGTATAATAAATGATAACGATTAAAATAAATCCTGTCTTATTACTTCTATAGTCTTCCTAGGGCTTCATCAAGAACTGCGTTCAAGCGAGATGATGTTGAATCTTTATCTTTCTGTATCAGTGTATGTATGTGTGTGTGATTATTAATTGATTAAAAACAACTTTATCGTATAATCTCTTACGTTGTGTTCCAATACTATTAAATCAGCTATTTTCTTTACAGTAGCCCTTTCCTTTAGTAAGGCGTTTCGTTTTCTTCTATTATCTTGTCTTTCTTTTATTCTTTGAAAGCAGAATTTGGCGTGCTCTTTCTTAAAATGATCATAAGAACTGTTGAAAATAATATTGAATGAATATTTCGTTCAATTTCTAAAATAATATTTTTAAGTGAGTAGTGATAATAATTCTGTTTTGCCATCTAATTAGCATAATTGCATTCATTGATTAGTGTTAATAATTTGAAGGGTAAAATGCAGTATTTTGTTTGTTCACTTCACCTTTATGTAATTATATTTTAGAGCATATGTTAAACTGAAAGCTTATTAAAGGTTAATTAAATTCATATTAGTAAGAAGATGAAATTATCAAACATACTCGTTGAATTCCTTTTCTACTTCCCGAGTTTTCTTTAAGCTTGTCTTAATTAAATCTCGATAGGTTTCACTTTCTAATGTAATGGTCAGTTAAGGGAAACTTCATTTAGATTTTTTGAATAGTTAATGCGATTGAAAACGAACAAAAAAACATTTTAACACTATCGATTCGAAAAATAATTTGGAAAAAAGGATATGGTGGAGGGTTCTCCATTTCCGTTCTGGAAACTCTTAAGACCAAACCTGGATCTGATTGGCTATTTTGTGTCTTTAAGAAATGGCTAACAAGCGGGCTTCTTCCATGCATGTTAAATGTATATTTTACGAATGATGGGCCTTTGCCTACTGGATGAGAAACCTTTTTTGTCGATTTGAGTTTTTGTTTTGGGGATATTGTAGGATTTGATATCGATGACGTCTTTCTTTCTTCTCTTTCGTTTATAGGACTAAGTCTATCTGCCGATCTTGCATGATTCGTTTTTGTTGATAAAAGAGAGGGTTTGGAAATAGAGGAAGACGCTGATTCGCCTCTTATTTGTTTTGGAAAAGAATTGAAATCTAATATGTTTGATGGTTTCTGCCGTCTAATATCCTCCCTATTTTTCACATCTTCCGGTTCCAAGGCTTCCAAATTCCAATTTAACCAAATTCTCGGAGCTGGTTTAACACCAGCTATCCAACTAAATACTAAAGCAGTTAATTCCTCTTTAAATTCTTCGTTAAATTGTCTATTAGAGTCCGGAAAAACGGCGAAATAAGCTGCATAAGTAGCTTGTAGCAAGAGTTTAGGGTATTCCTATAAAAGGTGAATTTAAGTGTTTTAAAAGACTGTATCTTATTTAGTATATAAGTAGATTTTTACCTTTAGGAATGTATCTCTATATTCTGATATTTTTAGATTGAAAATAAAATTAACATAGTTCTGAGAAACTCTATTAAATATTTGAGCTTGAGATTTTATGCTTTTTTGATATCTTTCAAGAAAAAACCACCAAAACGTATCCTTAAAAATAATAGAATTAGTTATCGATTAGATAAAATTTTCATTAAATTAAAACCAACAACTAAGATGACTTGAGAGTAATTAGAGAAAAAACAAGACTCAAAGAAGGCCTTATATCTCATCTGTTGAAGATTAACAAATAAAAGAAACATATTTTAACTGATTTAAATATATAATAATGGATTCTTACAGTTTTTTCTAAATGCGTCTGAGCTTTTGCAACGATTTTTAACACATCTATCGGATCAATAGAGAATGGTAATGGAGTAAGTTCCTCTGGGTCATAGCCAGGATATTGATGTAGCTGTGTAACAACAACGTTTGTAATATTTTTCTATAATAAGTACAGAAGAAAATTAACTTCAATAAGTTTAGGTTGTGATCTGACTTCCTGTTCCATTTCCCTCCTTCTTTCTTTTCCTTTAGCAATTTTCTTAAAGCGTTTATTCAATCTTTCCGAGTCTCTTGGAAAAGCTTGACGTTTGTAGAGAAGTTTAAATTATTACCCTCTTAAAACTAATTTAAACAGTATATATATATCAAGAACTATACTTGATTGTAATGTATAAATTCCAGCAAAACGATTTAATTCTCTTTGTTCTTTTTCTATTTAATTCAATTATTATTATTAAAAATTCCTAAACGAAACGCAAATATAACCTTTTTTTTCATAAACACTTCTAGCCTTTCCACTAGAAAGTGGTCTGTATGTGAAGTTATTATCATCCCAATCGGATGCACTACTTTCAATTACTAATTCTGTATAACTCTGTTTTAAAGTCAAGCAAATAAATTTTGTTTTATTTGTTAAATCTTCTGTTTTTAACTTACCTGTAGCTTTTGATCCAATTTACTTATACGTCTGCTTACTTCCTCGATCGAACCAACTAGGAAAGCTGTAAATTTAAAAATTAGCTGCGTTAAAAAATTGCTTAAAAGTCACTTCACAGTCTAATTTTACATCTTAACTTTTATTAAATTATCAAGGAATTTTTTAAATTATTGAATTAATTCAATCAATATATTCATTAAACATTTATGTAAAAGTTTAAGTAAGTAAAAACAGTTGTCGGATTAAAAGCAACCAACGAATATGGGGTGCAAAATAAATCTTACGAGATTTTTTATGTTGTTGGGCTTCAACAATTCTTTTTCTCTCTTTCAGCTCTTCACCATCTACATTTAAATTCTCCTCGACAACTTCCATTGCCGAACTAGCCCTATTTATATCTTTTCCAGACTTTGGACGGGAAAGCTCCATTTCAGACGACATTTTGGTTGCGGAGGTAAACAATTCAAGTTCTTAATTATCGTGACCTATCAAAACAATAGTTATAAAATACCCTAAACATGGAAATTTAATGTCCTAAATGGTAAATACTAAGCAAATAAGAAAAATATAATAGTATTTATAGATGTATAAGTAAAAAAAAACAGAATATATAACAACACAACACTATTAAGATTAACTATTAGATTGATTAATAGATTAATTATTCATTAGAAAAACTAGGGAAAAAGAAGAAAAATATATTAAAAAAAGTTTATTTTAGTTTATTGATATTCTGCAATCAATAAAACTTGAGTAAAAAATAATATAAATTAATATAAAGTTTTTAAAAATCTCTTTGTTTTAACTAATCAAAAATGTAAAAGAGTATTAGTGATATTTAACATTTGGTATTATTAATTAATTATATTTATATACAAAAGGGGTAGTGGGCGGAAATTGCATACTCATACTCTTATTTACATCAAAATAAAAACAATAAAAGACACGACTATTTCAGCTATGAGTAGTTAATATGATATTTCATTTACCATAATTAATCTATATAATAAAGTTACTAGAAGCTTATAGGACTATGATTACTCTACTATAGCAATAGATTATCAAATTGACAGAAATTATACTATAATATGTTGGTTCTTGTAGTAAATTACAGAATGATGATATTTTAGGATGAAGAAATAAGAGAAACTACAAGTATATAAGCATCAAACATAGTTTTTCTCCATCCCTAAAATTGATTTATTGTTTACAATATACACGAATATTACGTCATCATCTTTTATATCTAATAACAGAAATAAAAACTGTATACAATATTTCAGTGGGTCTACCAATCTTCCCCTTCAATTTATATCTAACATATACAACATATAGAGTAATATATTTATTTATTTAATATATTTAAATACTAATTATCCAGTTATTAATGAAAAGAATATTATATGAGACATATGAAAATATGATCTTTTGATCCTTTGCGGAGGAGATTTGGTTTTTCTCACAAGCAGATGTGAGGTTAATAAGCTTTGCCATTTATTGAAGATTCCGTCAAAGATTGTATTGTCTTGAGAGAATGAAGATAATATTTTTATAGGAAGAGTATAAGAGGAGAGTTTCATTTTCTTTTTATAAAGAAATACAGTTGTATAAAAATAAATTTAATTTAAACAATAAAAGAGTAAAATGGATAAGGAAACATAATTTAAGGACTGCTTTTTAAAAGGATTTGATACGATTTCTTTTAGTTCAATTAGAATATTGTAAAATTTGTATTTACTATTCTTTTTGTCATTAAAATAGTCCGCTTTAGGGTTTAGCTCAATAAGGAAGAAGAAAATCTTTGGAAGAGTACTTAAAAAGAGGCACAGGTGGCTAATACCTTCCAGTATTTTCCGTTACAATTTTAGATCCTATGTTACTAAATTTGGAAAGGTAAATTTGTCTTTTATTAAAGGAGTTCTAGAAGCAAAAAAAAGACTCTGGGAAGGCCCTACATCCCGCATTAAGTATATAAAATTACAGTAATATAACAGTTCATTGCAAACCATTAGTAGATATACTTTCCATCAATAATACTGTATACTGCAAATACGGCTTCTCTAGAAATTTGAAATATTAGTTGATAAAATGAATCAAACTAATTCGAATCAAAATGTAATTGTAGATTAAAAGAGAAAAGTTTAAGACTTCTTGTTAGTTATTTTATTATGGATGGCAGCCATCTAGCGGTGTGAAAATTCATAAAAGCTTTCTCCCTGCACGTTTGCTATTAAACCATCTCCTTTCTTAATTGGGAAATGTGGAAAATATTCTGTAGATACTTAATGAAATCTCAAGCTATCCAAATGAACATTTAAAAAGGTAAGTACGAAAGAGTCACCTAGTGTCGTGTCTTGCTATTCATTTGAAAACTGACCTCAGGCCAAGATATTTCTGATCGAGTAAGTACACGTATGAATGTCGTTAATAGCTGGGCACAACGTCGATTACAGGTTTTTACTTCAATATATATAAATACATCTATATCTATTATATAAATATTTCTCTTGTAAATAATGCAAAAACTGACCAAAGGCTGATGTCGATAAAATTCCATCGTTGTCTTCCTATTGGTCAGTTGAGAAGCGTCTCGAGAGGAGTGAGACACTCGTTGGTTTTCAGTTTTACGCTTTTTAACGTTTACTTACTTATTTTCTTTTCAATTTACAAAAAAAGCTATTAGAAAACATCGATCATTACTTGAAGAAACTAGAGATGCTATAGGAAAAGGATGAACAACGTCGGTCTGCCTAGTCCGGTAATACAACTTTTACAGCAATTGACGCCTCATAGTGACGACTTGAAGTGGCGAGTCAGCGGCGGTGGTAGAAAGGTCAAATTGACATTGACCTGGGACTGGCGAACACCAAAAAAGGCAACAATTTGGAGAAAATTTCAACGCTTGATTAATGGAGAAGTTCGCTCTAGATCAAACCCGGTAACTCCTACAAGACCAAGGAATATTCCATTCATTGAAGCGGCAGCGCCTTTACGAGCTCGAAGCGAAGGGGAAATTATTTCAATCGACTCCAATGTCAGTTTTCAGTCACCCGATGACTCTTACGATCAAATTTTAGACGGTTCAGTTGTTTATCAATGTTTGAATGCTTGTGAGAGAATTCTGAACTGTGAATAAGTTTTGTTTTAATGGAATTTTTCAATTTTTCCCTACTCTTCTATTGAAACAAGATTATAGGCTTTAGCCGGAAAGATTACATTTGTCTACCTCGCATTGACGAGTAATAATTAAGTATGACATGGCAGAAAATCTCATTCATCGTTCTATTCGAACCCAAAAGCTATCAACAAATATAGAAAAGAGTGAAAAAATACAAAGTTATATAATAGAAAACAGAGATAATCTGGATAATCGACAAAATAGGAAAATGAGAATAGATATTTAACTAGCCAATTTCTAACTCTAGAAGAACATTTTGGTTAGTTGTTCGATTGTATCTGAAGGATTCTTGACAGTATGTCCGATAGTCCTTTCATCTTCGAAAATTTCGTGATCGTTACCACCCTGTAAGTCAAAAGGAATCAGTTTATATTCGATATTAGAAGGCTGTGAAAATAATTTCGCCCCCTTGTTATAACTACAGAAAGTGTTACACCACCTAACACATTTGGTACAAGAGAAGGATACTATTTTGTCCATATCTATTTATCTAACTGAAGATGGATAGTTTGATCTCTTTATCTGGATAGAATATCTATTCGATCCCTCAATTACGACTTACCGGTTGAGTTTTATCGCCAAAGAAATGAATAGTCTTGAAGCCTTTCTCGATAACTTTCTCCAAACAAAAACGTTTATCCCATCCAATAGGAAATACATCAATGCTTATTTGACCACCTGAGAAAAGAATAGATATATTTTAAAAATATTGAACTATTCAAGAGAAATTAAAAGAAAAACAATCAATTTCTCATTTTTTATACTCAAATATATTTGTATATACCGATTGCAAAGTTTAGACCAGCATCTGGGAATCTCTCTTTTAACTTCTGTACCAAGTTTTGGCGAACGTTATGCTCCTTATTTACAAAGAAATAAAAAGGGGGCGTTATTTGTCTTTTTCTATATATAAATGCAGTAAATATACATATATACTGTATATATAAATGTACACAATATATTTACATACAGTACTATCTACAATATATATAAAATATATAAATGTATTTACATTATATTTAAAGTGATATTTCGTTTCTTAAATGAAAAACTATAAAAAATGCTTGCTAACTTTATCATAGGCAGCGAATTCGTCTCTTTCCGCTTGACTGCAGCTACGCCCGACAGGGCAGACGTTTATTAAGCCGCTTCGAAATTCGATGAAATTTCCACTACGCGTAAGGAATACAATTTATATGTATAAAATGAATATTACTTCCGAATGAGTTCAGTTAATTTTTCCCCTTACCGTTTCGCTGGTAATTTCAATTTAGATAATTCTTGTAATGTAAAATTTATGAATTCTTGTAGTTTCTCTTCACCACAGAATTTCAATATACTCTGTTCAAAAAGATAGATTTAATAAACTTGCTTTTTTTGCTTATTTTTATAAATAACAATCACTTTAGTATTGAAAAATACTGTAGCATTAATATTTATTTACCTGCTTGGTAATCAATTCTTCATTATGATAGGCAACTAAACCGTTTTCAAGGAATACGTATTCATACTTTTTAAGAACTATGAAAGAATATATAAACATTATATTTTGTTTTTTTAAAAGTTAAAGGCTTATCTAGCTTTAAAAGTTTGCCACTTACGTCCTTCAACCAAGTTACTTGATCCTTCTGATGCCAATTGTTCCGCTATTTTACTCAGGTCAGATCCACTAACTACTCCTACTACAACTTTTTTCGATAATTCTTGAAGAAAGTTATCCATATCTGGCTGTATTCTCTAAAAAAAATACAATTTGAACTCATTAAATATCTCTTTTGCATAATAGTCTACGTGGAGGCAGCGTTTTGAAAAGAACTAGGCGAAAATTGGAACTAATTTAAAAAATTGACAGTGTTGAGCCCTTTCCGACTTTGAAAAGGTGATCAAGTTTTAGATATTTAAGATTAATATTACATTTCGAGAAGGTGTCAAGGTGCCATCCACGTCGAAGAGGCAAATCGTTGTTAAATCTTTAGATGCCATGTTGGAAGTAACCAGAAAGTAGAAGATGATACGAAAGTTGGAATATTATTTTTTTAAGATAAAACGGCGGGAAAATTTAAACTGACAATAAATGCATTTTTTATGTAAAAATTGTTTCTTATTTTTCTAATAGTTAAAATCCTTATTATTCCACTTTAACAACTCTTTTTGAGCAGAAATAAGAAGTTGTTATTCATATTGCGCAAAAATATCTGGGTATTGTCTTCTTCGTCGAGAAATTCCTGAGGGCAAATCGTGTTGATAAGGAACCACTCTAGTGACAAACAACGAAAAATCTCGACGTCACTCGAGACTACAAAAGCGCCTTTTGCAGGCCTAATATTTATAATATATAACAAGGGAACGTACAAAAACAGGCTTAAAATCGATCGCATCGCTTCCACCTAATGACAGAGCGTCGAACAAAAAGCCACAAAAATAACGAATTAATAATTAAACGGACGGAGGCATCGAATTAACCGAAGTTACTGATATATGCCAGGTATTGCGGTGTTTTTCTTCGATCTTTTTCTTTCTATGCTTTTCTCTTACAAGTTTCCTGCCAGCATAAAATGTCATTTGGAGAGAAGGCGGCGTTTTATATCGAACGCCTCACTAGCCTAACTTGGCAATAGGAATGAAGGGGACTGTGGCATCGAATAAACCGGTGCCTAATGTAAATATCGATTTGGATCAAGAAGAGGTCTATTATAGGGATGGGGATCGAATTTCTGGAAAGGTCCGAATTGAAGTTATCGAAGATTTAAAATATAATTGTAAGTATAATTTAAGAATCGTGCAAAATTGGTCACTGTAACTTAATTTTTTTTCAACAGGTGTAAAATTTGAAGCCTTGGGAATTGCCGTCGTCAAATGGAAGGTAGACGAATGGCTAGATACTGCTACATTTCCGGAAGTTGACTGTAAACTTGCCAAGCATCATAGTAAGGAAATTTATCTGGACAAGCAGTTTCTTGTCCTGGAAAAAGGTTTGTTATCTGATTTTCTATAGAACTCTGTTTTCTCTCCTTTTTTTTGCCTCCTCTATATGTAAATTAGCATCTTATTTAAATAAATTACACACGCAACAGAAGGAGGCATTTTGGACAGAGCGCCAGTTTTAAAAGCCGGTAAACATGAATTCGAATTCTCCTTCTGTTTACCTCCGGAGTTACCATCTTCCTTTGATGGTCAATATGGACGAATAGCTTATTTAATTCGCTGCGTATTCGAACGTCCCCGGAAGTCGCCTCTCGTCTTCCGAAAACCATTTACAGTAAAGTCAGGATTGGATCTAAATTTTATAGCCGAAGCTGCTTATCCTATAAAGATTTGTAAGAATAAACAAGTTGGTGGTACGGCCTGCTGCAACGGTAACAAGTCGATAACAATTGATTGGTCTGTATCTCGTTCCGGTTACATTCCCGGTCAAGAAATTCTTGTCAGAGGGGCTGTTCAAAACGATTGTTACGACCTGATTAATTATAGCAAAGCAGTCCTATTTATGATAATAGAATATAAAAAAAAGTATAGATTTAAAAGGGAGGAGAAGGAAATAGCTTGCGTTGAAAAGGGGCCTATAGGGCCTGGTGGTATCGAAGTCTGGAATGATAACTTACTAGTGCCAGATTTAATTCCACCCTCCGTCTACGAAAGATCATTACTCATCGTTATTCGATACGAACTTCATGTAAGTAAATAAAACACGTAGTTTCAATAGAGTCTCTAAAGAAGTAATCCTTTTCTTTTGTTTTTTTCCCTCCTACTTTCTTTCGTACCTTTTTTTTTATTCATTACTCTTTCTGTTAACTTCTGTATGACTCATTCAGAAAGTTATTTATAAAAAATACCATTTTTCTCTTTAATTAAATCACATTCTTTAGAAGAAATATTCTTGCAAGGATTCCTTAGACGACCTCAATGTGGACCTAGTCACGCAACATCTTCTTATTTACTCTATTTTATTTTCTTCGCGATCCTTTGACAAATTGAATATTTATTCAAATTTTTTCATTTCAATTGAATTGTTAATGAAAACATAATGAACTTGCAGCTTATCGTTGAATTAGAAAGTCGTCTTAAACCTATAACCTTCTCAAGGGAAATTTATATCGGAACTGTACCAGTGAATAGAACAGATATGATATCTTGCTTATCCGCAATCTACTCTGTGCCACATTGTTTAAATAGCGTTAATCAAGTTTCCAGTTCATCTATGGAATCATTAAATAACACTGCTGAAGAAGATGAAAACCGTCTAAATCCAACTGCTCCGCTATTAAGCGACATCGAAGATAATCATCGCACTATACCTTCTGCTCCGAAATACGAAGATTTAGAGAGGTCTGGAGAAATTGATGATAGCGACAACGTCGAAGAAGATGAAATAATAACAGGTAATATAAATATTTTCTAATATTTCGTATTGTTAATATTGGAAAAACTACGAATCGTTACTTATATTTTCATAAATTGTTATTGTCAAATGTACCATTAATGCTGCTTACATTGTGACTAGCAGCGGTTATGGTTGGTAAAGTTTCTGTGATAGAGACGATATATTCTCTGGGACTTGTAAAGGTTTTGTAGAAAACGCCTTTTAACGCGAAAGCAGCAGCGGCATTAATGATCAGTAGAAGAATAATACCGATTATTACGCCCCGTAACTTTCTCTTTCCACATCTTTTTAAACTATTTGATTTCGTTTCGTAAGCGTCTTTTTTATTAGCTAACGCATTGAAGATTGAATCTGGTAATATTTTTTTTAGCTCTTCCTCTCTGTACTAAGTAAACCATTATTTACCGTCTTTAAGTATTGATCACAAAAAAAAACAGTATTTACTTTATCCGTTGATGTCTCGTAATCGGGATAAGCTAGGTAAGGGTCATCATCCCCTTTTACTATTCGATCAGATAAAGCAGAGAAGATACTATGATCCTTGTAAACGTAGTCGAATTGACTGTTCTTATCCGCTTTTTTACGTGTCTTCTCGGGTTCTGCGAGATCGTTATAGGATGACGAATAATACAAACCCGCTTTATCGATTGGCTCTTTTACTCTTCCCAGAATTTTTAGGCGGTCATTTAGACCTTTGCTTATTTCTGTCTTAAAATATGCAGTTGGCTGTCTATCATTTTGCATAGACGAATAATTCGCACGTTTCATTGATTGATTTAATTGTTTTATAGAATCGTTAAACTCCTTTTCTGACCTTGCAATTTGAACCGGCAAATTTTTCATAGTCAATTCTATTATTGATTTTATTTAAATATATTTGAAAATTTCTCTAATTTGAATGGAAACTCTTTTTATCTTGTTGATTATATATAAATATATACATATATATTGATAAAACAATTCTTTTCCTTGATTCCTAGACTCTCATAGCAACCTAGAAGATTCTGAAGACAGAGAAACCAGTGAAGGGGCTCACAGCGAGAAGACTCTTTCTATTGAATCGAGGGGCGTCATCGGGTATGTAGGCCTGATTTAAGTAAAGAATGCAAAAGAAAATTACATATAGCTTATCCGTTTTCTTCAGAACTTTTTCGATTAGGAATTTTGAGATTGGAGAAAGAGAAAATGTGGATGATGACGAAACTGACGACGATTTTCTCTCAGAACCAGATGATGTTATTGATAATGACAACGATACAGAAGATGAAGAGAAAGAAGCATCCGATAATGTCGAATCTGAAGAGGAAGAAGAAGAAGAGAGTAGGATAATAATTTGTGGTCCAACAAACAGCGACGAAGAAATTTTAGAATCAAAGAAATCTCCAATTGTTATTAGAAAACGAAGGGGAAAGAGGAAGAAAGCTATCTTAGTGGCCATTTAACGACAAAATACGCTTTCTTTCATTCTTTTAAGTCTCTTCACTACTGTTCACTATTATTTGCCTTTTTTTAGAATAACAAATAACTATTACAGAAGTTAGAAAATTGTAAATATATAAATGAAAAAGTAAGGGAAGATAATTCTCACGGATAGACGGATAATCGATCTGAAATACAAAAAAGGATAGAATGAAAAAGAAAGAAATAAAAATGAACGGCCTTTTAAAATTAACCCGCCTTTTATTTTGTCTGTTTGTAAGTACGTCTTTCTTTATTTTACTTTGGGAAGCACCTTGTGATGTGATGGAAACATTGCATAAACTGTACCAAATAACTTAAAACAAAATGGATCTTCAGGAGGCACTTATCAAGTTCGGCTATCTATCTGTCTAACAGAAGAGAAGAAGCTAAAGAGATATGCAATAAGAGGAATAAATCCCTACGAAGACGACCTAAATATATATATATATATGCTGTATATATATATATTTTTCATATTGTGCATTGTAGTGGGTGCTAAGAACAATCCAACTATTCTTTCAGTTTAATTTTCGTTTAAATGTATTTTGTTTTTTTATTATTCAATATGGAATAGAGCATGCAATAAAGCTAGAAAATGTTGTCTTTTATTCATATAATATATAAATATATATACATATATGCATATATTCATATATAAATTTATATATACATATATACATATATATATAAAAATGTGAGTAATATAGTTTATTTACAAACTATGCATATCTACATCTATATCTTATTTTTCTATGTTGTAATGCAGAAAAAATACTACTTCGATCAAAAAGTAAACAAACAGTCTAAGTATTTCCTTTTTCTTTAATTTTATCATTTAAGGTTTAATTCAAAACCAACTTTGCTCTCTTATATCACTGGTTTGTAGTTTGTTTACTTGGTTGTCATTGGCAAACATGATTGCAACTATGCAATTGGTCATTATTAAGATGATATTGAAAGCTGTGCAGACTTTCGAGAGACGCTCTTGAAAATTTGTTATTCCAAGGCACAAACAAAACCATATAAGCATCCTGTAAAGAAAAGATGTTAAACGAGTATATTTTTATTAATACTTTCTCCCTTATGGTATAGAAAAAACTTGCCTGAAGGCGAAACATCCAAAAATAGCCGATCTTATCCAATGTACATACTGGTCGGGTAGAACAAAGGTTGATATAAGGGAATTGAGGAAAAATATTAAAGAGAAATCCAGGGAATTTCTATCAAATTTCTTCCGCTTGTTAACGGGTATTCCACAGCTAGAGAAGCAGCCTAAGCAGGTAAGAAAAAATGTCACAAGTTTACCTATTCTAGGCGACTATTGAGGGGTAATGAGTAATGAAAAAGATTTTAAACTATTTGCCAATCGATTATTTAGGCCTGATTCAGCAAAGAATGAGACCCTATTCTCTATCGATCTTTGGTACAGTGATATCCAAGTCGAATATCTATTTGCTTAAGCTTTTTATTCTAATTAAGTAAACCTACTTGCTAACAACGGCACGGGCGTCCATACGTGAGCTTCCGTGATGTATCTGAACTTGTCCTCTAATTTAGATTCCTCGACATAAAAAATAGAGTCGAATAGATAGATGAAAACAAGAAACAGCGTTGATGGTAAGGCGTTAAATACCGATTTGCAAAAATAGAAGAATAGATTTTTAATTAGGCCTAAGGCTCTCGAACAACCGTTCAATACCCTTAAGCCAAAATTGATAACGAATTGAGGCAATTGGGAGACGTCAACCTGCTCAATCTCGTCTTCTGACGTCTCCTCGTCCTTCTCCTTGGTTGCTTTGTTCTCGACCATTTCCTTTAGGCATTTTCTCTCGGTACGTTTAGCTTTATGTATTGGTCGATTCTGCTTCTCATCTTTTGATATAGTATCATAAGCTTTTTCTCGATTTTCGCTTTCTTCCGATTCGGACATGACTTTTCTTCCTTGTCAAACAAATAGCGAAAATAACCCAACAAAATTAGACCTTTATGTATTATCCACACAGCTGGATTACCTGGACCAGAAAGACGCTACGCATGCGCAATAGGCTTTCCAGATTTTTAGCATCTTGCCCTTTGCCTACTCGTTTACTACCTTATCAAAAACATCAGCGAGCGAATGCTACACAGCTATAGCTATAGCTATACATTGTTAACAAGAGTATTCTCTTTCAGTTTAAATTATTCCGACTCAATTAATTAGTAGATCAAATTGACCAGATCGTATTTTAAAAAGGAACTTCGATTAGATAGTTGAAAAACAATTGATAATTAACTTTTCCAGTATATAAATAAAATAGTGCGTATTAGAATACATTATATGCTATTTTCCCTCTACATATTATATATCTTTCTCGTTCTATCTATATACAGTATACTGTACAATGTATACGTTTATAAATATATGTATTTGTATGTTGTATTTATAAATAGAAATACTTATAAAAATATACAAAATAATAAAAAGTAGAAGCACAAAATACATAGACAAATCATTATAAAATCATGAAAAATATATCTTATGCAAGAATATATAGTTCAAATTTTCATGTAAAACAGTATTTTGCATTGTTTTTCAAGTGCATTGTAGACGATATTTTAACCAATGACTTCGTTTTCCTCTTTTTCTTGTCAGATAGAAAAAAGGGAATACTTATAAAAAAAAATCGAACTGGATTTTTTTCTCTCTTTAACATATTATTATAAAAAGAATGTTATATTAATATATCTTTATATGCTCTAAAAATTTTATATTGTTTACTGCAATAGTTAATCATCTTTCAATTCTTTTCTTCTCTTTCTCCTTCTTCTTCCTTTCGAAAATTACTTATATTCTCTTCTTCTAATGTCATATCAGTTTCGGTTATTGTTCCATCCTCTAAATTTATGTTGGATCTTAGTCGGCATTCTACTAATTGATCAGACGGAGTGAAATTTATTAGGTTTTCCGCTGATATTATTAATTCATCCTCTTTAATGGGAAGGGAATCGTCCGTTTCTGAATAAGGTGGGGGTTGTAAATCTTTACCATCAAAACAAGGATTAATTTTCTCAATATCTGATCCTCCCGTTGCCCCTAGACCGCTTAGGACTGGTAATATGGAAGATCTTACACTACTAGTGCTTGTTGTTCTATTTCTCCGGCGCTTCTTCTTTGATCTATATAAAAACACCAGGACAATCACTACTAACATTATTATTACTAATCCGGCTATTATTAAGCCTATCAGGTAATTGGTCGCAAGTTTGTTATTTCCATTCGTAATCAAAGGTACTTGACTATTCGGCTCTACAGTAGGAGTTTCCTTCGTACTTCTATCCCCATCCGGTCTGCTTTCTGTTAGAAATTTTCATTATATATATATATATATATATACTTGTTTATTCTGAATTCTGTGAGTAACCTTTACAAGGTTACTTGACTGACCGTCACAAGTGTATCCGTCGCCATTAAGCGAGTAACCTTCAGGACATTCACACCTGTAGAAGCCCTCTAAGTTGATACAGTTTCCCTGACATACTTTGTCACTTTGACATTCGTTATAATCGGTACAGTTAAACCCATCCTTGGCAATTACAAACCCAGAATTACAAGAGCAGCTATAAGATCCTTGTGTGTTAATGCATAATTGTTGACATTTTTGATCTTCTAGTAAGCATTCATTGATATCTGAGAAGATATTTTTCATTCGCTTTCGTATAGCAAAGAGAATTTAAAAAGCTAAATAACAAACCGATGCACATGTTATCGTCGTCCAAAATATAACCTTTAGGACAAACACAATACGAACTTGAACCATTTTTTCGGCATTCATATTGACAACCGCCATTTCCAATTGAACAAGAATCAAAATCCAAGCAGTTCTGCCTGTTAGGAGCCAAACTATGGCCAAAATTACAAGTGCAATAATAACTTCCATCTATATTAATACAGTTTTGCTCGCATCCTCCATTGTTCTTGGAACATTCATCATAATCTAATTAATGTATTGTTAATAATAAATAAGAAACAGACAATACACAATAACAATGCCTACCTCGACATTCACTATCATATTTCTCATAACCTTGCCAGCAATCACATAAATAGGAACCTATTTAAAACGTCTATGAGTATTGTACTTATCTTAATGGATAGCTAACCTTGGGAGTTAAAACAGATGTGATCACACCCTCCATTGGAAATTCTGCATTCGTCTATATCAATGCAAGACCTTTCATCCGATGCAAGCCTTTAAACGTACGAAAAATAGAAGAATTATTAATGCAAACGTATTCATAAATAAGAACTCACTCAAATCCTTTTGAGCAGTCACAAGAATAACCACCAGCATAGTTTGTGCAATTATTTTGACAACCACTAATACCTTTTGAGCATTCATCTATATCCAAGCAAATATCTCCATTCGTCTCAAAGCCGGTTGTGCATGAACAAAAATAAGAACCCTGGGAATTATGGCAGAATCCATTACTACAACTTGCAGTTGTACGGCATTCATCAATATCTTTTATTTCAAATAAATTGACATAAGACAAAAGTATAATACTTTTAATAAACTATTATTTTTCACCTTCGCAAGTCGAATTATCAACTGAAAGCTTGTATCCAGTATGACAAGAGCATTCGTAATCTCCATCAGTATTTGTACATATATGTTGACAAACGTTACTTGAACATTCATCAATATCTAAACAAGATTTACCATTATCGGCCAATTTATAACCATGCTTACAGTAGCACGTATGATGACCCTCCGTGTTATGACAATAATGCTGACATCCAGCTTTAAAGTCATCGCCACATTCGTCTAGATCTGTTTGGAGTATATAATAATAAAAAATAAGAAAGAAAATACGAGATGCTACTCAGTCATTTATTTCTTTTACCTCTGCAAGTTTTCCCATCCAGTACATAACCCTTCCGGCAACTGCAAAAGAAACTCCCAACTGTATTGTTACAAATTTGTGAACATCTTCCATTTGATACAGTACATTCATTAAAATCGACGCATTCGCTTGTATTCTGTGTTGTTTTTTTAAAAAAAGTCATCATAACTATTATATTCCCTTTTAGGTATAATTAATTAAAAACGCACTGTAATGCTTTCAACAAAGCCAGTTTTACAAGCACAATTGTATCCGCCGATAGAATTTAAACATAATTGTTGACAATTATGTTTATTAGTTTCGCATTCATTTTCATCTGTGTAAAGTCAATATATCAGGTATAGTTAAATTAACATACAGGAAATTATAATTGATAAAAGTAAGATAATACCAGAACAACTCTTTCCATCTCTATTTAATAGGAAACCTTTCTTACAGGAACAGAAATAGGAGCCAACAGTATTATGACAATTATGAGAGCATCTTCCCCTCAGACTCTTTTCGCATTCATTAATATCTATTTAAAGAGGATATACATAACAAAAACATATGAGAAACTATACGAGATTCTTAAATAAAATAAGTTTTTACCGATACAGTCGTGATTATTTCTCAACTCATAACCAACTTTACAAGAGCATACATAACTTCCTAGAATGTTAATGCAGTAATGTTGGCATATAGATTTATTTGCACATTCATTATTATCAATGCACGTCCTATTATCTTTAGCTACTACATAACCAGATTGGCATTCACATTTGAAAGATCCTAACATGGTGTAAAAAGTCATTTAGATCATTTTGGATAGTATTTTTTATTATCAAGAAATATACCTTTCGTATTTATGCACTTATGGTCACATCCCCCATTTCTCAAGGAGCACTCGTTTTTGTCTGTAATAAAAGACAGGAAAATGAAAGGTACAATACAATCTTTGTGACGTAGTTTGTTTACCGTGACATGTTCTACCATCAGGTCCTAGTTCATAACCTGGATAGCATGTGCATCTATATGAACCATATCGATTGTGGCAGTATTGTTGGCAGTTTCCATTTGACACGGCACATTCGTCAATATCTATGGTGTTGAAAAGTTTCATTTAAACAGATTATATTCAATTGAGCTTTGATTGAAACCTGAACAGAAATTTCCATTAGCACCCAGTGTAAAGCCCTGGGGACAGAGGCATTGAAATGATCCAAATGTATTCTTGCAAATGTGTTCACAACCCCCATTACCAATTAGGCATTCATTTTCGTCTATATAATTTATTAATTAATTATTTTTGTTGCAGTAGGATGACTAAATATTACAAACCAAAACAATGCTGTCTGTCACTACCGAGAAAAAATCCCTTGGCGCATTCGCATTTAAATGATCCTGCAAAATGATCATTATAAAATCAATTTTAACGCAATATAAATGCTTTATTAACCTTTGGAATTGATGCAAAAATGAGAGCATCCACCCTTATTTACACTACATTCATCCTTATCTAATGAACATAAAAGAAAATTAATGATTTATAAAACAATGTTTCCAATCTGGTTAATTAAGTGAAAAACCTTCGCAAGTTTTCTTATCCTTTCCAAGTATAAAACCAGATCTACAAGAGCAAGAATAACCAGATTCCTCATTAATACAAATTTGAGAACAATTGTTACGTCTCTCGCACTCATTAATATCTTCAAAGGTAGTAAAAACAAACGAAAAAATATGTATTTTTCCTCTTTATATGTTTAACAATAATGCAAGTATTTACCATGACACGTTTTTAAATCCGATACGGATAATTCGTACCCGTAATTACAAGAGCACCGAAAAGACCCTTAAGAATGAATAATTATCATTTAAGTGACTGATTAATTACGTTTAATAGATACCTGGAGTGTTATTACATATATGAGCACATCCTCCATTAGATGTTTCGCATTCGTTAATATCTATTTAAAAAAGTTTATATTTTCACACGGATAACAGCTGGATAAAGTAGTAAATCATCTACCTTTGCAGCTGACTTTATCCTCGGCTAAAGTCCATCCAATGCGACAAAAACACTCCCTTTCCCCTATTCCTGAATTTTTACATAAATGCTCACAGCCACCATTATTGTCTCCACACTCGTTTTTATCTACGAAAATAAGAAACTTTATTAAAATGAATAAAAGATAACAGATTTTTTAATAACCATAACAAGATTTTCCATCTCTGTCCAGATTATAACCCGACCGACATTGACATTGGTAGCTTCCAATAGAATTTTCGCATTGATGCTGACAGCCATGAGTACCTTCTTTACATTCATCAATATCTTAGGAAATAGATTATAGTATTATTTTTGAATGGATTTAAACCATATTCCTTTGTACCTATGCAAGTATTGCCATCGAACGATAATTTGAAACCCATTTTACATCGACATAAGTAGGAACCATAACTGTTTACGCATTCATTGGGACAACGGTTTAATGTGGAATTTAGGCATTCGTCAATGTCTTAAATATTTAATAAATACAAATTTGAATTATTTAAATAAATAGTTTTAATAATAACTATTACCATTACAAGTTTTACCATCCGACATTAAAGTGAAACCATCACTACACGTACATTGGAATGAACCAATAGTATTTCTACAATACCCCTTACAGCCTCTGCCGCTTGTCTCTAGACACTCGTTTATGTCTATTTGCGTAGTACATTAGGGATATGTTAGAAATGTTTATTTATTGCTGTTTTCTTACCTATACACGATTTATCGTCATTGCCTAATCGAAATCCATTTCTACATTGGCATATATAGCTACCAAGAGAATTTCTGCAAGTATGTTTACAACCGCCGTTAGCCAGTAAACACTCGTCGATATCTTCAAGGGAAAAAAGTCAAGAATAAAAAATAGAAAATATAAACGATATTAGCGGAAATCTTCCTAAGGGGGTAATTGTTTTTTCTTATAAGAAACAATAAGCAAGTCATTTGTGATGTTATTTTTTTATGAATGAAGAAACTCTTAAAATGGTATTAAAAATAAATACCCGTGCAATTAGGTGAGTTTTCTAATTGTTCGAAACCTTGTTTACAGCGGCATTTATACGAACCATACGTGTTAATGCAACTGTGGTGACAAAGTGATTTTTTCGTAGTGCATTCATTAATGTCTATAAAAAAAGGATGTTTATTTTTATTAATAAGTCTAATAGAGAATAGAAATTGTATCTACCTATACACGAAAAGGCATTAGATGCAATAGTAAAACCCTCGGAACATTTACACTCGTAAGAGCCTGCAGTATTTATGCAGGATTGTTCGCATCCTCCATTTCCAGTTGCGCACTCGTCCTTATCTATTTTTAAAGTAGACTTATAAATCAATTTCCACATAGAATAAAATAAATTTGTTAATATTTAATTACCAATGCATTTATTGTTAGTTAATTTATAACCCAAATAACATTGACATCTGAATAAAGAAATAGAAGAATAAATAACTCAATTGTTCATTTATTATTAAAATAATGTTTACCTGTAAGATCCTTCCGTGTTAACACACAATTGATCGCAATTATTCGCCTTTTCCTGGCATTCATCAACGTCTATTCGTTTTAAAAGTATGCTTTAATAGATATTAATTTCTTTTTAATTAAATTACACCACTAACCGATGCATAAATTATTATCATCGCTTAGTTTATATCCGTCCTCGCAAAAGCAACGATAGGAGCCGTGATTATTTATGCAGCCCATTAGCGGATGAGAACAAATGTTCGAGGAGCATTCATCGATATCTATTACGAATAAAATGGGGAATGAGAAAATCTCTTATTAGATCTCTATCTATCCCTTTCTTCATTTCTTTTCAATGGGAAAGTTTATTATAAACATGTGTCTACCTAAGCAGGATTTGCCATTGAGACTAAGCTTAAAACCAACATTACAGGAACATTCGTAAGAACCATAACTGTTATTGCAATTTTGATGACAATCACCATTATTTAACTTACATTCATCCAAATCTGCATAATAGGTATTAGTCAATACATCATATCTATGTAGCAACTCATCCTCTTGTTTACTTACCAATGCACGTTTTATTATCTTTATCTAGTTGAAAATTTGCTTGACAATTACACCTATAACCACCGTATTCATTCACGCATATCTGCTCACAGCCTCCTTTATTATCACTACATTCATTTTCATCTAAGTGGAAAAAGCGAATAAGTCAAATGCGAGCTTAAAAATACTTTTCGAAGGAAGAAACCTTGACACGATAAATCATCTGCGGAAAGAATAAATCCCGGTTTGCATGAGCAATTATATCCACCTTCCGTATTGTGACAAAAATGATCACATTTTGATGTCTGCTCTTTGCACTCGTCAAAATCTATGTATATGAAAGTGAGTATTATTCAATTGTTATATGAATGATTGTATTTTCTTATACCTTCACAAGACTTCTCATCTTCCTTTAACTTATAGCCTCTATAGCATGTACAGCTATGCTTTCCATTTTTATTATTACAAATATGCTCACATCCACCGTTTGCAGTACCACATTCATCTCTATCTTTACAAGACTTACGATCTGCTTCAAGCTCGTATCCAAATTCGCAAGAACAATAAAAGGATCCATCAGTGTTTGCGCATGTATGTTGGCATCCTCCATTAGATATAGAACATTCGTCGATATCTAGATTTATTAAATAATATATGGAAAATGTATAGATAAAAAGACTTTATAAAATATGTAAGAGATGAGAGTAAACACCTTCGCAATCGTGTTTATTAGCACTTAATCTATAGCCTTTCTTACAATTACACTTATAAGATGCTTCTGTATTAAAGCATAATTGTTTGCAGCCGGAACTCCCTTCAAAGCATTCATCGAAATCTGTCAAGGAGGATATTATACATCGGAAAATGAAAGCTACCTATTGGTAAATAGGTAAATATAAACCTGTACAAGTTTTCTTGTCATCTAATAGACGAAGACCGCTTGGACAAGAGCAATAGTAACTACCTATTGTGCATTATGAAGTTATTAATTAAAAAGAACTCTTTTTTAGAAGAGTTTTTAAGTTCTTTATTACCGGCTGAATTATGGCATTTATGGGAACAACGTCCATTAGACTTTTTGCATTCATCTATGTCCATACACTCTGTTCCATTTACAGAAAGAAAGCCTTGATTGCAACCGCAAGAATAACTTCCTGGCGTATTGACACAATAGCCTTTACATTCCGTGCCCTTTGTTAGGCACTCATTTTCATCTAAGTAAAAATATGCAAATATACTATTCGCATCATATACGTTCCAAGTTAACATACCTTTGCAATTTCTCCCATCAATATCTAATTTATATCCATTTTCACAGAGACATTCAAAGGACCCAGGAGAATTTTTACATGTATGAGAACAGGGGTTTGTCAAACATTCATCAATGTCCGTGCAAGTTTTTGAATCTTTACTCAATATATATCCCGCTTTACATACGCAGGCGAATGAACCAGGTAGATTTACACATTTATAAGAGCAAGGATTGGACACACACTCATCAATATCTATGTTTGAATGCGAAATTAAGTCAATTCAAGTTAGTTAAATAAAAAATTAAAATTAACCTTGACAAGTGAAACCATTGGAAGAAAGAACATAGCCTGAACGACATAAACATCTATAACTACCTTCAGTATTTTCGCAATCTTGTTCACATGGAAAATGAGTTGCAACACACTCGTTTACATCAGAACAGGTTCTTGCGTCCCTATTCAGTTTGAAACCTTGCCTACAATCGCATCTAATATTTTCAAAAGATAAAATATATCAAAGAGAAACAATAAATTAAAGCATATTTGACATATACGAAACCTGTAGCGCCCCTTTTCATTAGAACAAAGCTGTTGACATCCATGTGAAGAACCACATTCGTCTATATCTATAAACGATCAGATTCATTAATACGTTATTATTAATTGCAATTCATATAAAACTTACCTTTACAAGACCTTTGGTCAGAATCAAGAACATATCCGGCTATTGAAATTTTTGAAAGAGAATCAAATAGAAATAAAATTGAATGCAGTAGATTTTCCTTACCATTACAACTGCATTTGTGCCCTGGTTCCAAGTTTATACATATCTGTCCGCATCCTCCATTCGAATACTCACATTCATTTAGATCTTTATCAATATAGATATAAGTACCTTATATATGTACTGAATTCTAATTGCGAATAGCTACCTATACAAGTTTTATCATTTGAAGATAATACATATCCAGCTCGGCATTCGCACGAATAGCGTCCTATTTTTTAAATAAATATTGGACAGATAAGAAATTTTCTTTTTTAAACTACCTTTCTCGTTCAAGCAGCTATGTTCACAGTTTCCGTTATTTACGTCACATTCGTTTATATCTAGAATTAGTAATAATTTGATTGATTAAAAAAAGAGCTTATCAAATAAAAGCACATGATATGTTGGTTGAATTAATAAATTTTTGATATAGTATATTGTTTGTCATAACCCTAACCTGAACTTTGACAATTGTTACATTTATAAACCGAGATAATGTTCTCCAAGACAAGTAAAGACGGAAATGTATTTTATTTAAAGTTATCATTTCACTTTTTTACCTTCATTTGAATTTCTTTTTAGAAACAGCCTAATACAAAGCGACTATCGTCTTCATCACAGAGATACTTTGACTCAAATCTCATCCACAGATTAATCAGTAACGGTAAAGTAATACAATTCTTGTGATCATAAAAATGACAAACCTATTTTAATACAGAAAGCCAAATTTCTTTTCTAGGAATATATTAATTTAATTTTTATTATATTAATTTAAAAGACTTCGTAACCCTTTTGAAGTTAAGTCCAAATTCTAATCAATTATTTGAAAGTCGAATGACTACGACAACAAAATATACATAAAATTTTTCTCTTTCCTGTTGTTTCTTAGTTAGCTGCTGCTATTTCTTTTTTGTATATAGAAAGCTCTCCAATATGAACTCAACCAATTTCTCTCTATTATCAAAGGAGAAAGAGCAGCTTCATTCTTGAGAGAAACTTTCTTGATCTTATTTTTTTTATATTTACGAAAGAGTCAAATAAAACTTATATGTGTAACGTAAATCTTATAAAAGATAGCAATAAAAAATTATTTTTCACCTTATGATTAGATTTTTTATTTTGTGAAGAAAGAAAACTAATTTGTGAATCTAATTAAGTATTTTTTCTTATAATCTAAAATTTCGGTATATATTTACTCTTTTCAATTAAATTAGTAAAATATTAAATTTCTAACCGAATTTTATACTTAGAAAAGCTTGATTTACGTTTTAAAGTGTTGTAGAATTTCTCTTATCGTTGAAAATTGTAAATAGTAAATTATAAGAGATTCTTATTCTAAAATAAATTTTCTATACGATTAGAAGCTATAGAAAGGACAATGGAAAAGACAAATTTTTCCTATTTCAACTGCTTCTAATGCACAATAAACTATTTGAGTAAGAATCTCAATCCAATTAATTAGAGTATAAAAAGAAAAGATGAAGAGGATAAAAACACCTACCTGAGCAACTTCTACCGTCTGTATCTAGTTCAAAGCCTTTAGGGCAGGAGCAGGAAAAAGAACCTAGTTTTAAGAAACGAGGTTATAGTTGAGTATTTTCCTCTACTATGCACGCTTCAGTTAATTATATAAGGTCTAAAAAAAGCAAAGTAGTTATTAAGAAACAAACCATATGAATTGATGCAATTATCTTTACATCCTCCATTATTGTTTTGACATTCGTCAAAATCTAACAAAACAGTTTAATTTCTTAATTAATCAATGGGAATGTAAAATACATTTACTAGTTTACCAATGCAAGAATCGTCAATCGTATTTCTTATTAGACCTTTTGGGCATATACATGAGAAAGATCCAATAGTATTTATGCATTGGTTATTATGACCGCATTTATGGCCAAGTTCACATTCATTCACGTCTAGGAAAAATCAAAAATTCTGTTTTAGTAAAATAAGTATTTATTTTATTCTTAATTAGTTAACCTTTACAAGTTTTCCCATCCATATTAAGTTGGAAACCTTTACCACAAGAGCAAATAAAACTTCCAGGTGTATTTGTACAAGTCTTTTGACAATTACCGTTATCAACCCTACATTCGTCAATGTCACCACATGTTTTCCCATCGATTTTTAAAGAATATCCTTTAATAATTAATAAACGAAAAGCTACAGATTATACATATTACTTTTAAATCACTAATGTTAATTACCATCTGGGCATTTACATCTAAAATCTCCAATTTGATTTTCGCACATATGCTCACATTGGCCATTATTATTTATACATTCGTTAATATCTTATTATTTAATGGACAAATATAAATATATTATTAATACTGTGTATATACTATATATAATATATTAATAATTTTTTTCTAATCTACCTGAACATGTTTTACCATCCTGTTTTAATCTGAAACCGGATGGACAAACACATCTAAAAGTTCCTATGGTATTTTCACAACTGTGTTTGCATCCATGATCAGATAAACATTCGTCTATATCTTTAAAAAATAAGATAATTGCAGAATTAATAAACATGAATTGAGGAAAAGTAAATAAGCAAAAAAGATAAACCTTGACATGTTCTACCATCATCTAATAGTTTAAAGCCAACTTTACACGAACACGAGAATTTAGAATCTTCATTATGGCAAAAATGATCACAATTGTGTGAATGACATTCGTTGATATCTTAAATTAGAGAAATAATCTTACTTAGATATAACTAAAGATTAGTATGTATTTATATATACCAGAACAGCTTCGACCGTCAGCATCCAATTTATAGCCAGCTTTACATGAACACATAAATGACCCGTAAGTATTTTTACAAGAATGCATACAACCACCATTTCTAACTAGACATTCATTTCGATCTGAAGGATAGATTCTTCAATTAATTGAATTTAGCCTTTGGAAAGAAAGCTATAATCTAATAGAACCTATACAAGTCTTTTCATCAACTTGTAAAACAAATCCTTCTTTAAAACATGCACAAGTGAATCCTGGAGATCTATTAATGCATTGTTGATTACATCCAGATTGACCATTTGAACATTCATCAATATCTTGAAAGGAAATTTAATTAAGGAAGTCTAGCTGATTTATTATTGATTGGCCTATGAGATTTAATATTTCAAACTACCTATACAACTTTTCTCATCCTGGGCTAGTTGATAGCCTTTTTCGCATGAACATTTATAACTCCCTTTTGAATTTGTACAAATTTGACTGCAACCTGATGCTCTTCTTGAACATTCGTCGATATCTATTAAAGAGTTTATTAATTATACAATATTAATATAATATATAATGTATATTTACCTAAGCATTTTAAGTTATTAAGAGGATCAGTTTCATAGCCGTCTGGACAAAGGCATGAATAACTCCCTAATTAAAAATGTATAAAAGACTATATGGATAGTTAATATGCAAAAAATACGAAACCTTTATTATTGATACAAGTTCCTTCACATCCACCATTATTTTTGAGACATTCGTTCCTATCTATTCATTTATTCAAGAAAAATATCGATATTCTTAGATATTGCGCAATAATACAATAAGAATATTAAATATCAAACCGTGGCATTGCTTATGGTCTAGAAGAAAATATCCAGAGTTGCACAAGCAATTGTATGAGCCTATAATGTAGAATATAATATATTAGTTATAACAATATAATAATTAATTAGTTAATAATAGGATAGACCTGGGTTATTTTCGCAAGTATGGCCACAGCCGCCATTATTCGTTTGACACTCGTTAATATCTATTTAGAATAAGTTTTTTAAATTTATAGAAATTAATCTAATTAAAAAAAAAGTATTATTTTCATCTACCAGAGCAATTTTTACGGCTTATTAATTTAAAACCATCGTTGCAGGTACAATAGGATCGTTCTGGTCCTTTCTCGCAGCTATGTTGACACCCTCCATTGTTTATATCGCAATTAATTTTAGCTGTATGAAAGGAGAAATGATTGATTTCATAATAAATAAACTGCTGTTTTATTATTCTTAATATAACGTATAAGTATTCGTTATATAAATATATATTGTGTACATACTGCACAATATTCTAGGTAGTAATGAATATTGATGAGATTGATGTCAACTTTGAATGATAAAAATTCCTTTTAAAAATATTTAAATAAGCTAAGGCTTATGTTTATTTATATAATATTAAACGTATTTCACTAATACTCCTATAAACACTATAGAAAATATTGAACTATTACATAATACGTTTCTCCTTAAATAAATTATAAAACGCCTTTCTAAATTAATTATGATAATTTGATATTTGAGTAGGAAAGAAGGAGGAAAAGAAAAAGAAAAAACACTTACGAAAACATTCCCCATCATCATTTTCGTGATTTTCACAACAAGATTTAACAAAAGTACGCATTCTAGTATGATGAACTAGGCACGTGATCTTATTGCCAATCCTAATTTTAGAAGTGCACTTATATATATATATATTTATAAGTATTGTAAATATCTGTTTTCTATGTAATTATATAAATATTATTTTATTTTTATAGTAGGAAAAAGATTAAATAACAAAAAAAAAAATGCTACCAAGAACCACTGCAAGGTTCTTTTTGGAGATCTGAAGAAGTACATGAGCACGTTTCAGGTGACGATGTACAGCACCATCTGCTTTCATTTTGTGAAATAATTTCCTGAACGAAACCAGGCTTTGTTATGATACAACTGTAAACAAATAAAAAAACTTCATTTATTATCGTAAACCTTAGTTTTTTCTTTTTAACAAAAGAAAATAAAAATGGTATGAAAAAAAAGAAACTTTGATTCGTGACATTCTAACGGTATTGAATTGATCTTTCTTTTCTTTTTTTTCTATATATGCACATACCCTTTACTCGGTTCTGCGTCCGTGGCTGTCCATTGATATGCCGATAAAAGGCGTCCAGTTGAGATAAGTGCAATTAGGAATAAAAAATTCATTTTCTCTGTTTATATCTTCTCTTATATATATCTCTCTTCTTTTTCACAATATTTATATATATATATATATATATGTATATATATGCATATGCAATATATATATATATATATATATATATTATATATAGATAAAGATAAAAACAAAATGTGGAGATTTCAATGCCAAAATCTAGTTTTATGTTTATATATATATATATATATATATATATATAATATATATATCAACCTTCGCGTTACTCTTTCAACAAAGACTGTTCCAGGTAGGTTCGATTCTTGTTTATACGCTTAGGCCTCGCTTGGTTGAGAAATGCGACCAAAACCACATTAATGTCATTCAAGTAATAATATATAGAATATTAATTTTTTTTATAAGTCTATTATATTAGTACGATACAAGTTGTATTTTGTAGGACGTAGCACGATTTTGTATCGATAGAAGGAGAGAGAAAGAGGGTATGTGTATGTGTGTTTGATAAAAGATACAGTTTATGAATTTAAGAGCAAAAAAAGAAAATAATTTGCATTTTCCCTTAAAACAAGACAATTTACAAAAATTGTTTAAATCGATAATATAAATTTAATTTTTTAAGTGACATTCCAATCTGTTTTGATTTTTTTTTCTTCAAAGTTGTTTACATTCCAGTTTCTCTTTCTTCTAAATACAACTCTTGGGTTTTTTCTTTCATTGTAAACAGGTACTATCGTATTTATTTGATGCGTAATTTAAAAAATGAAGAAAAAACTTGCCTAAAATTGCGCTCTTGTTACGCAATCATTTGAATTTGATCTACATATATTATAACATATCAATCAATATCATCTTTATAGTGCCTTAACAGCGTCTTTTTAGTCTATTGTTAAAAGAGACGTCTCATAGTGTGGATGAATATTACCAATCCTATTTTAGGAAATTTGAATATTTAGACGTGATTCGGTGACAAAGAAAATGTCTGACCTAACTTATCCAACTCACGAAACCGTTACAATATATCTTGGAAACTTTAATAAAAAGAAAGAATGAAGCGAAAGAGACAGAGGCCTACATTTATTTCCTTTCTTTCATAGAACGTTTATTATAGACAAGAAATGCCTCTGTAAAGGCGTCTTTTACAGAGTTCCTTATTTATTTCAAGAGGAATAAATCGTACAAGCAGAGTTTGTCTTCTCTCCCGAGAATTTCGTCATTCTAGAAGCTGAATCAGCAAAGGGTTGTACAGAAATAACCAGTTTAACTCTCTTTTTTGTCCTATAAAAGGTCAAGAACTCCCCATCTTCTTTTTCGCCATTCCTTTTTTATAGGAGTAAATTCTTTCCCTAACAGATTACATCGTAAATGATCAAATCTTTACTTTGTATTAATACTTTATGTATACATATACTTATAAATATCAATGAAAATAGTATGTTTCTTTCAGCGTATTTATTTATACTATATACAGTACATAGTATGGATAATTTATATCATTTCTCAATACATTTACAAGCAAGACTATTCAGATAAACGTATTTAACTTTTACATAATTCATAGATAAAATTATTAACAATTTGTTAAACTGTAAAGTTGATATAATAAAAATATTGTATGACTCCATCTACCGGTAATATAAGAAAATAGTACTAGTTTTTTATGTCTAATTATAATACTTTAGGGATGTATACTATGTCCTAGTGGCATTTTTTTCTATTTTATCGAATGAAACGTTCCATCTTTTTTTTCTATTTCCTACCCTTTTTTCATTACGTCTAAATAGTTTAGTTTATTTAAAGAAACTGGTTGTTTAACTATTTCTTATATTAGGCTAGAGGGTTTGCTTGTTAAAGAAGAAATCATACTTGATATGTAACACAAGGATATCTAATACTAATTAAAAACACCTCAAAATCTTACAACTACTAATTATATAGCTAAGATCAATTTATGGAAGCTTTTTTTTCCAGAATGGAAAACTCAACTTAATCCGTTTCTGTTTAAGCTTGGTTTCTTTTATTTCTCTCTCTCTCTCTCTCTCCTTTTCTCCACCCAAAATTAACGAAACGTTAAAAAAAATACTGCAAAACTGTATATATCTGCTCTTGTTCAATTTATATTCATTTATTGCGTTCTAGTCATAAAATTTATGAAATTATGAAAATTATAATTTTGTATATTTAAAACTTTTCTAGCTAACAAAATCCTCACGGGCAATCAATGACCTTCTAAATATAGTCTCTTCCCTTGAAGAAGACTTCCACGAAGAGGACTTGAACCCTTCTAAGATCCTTATGAATTAAGTTTCTATAAGTAGAATCTGCCAAATTAATGTTGAGATAAGGTAATGAGAAGGCAAAGAAGAAAAAGAGACTGGAATGGAAAGAGAGAGGCAAGTAGATAGATAAACTGACAGGGAAAAAAAAGAGATGAAGTAAGGAAAGTCAATGTGACATAATAAAAATAGCGAATGGAGAATATTGCTAACGCAACCTCGAACTTCTACAAACACTTTAAGAGGGGGTTCTTACAACAATTAGCAATAGAGTATAAAAGAAAGAGATGCTTTAAAATGTCTTTATTACCCTATGCGTAAGGTGATGGTGAAAGGGCCCTTAAATGATGACACTTTTCCGCCCTTCAAATGTCGTATGAAAGCGACAGTGAGTGTATTCTATGTCCAAGATCGATCGATGTCACAAATTGAGAGCCGATAGACGCTTGGCATGAAGTTTCCGACGTCACTTTTTTTTTATTGATAAAATAAAAGAGGAAAAAAATGTTTATTTCCATCGAATAGCTGAGAATCCTTCTCAGACAGTTTTAGATACTATTTTTAAAATAGAGGATAATAAGAAACGACTTGTTTTGCCTATAAACATTTAACCTACGGAAAAGATGCTTTATAATAATAGATCTTTTGTTAACTTTTATGATATTTTATCGGCAAATTAATGTACCTACAAATCAATAATATATTCAATATTCTTTGAAATCGACTCTACCAATTTATATACAATATTCTTATTGTAAAGTAGCTACGCACTAGTTTCAATCTTTATCGTCCTTGAATTCGTATTTTAGTTTTCTCTATTTTAAACTCAAAACCATCTTCGAAGTAATTGTCTTTCAATAACTAATTTACGATTTATTAAGGGGATATAATTCGTAAAGGTGAAGGACAATAAGGTCGTTATTCTACCTCTTACGTTTCCATATGGTTGGCAAGAGGTGATACCGGATTTTTGACTGTTAGTTAACTTAAGGAAAATTGGATTCCTTCGTTTCTAATCCCGCTAAAGCTGCTTTTGTGTAATTAAACTAATTTAATTTCGCCCGGCGTCTTACAAACAAATTATAAAAGCGCCGTCTATCGGTATCGCGTAGAATTTCCAATTTGGCATTTGTTAAGTGAAGGGCGCTTGTAGAAGTTATGTTTCATACGCGTTAAAAGCAAGATATTGTTTGTACATTGGTTTCTTTTTATAAAAGAGAAAAGAAGACAAAAAATGAAGCTACTAAAAAGAAAGTAAGTTGAGTTAATGTTGTATAAGAGAGACAATGTAAAATAGAAAATATTTTACCTCTTTTTTTGTTTATATTTAACAAAAACATTTTTTTTAATTACTTAATTTCACCTTTTATCTATAAAAAATATTGTTAATATTGATATTTTATATGACTGCTATAGTTGAAAATATTACAAAAAGCTATTTAAGAGGCTTATATCAGTGCATCTCGGGTCCATTTAATAGGAGTAAAAGATTAAAATAAGGGGTTTATGAATAGATAGTATTATTTTATCGAATAATCGTTTTAAGGCTATGACTCCTCGGTATAAAATAACAACAATATAAGTTAGTATATATGGAGCATACGTCTATGTATGTGCACTTATTTATAAAAGGGTACATGAATAAAATAAAAATAGAGAGCTATTTGTTTCGTCTTGCCAACTTGTGCTACTAAATTTCTCTCAACAACTCTAGTTCAATCCTCGACAGGCCTATATACAGTGCAATTGGTCTCTAAAGGCCTTCCATCATTTCTATATTTCTAGGCAAAAAAAATATAAAGCATAGATGACAGAAACAAGAATGAAACGATTCTCCTTTTCTGCAAAAATTACATTACGTCTGGTATAAATTTAATAGATTAGCTTATTTATTCGTTTTGTTTTGTTTCAATTTTATAAGTGAAAACATAGTGGAAGTAGAGAGTAAAGGGAAGAATAATAAGTGGAAAAAATAGTAAAGAGAAGTTGTACTAATAGCAGTTGTAACTGTAGCTTGCCTAAAAAACTAAAGAGAAAGCAACATAAATGTGAGAAAAAATAAGGAAATAAATAAAAAAAGAGAAGAAGAAGCAGGCGATACGAAAGGGGATAAGAGAAAATAAATAAGTGCTTTATTAAGTTTAGCATACGACAATTTTGATTACCTTTGCTTTAGATAAAAAAAAAATGAAGAAACTTATACAATGATCAAACTATCTTTTCTTACAAATTCAATATTTATGGATCTATAATAAACAAGCTACAGTTTGAATGTTTACACAACCGTTGACAAACAGTCTATAGAATGGACTATAATTCTTAAAGCTTTCTTTTTCCTTTTTTTTTAAGAGAAATTCTCTAACAGTAGTTTATTTAGGAAAAGAAGAAAGAAATTGATAAATTTTCTTTCGTAGTAATAATTTACTTAAATATTCATAAATAATTTTTTTATTGTTTTATATCTGTACAATAGGAAAAAGAGATATTTGTATGAATAAATATCTATAATAATAGATTAATCAATTGATAAATATGTAGAAATGTTTAGAGTTCTTTAAAAGCAGAATAAGAGGATATAGGTGATCAAGTTTATTAAATATTCATTGGTCCATGGCGATGAATCGACGCGAAAACAATCGCCTTGCGCGAAATTGTGATCAATTCTTAGTATACCTACGAGAAATGTTCGTTTTTCGTTGGCTCCCTTATCAGTTACAGATAAGGCGTCCTTGGAGAGTACTTTGCATGCTAAAAAATTGCAGGAAAGGAGACCCTCACTCCTCATCCCGTCCAACTTTGTCTCTTTTATCAGCTCTTTTTAAAATTGTACGGCGTCTCCTATGCTAATTTTACTTGCTATTTTTTAGTACAAGTCTGTTGCGTAAATAATAACGCCATCTAGGGCTGACTAAGAAGTATATTGTACGATTGATCCAGGCTGATTGCTCCAGTTTATCTTACAATTAAATCACATAAAATACATAAATCTGTATAAATCGATATGAAATTGAAGAGAAATTTGGAGGGAAAGCTCTATCGCATTGGCTAATATACTTATTAATTATCGTTAGACGCATAGGCCTATTTCTCATTAATTACTGGTCGATTTTCCCTCAGTGTTTTATTGGCGGTGAGACAGTTGAAACGTTATTAGCTTTCCAAGAAAAAAAGATATCTTTCTAATTTAGTATATATATAAATATATTAGTATATATACTGTATATATATAAATTTATATACTGTATGTAGGGCATATTTAAAGAAATAAAACTTTACGTGCATATGAATATTTAATTATATATATGAAGTATGTTTATAGCAAGTTCTTTTTTTGCTTGAGTCGATATCACACAAACTGTAACAAAGGCAAAATAGCTGGTATGAAGAAAAGGCGTCAAAAGGTTATTGACTATTAGAATTACCCTTCTCTAAAGTCGACCAATAAATTAGTTTACTTTTTTTTAAAAATAACATACCGTTAAAACCTTTAGCATAAAGAGCGTTACTTTTTTATTATATGTACTGTATATATACAAAATATAAGAGATTAAAGAGGTGAAGTAAAATACCATCTCTCTCTTTCTCTCTCTCTCTCTCTCTACTACTACTTCTACTACTTTCGTTTTGGAGTAAAATGGTAATTTCTTGTTTTATTTTTCCAAAAGAATAAAAAAGGAATAATACCGAAAGATAAATGCAAAATCTTTAAGGAAGTGAACGTTTTGTAGCATAAAGTTTTTTTTATCTAATTTAGGAGGAGTGAAGAAAAGCTAACCAAAGCTTTTAGGCAAATGGAAGGATAGTAGAGAGGGTAAAAAAAATTTGCTATAAAACTATGTACAAAGCGAAATTTGAATGGTACTTTTTCTATTTAGTAATTTTTGAGGGGTAATTTTCTATGAATTTTTCCAATCTATCCTTCATAAGTGCGTATTCGATACAACTATTATTCCTCTATAAATGACTGTACAATTATCTTTCCACGATCACATGATTCCGTAATGGAGAGTTGTTTGTTACCGATAGATGTAGAGAAAAAGAAAGAGAGATAGATTAGGGAGTGGTTGGTAGAAGGGGAATGATCGAGTGGATGAGAGATTTTCGTAATATACAATTATCTCTTTTTACTTCTGGTCCTTATTATGCATTCATTGCATCATATTTTTACATAATTACCCTAAAATTTATTGCATAACCGTCTTTCGTGACTTCTTGACTATCTATCAAGCATTTTTAACCTGAGGGGGGTTTTCCATAAAGGCTAAATCTTACTTAACGATTGTTATTTTTCTTGGAAAAGGAGGAAAAAGGTGTTTTTAACTTTAACATCCACGCCCAATAATAAATTGAGTAAGAGCGTCGATCGAAGCGAAAAATAAGTTTGCCAAACTCCAAACCCTTTGTATAAGTTGTATAGTAAAAAATTTGGTTGGAATTCAATAAATCAAGCCAAGCGAAACGAAACGCAGGGCTGCAAACAACAGCTGCAAAATCGCAATTGCCCGACAAACTCTCACTTATAAAAGCGACGCCTATCCATCAAAGGACTACGAGGCAACAAGTCGCCTTCTATCATTCCTTACTCACCCTCCCCCTCCTCCCCCTCATTCCTAAACTGACTCCCCTATATTTTATATAGTGAATTTTTCAATACAGCTATCTCTCTCTTATTAACCCTCCACACGTTCGTTAGGCAAGGTAACAATGTATACTACTTCTGTCTTCTTTTCCGCCCATCTTGCCCGTTAGGGAATCAAGCGCTTTCAAGTGTATTATTTCCCTCGATAACCGCGAAAAATTGCGTTACTAAAACGATGCTGGTTTTTAGAAGCGCGTCTAGTCCTGACAAACGCCACGGAAGCCTGTTAAGTCGACTTGATCTGCGTGGCAGACTGCCGTTGACAGGCGTAGAAATGAAAGTGTCTCTTTTCGGTGAGAGACGAAAATTGCGAATTAGTTTAGTTTCCAACAGCGACGTAAAGAAATTGGTTAACTAAAGATTAACATAATACATAAAATGTAAATATATGCAATCCGTAGTAAATAAATACGTGTACAATATCCAAATATTCAAACAGTCGAAACTAGTAGGCCTACAATAAGTATAAATACAGTATATATATACAGTATATATATGTATATATCTTGTACACCATAGTTGTTTATAACAATACCTAATTACCATACTAATGCTAGTAGAGATAATATGCGACCTTAATAATAATAATAAACAAATGAAATAACAGAGTATGTTTTTTTTTATACCAATCCCATCATTTATTGTAGGCCCAGTTTTCACGATCTATTCCAGTATGGCTTTGAGCCGTAATTAAGAAAGGGAATAAGAATATTTCATCATTTAAAATACTTAGAAAGATTGAAAATTATTTATATATATACTAAAAATCGTTCTACTCTTTGTAGTTATTCATTCCCAGCACATATATATTACAGTATATATACTATATAAGTTAACAAGTTTTACATATATGCACTACATATACTAACTAGAGATATATACATACATATATACTGTACATATATTAAAATGCTGACGCAACAAGCTTATTTAAACGGACAAACATGTTTTACCGTATACGAAAAGAGAGTGAGTCTATGCAAATGCAATTCAATAAGAAAGAAGACTAGCTAACGAAAATGGACAGGGCACGTACAACTTTCGTCGACTAGAATATGAAGAGAAGTTTGCTAGGCATCAAACTAATTAACTGTATAGTAAAGTGATTAGAGTTAATTGAACGATCGAGCCAAAATCGGATCACCTTTTTCTCACTCTCCCTCGTTCTGCTTTCTTATGTTCCTGTTTTCTTCTCTTCTCCCTTTCAATCACCTTTAACTCTTGTACCCTCTTAACCTGAAACAAAAGAGGGATTTACACTATCACCTTTATGTTTCGCATTGACCGTTTTCAGTAGAAAAAAAAACATTATGCACTCATAGACTATACGCCAATGGCAAAATGGATGAAAATTGATTGCCGATCACGAGGTCGTTCTATGCAGGGCACAACGTAGCCAATTTCCGGTCAAATCGTCTTATTTTTCTTTAACGTTACCCAAAAAAAATTATAAATGGAAAGTAATAGTTTTTCCAGGTAGTAGGTAAAGTACAAGTACATTATAGTCTGTTATCACTTAGGTAACCTTATAGTATTGTTGAGTATAGGACAGTTTTTAATTACTTCCTTTTTTTCAACTTCCTCTTATCTATATTTAATAATTTCATTACTTCCTCTCCTGCCATTTAATTAAAAAATATACCATGAGCGTTGTGTCAGAAAGAGGAAGACGAATGATGTATCGCCTTGTTTTTTTTTTTACCGGTTGAAAATTTAGAAACAGAAAGAAAAACTAGAGCGATTCCTTACAATTCACGGTTCGCGTTTCATCAAACGATTACTGGGCGTCTAATTACTGCAAAACAGACGAAAAATACTGAATAGATTACTAATCAGTTTGATAATGATCACTTTTATTCTACTTATAGTCAAGTCACTGCCTTTTCTTACTAAAATAAATTTAAGTAATTTTCATTTTAAAGGGATTGCGCAATAGAGAGATATAGATGGCGCTGTTTGATTTTACCATCTGTAGAAGTTTTTCTAGATGTATTTCTAATAGTACGTATGCACACTTAAACGGATAATACATAGATAATATATTATTGACCTATTAAGGAAACAATAACATTTACATTGAAAAACAATAATATTTGATTGATAATTTGAAAATTGAATAGCTCTCACAGAAAACTCAGATAGAAGAATCGTTCAATGAGTATGTCCTTTAAACAATAAACGTTTTCTTAAGAAGAGAAAAGGGTTAATAAAGAAAGGAGAATTTTGATTTAACAAAAATAAATTACAAGTTTTTTATGGTAAGAGTGACCATCACTTTATATGATTATCAATTAAGTGGAAAAAAGTACCGATTGAAATGAATTTACTGAAGCGGAAAGGCTTAGAGAGAACATTAAACTAAACAGTTTCGGATGAGGTTCTAAAATAGAATGAAGGGAAGTATAGCTCCTTCTAAGCAAAGCAACAAACTCGAATGTGTAATGCTGCTGAAGCGAGACAAACTTCGTTTGCCATTCCAGCGTTCGGCTAATTTGCTGCTTGTTTGCAGTTGAAGGCTATAGCTAACGAGATAGTTTTGGTAGCATAAATTTTTGAACACATCTTTTTCCCAAACCGAAATTTTGTTATTTACTTTAAAATATTGTATGTCTTGACAAACAAACAAAGAAATATCTATTTATTATATAGATTCAGTTCTAATCTATAATATTTTCAAGTCTAATTACTTGTTATCATATCCCTGTCATAAAAATACAATGCTTTTGAAAAATTCGCATACCTTCGTGACAAACCTTGACAAACTGTAATTTGTAATAAATTGGTAAGCTATAACGGGTAAATATACATCAAGTAGCCTTAAGTGCTTCTGCTATGTCGACCTAATTCAATTTGTTTGCAAAATTCATCGAATCTGTGGTTCTACGCAGTCTCTCCTACTGAGAGAGATTTCCAGTGAATTCTGTCAAGTTTCTAAAACTTTTGCCTAATGCAATTCGCCCATTCTTTATAGTTTAATAGATTGCTAAATAGGGTTCGTTTTAAAAACTAGTAAAAGAATAGGAAAAGAATGATAAGTATAAAATGGTAATTATCAATTATACCTTTCTCTTATTCTATCATACTCTTCAAAGAGAAGTTCAATATGAATTACAATCCAGTTTTTTAGGGACAACCTTACTTTCAAAGTCATCTACCTATTGTAATCATCTGCAATTTACAGTTTTATTCGATCTGATATACTAAAATCAATTTAGAGATGGTCAAGGAAAGAAAGCCAGTGAAACTGTTTAATATCAAGGATAGATTCTAGAAAATACAGTTTATTATTACCTTTCCACTACTCTTTTAGTTCTTTTTATTATATACATTTCATTTAACTATCTCTTATTAATTATCAAACATATAGAGCTTGTTTTCTTTTTGCCTAATGAGGTTTTATTTTCCGTACAGCTTAAAAAATCTTTTCTTCTTGATTTTCCACTTTACTCTCTCATTACCGTGTCCAGAAATGTGCAGCTGCAAATTAGTCAATTCAACTACGTGCTTGGAAAGCGGGAATTTTGTGGTTGACTGCAGCGATGGAGAACTTTCCGATCAGATAAAGGGGTTAGGAGACGCCAACGCTTTGGATTTGTCTCGTAATCATTTTGAGCTGAGACAAGTTCTGGAACTTGTACGAGAAATGAATAACTTAAATAAATTGACAGCAAGATGGAATCATATTCACACTCTAGATGGCGCCTACTTACCTGTTTCATTAAGGTTTAAACTTTAGCTTAATGAAAATAAGGAACAATACTCATAATTTTATTCTAAAACAGATGTTTAAGCTTTTCAAATAACATCATTGAATCCATTCGAAAAGGCTTCTTTAATCATTTAAAGAATCTCCAAAGTTTGGATATCTCCAGGAATCGGATTGAAATCTTGAATGACGATATTTTCATAGGCCTAATCGATTTAAAATATCTAGATCTCAGTGGAAACTTAATATTTGATGTTTCAAATTGGATTGGCAGTTTAACAGAGTTAAGGACATTGGTATTATCAAGAAACGATATCACAGTAATAGAAGATTATACATTCCAACATTTACATTTATTAGAAAAGATTGATTTGAGTTTGAACCGATTAAATCATATTCATAGCAAAGCATTTTTAAATTTACATAGTTTAAAGCTGTTAAATCTTAGTCATAATCATCTAGAAAGAGTACCCTATGCTCTCAAATTGTTAAAGTTAGAGTCTTTGGACTTATCTCATAATTCAATCCGAATTGTTCATGAGGACGATTTTTGTTTCTCAATTACAAATGAATTAATATTAAAAGGGAATAAATTAATATTAATTGATTCTCAATCGTTCTGCCAATTACATGCTCAAATTTTGGATTTCTCTCATAATAGTCAGTTAGTTTATATCGATAGAAATGCTTGGATAAATGCAACTTCTTTAACAACATTCAATTTAATTGGCAGTAAACTCACAGCTTTGGAAGATAATCTATTGAATTCTGCACCAAATTTAAAAGAAATATACATAGATAACGACATCTTAAATTGCGATTGTGGCGTTAACAAGCTCATAAACTTTATCAACACTACAAATTGTATTGATGCACCATCGACTTGTAAACCTCGAATAATTTCGCATCTACTACCAAATAGATTGGTTGTCGATTTAGGTGGATCAGTAAAATTATTTTGTAGAGCTGTAGGCGATCCACACCCCAATATCGCGTGGAATGGGAAATTACCGATTATTGGTAGAAATTTAGAAATTGATTTTCTTGAAAAAAAACATCAGGGAAACTATAATTGTACTGCAAAAAATGTTTATGGCCAAGATTCTGCTACAGTAACAATTATTGTACGAAACTTACACGCAAAGGTTAAAATTATTAGCATTTTATAATTCACCTAACGATATTAATTATATCCCTCCAAATATTTTTCTACTTTTAGGTGCTTATTATGAAAGTGACGTCACACTCAGTAACAGTGGGTTGGAGAGCTAATTCCTCTTCTTACGAGAGGAGTTATGAAATTCTTTATAGAAGACATAAAGAGCACAATACCAGCTCCTATAGTTCGGTTGAGCTTCAACCATATATGAGGGAATATACCATCTCTAAATTGTCGCCTAGAACCAAATATGAATTTTGCATGGCGGCCAAGCATGGTAGTGACTTAATTCCTCTGCATTGCAAGAAGGTAGCAACGAGGGCAGTTAGCTACGAGCGCTTAGGGATATTGAGCGCCAGAAATTATGTAATAACAGGAGCTATTGGCTGCATAATTACATTGACAGCAGCGTTTTGTGGCTTGGGTATTCTTGTTAGAAAGTTCAATAAAAAGAAACGCTTGCAAGACAACCTTTACGCTGCAAACGAACATTCCTCACAAACCTTTCTTGCACAGATGGATGCAATGATGTGTGATGACGTAACCACACCAATTACATTTGAAAACCGAATAGCTCAATTTTTTGAAGAAAATGAAGAAGATAGTGATATCTACCAAACTGCTAATACGCCAACTTAAAATATACAGTATACTGTATAGATTTGAATATGTATATATACTAAAAGATAACAATCAGACAGACAAACAAGACATGTTTATACACATTGAATGTTATATTCGCTGTTTCTGTTACATAATATCTTGTATAAATACATATAAATTATTCATATGTTTAATACTTTTATATAGATAACTGTTTTTATTAATTATGGATAGATTTAATACAAAAAGAACTCTTTCATTTCTCTATTTACAATATATAGAGTATATATGTATTGTATTTACAAATAGTTCGAATTTTACTCTTAGAAAAAAAGATCTTTTTCCTATTCTCCTAATCTATTCCCACGTGATCGCTCACCCTTATTCTCTTTTTAAGTAAAGTATTGTAAAAAGATCAAAGATTCCATAGTTAAAGTAATAAAAGAACTGTTGAATCTTGAAAGAATCCCCATTGTTTATAAGCCTTTAAATTCTCTACATTCTTAATCTTTCTTTCAGAATGACTTTTAGATATTTGAAATATTTAAAGAATTTAACATATTTTCACCTAAGGTGACAGACTGTTATAAACTCTATCCGTATACAATTAAAGAACGCTCCAAAAATACTCTTTATTTAACCGCAAGATGGCGACTTCTTACACTCTATATAGAGTAAAGAGTGGTAGACTACGATGGCAATTATGATATATTGATATCTCTACGTATTGAAAAGATAATAGCTAAACAGACTATATAAATTAATTATTAAATAGTTCAAATAGAACTTGTATAAATATAAACAAACATTGTATATAGAATCTTAATTGAGAGGAGTAAATATCATAAAAGATTAGCGCTATTAATTGAAAATAAAAGTCTAAAAACAAAAGCTATTCTAACTATCTTATATCTGCTGAATAAGGTAAAACAAACCGAAATAAATTTGCATAAATTAAAAAGAAAATTCAATTTTGTATTCTTTCTCTTCTTTCTCCTATAAATAAAATAGTATTTTCTGATTAAAATATTAATAAATAATAATAATTTTACCTTTCAATTAACTTTAAGAAAATCGTTTATTAACTAAACATATCAATATAAATCAATAAAACAGTGATTATCTGCATATTTCTTCTATAGAGACTAGTAAAATAACTATATAACTTATATACATAGAATAGTATATACTATATAAATACTTAAATACAAGGAATCATTCAGTTAAATGTAAATGAATATTTTTTATTTTTAGGAGAATAGTACTAGCAATTTCTATTTTTAGAAGGTTAATGGGGGCTAGAAAATTAAGGTCAATATATAGGAATCTTAGATCAATATTTTTCTCATTAACGGAAAAATATGTCGGCACCTTTCGTTTTTTTTTTCTTTATTCCCAAAAAACAACCCGTCAAGGCTTTACTCGGATAAAAAGGATGCCCTACAGGTAAGATTCGATAACAACGGGTCGACACGTTCTTTCTACTCTCCTTCAACAATGGATTAGTTAGCGACTCCCTCCTGAGAATAACTTTTCCCTCTTATTAATGCTTTTATTAACTAGAACCGTTTCGATCAAACTGTTAAGTTGTTACTTGTCATGTTCGGATGAGTTGTAATCAGCTGATTAATAAAACATTTATAGCTACGTAATTGGCGTTGAATCGAGTTAAATATTTCAAGCGAAAATATCTAAAAAAAGATAGAATCGTACATTGAATAATAAGATGAGGTTAAAAGCTTTCTTCACTCTCCAGTATTAAACTTAACGAAAAAATTATTCAGCTATAACTAATCTAATGAAATCGAATTCTTCTCTCGACGTATTTTGCATACATTAAATAACTGATTAATTAGGCTCTCCGGGACAACTATTGGAATTTTAAGAGCAAATCCCTATGTTTCTAATCTTTCCCCAAATGCATTCATTTTACTATCGTTAATCTAAGTTTTGGCTCGTAATTATTCTGAACCCTGTGCCTTTTTTAAACATCCCAAAGGATACTATGACATCTAAGGTTGGCGATAAATTAAAGGCATTTGTTCAGTAAAGAGTAAATCTTTCAAATAGTTTTACTCTCATTCCATATGAATATAAAGAAAATATATTAATAACAAATGGCTACGCTAAAAGGGTCTCTTTATCTTTTATTAATCGTCTACAATAAAAAGCTAAGAGAAAGGAACGAGAGTAAAAGAGACAGAGATAGAGAGAGAGGTAGACAGAGGGAGAAAAAAGAACAAGTCTTAATAGAAAGATAGAAAGAAGGAGACAACACAGGAGAAGGAAGAGATAACTAGAGAAAGTAAATATCGTTGGAGAGCTTCATTATATACAGCAACATTCATCATTCTTTCAAAAATTAAGGGCCAAAAGAATATATTTTAAATAACTAGTATATATTTTAGCATTGAACCCTTATTGAGAAAATATGAGATGTGAGACGACAAACAGGAAGTAATAGGTAATTCCCGAGAGACGACATCATACACTTAGACTTCTTCTTTGGTAAACAACCGATGCTGATGGAATTCGGATAGAATTTCATTTTACAACGTTTATTATGAATCTTTAACTCTTATCATATATCTATATATATATTATTTTGCCCCGCTTTCAATGGCCTTGCCATACGTAACTGTGTCTATAAAAATTTATACTATATATACAAAAAATTCTATATATGTATATTTGTTTATTTGTATACATTTGTCTTTCAATTAATCAATTATTATATCCCTGTTGTATGCTCTAAACAGTAAGTTGATGAATAATTGAAGATATTGATTTCTTCCTAATGAACATGCGATAATTGCATGTATAATGAACTGCTAGAATAAGCAAGGAATATAGGTATCAATAATTAGTTCGTATTTTATAGAAATAGCTTAATAAACACGTGACGAATAGCGCAATTAAAGTAAAAGCGACACCTGGCAACGCAAAGCCCTTAATCATTGCAGAATCCTACCGCATTCTGCATTTTGTCTACAGCAGGGATGAAGGGCGCCAATGTTTTTTGGTATGTATGTTCTATACTCTTATTTTTCCATTATGTATTTTGGATTTAATTTTTAGTTTTTGTAAAGCAATTTCCATTAATAAACTAAATTAGTTTCATAATATATAGAATATATAGAATAGGTATATATAGAAAAAAATATGCATATATCTCGTTTTCTCTATTTTCCAAGAGACTTTTAACGTCTCGGGAAATCAATCAAAAAAAAAGTAAATTACGAGGCAATTGATTTCAGATGATCTGCATGTTGCAGAAGAGCATCTTCAAGATCAATAATTGATTTCTACTTGAGTGTAAATATGCTCAAACACGTTTTTTCTACTAAACATTGAGAATAATAACTAAATAATTAGGTAAAATCGAGTATTTATACTATTTATCTCGTAAATATTGGAATTTAAGAAGGAAGAGAGAGAGATTTATGAAAGAGAAAATGATAAATAATTAATTAATTATACAAAATAATCACGTCTTATTGAGTATGACCTTTAGTATAGAAAAGTCAAGAAAATATTTTACGTCTAATAAACTACTTAGGAAAGAGAAAGAAAAGCAATATAAGCGAATACTAAACATGAAAAGACAGACAGAACTCGTTTCCAATCGTAATCCTTCACAATAAAACATGCAATATATGCGACAGTCTCCTTGTCAATCATACAATTGTTCGTTTCTCCACCAAATATATTTTCCTGTTTAATTGCGCGTGTAATTTACTTTATCTATTAATAATTCGGATGACATCATAAATATATAGAATGCAACGTTGCAGAAATTTACGAATATATAATTCCCAGTTATTTTCTTTACCATTTGCTCAAATATGATTTTACCATAAAAAATTGCTACAGACAAGCGTGAACAACTATGCGAATAGTTTAATAATTAAAACGTAAAAACGTTTATAAAATAAATAAAGACGTATTGAAATATTCAATTAGTTCAAAGATTATAGTCAATTCGAATGAATAGATGTCAGAATTACTTAAAAAAATTGAATAAATAACTATGCAGGTATTCAACACTTCATGCTTGACAGACAGAATAATACGTAGATCATGCGCTCTATCATATATGCATTATACTATAAATAAATAAATAATTTAACATCAGCTATATGGAGTATATATTCTATATGGTTGTATACTATATATTTTATCTTGTACCAGAAAAAATCAATAGCCGCCAGGTGGCAGTGAGACTATTTCATCATCTGTCGGCGTCCAGAGCATTTAAATCCGATAAAGGGAACGTAAAGTAATTATTAAAGGATAACGTAGATGTTTATCGGAGAAAAAAAACTTTGACAATTCTCGTAAGTAAAGAAAAAGCCTGTAAGAAAGAGATGAAAGACTTTATCCCTAATCTTACAAGTAAATTAATACTAAAGTAAAGAAACAAAAATGTATTTTACGCTAGCTCGTATGTTTATAAATACTTTATGAGTAGGTAGTTTAATGTGCACATAGGATTATCTTGTTTGTCAATGGTACAACTTTTAAAAATAAATTATACCCTATTTTATTTTCTAAAAGAATTGACATTTTCAAATGAAAAGAGAAGACTCTTTCTTCTCAGTTGATTAATTTTTGCTAATGGCTTTTAAGAGTTGTATGCGAAAAACTTTGAAACGATTGTAGTAAGCGTTGAAAAGAGAAAAAGGAGCTGAACGGCAAAAATTGATTGGAGATAGTCAACGAAAAAAATTGCTGGAAAATCGAAAAAATAAAGAGAGGGAAGCGGGAATGTGGGATAGAGAAAGAGTACGAATATATGTGAATGTCGGGGACTGCAGTAAACAGCAGGGCTGAGAAACATGAACTTGTCATTTGCCTAATAGCACGCATTATAAGTTATAGTGCATCCCCTAAAAGGAGGCTGCAATTGAAATAACTGGAACGGAAGCGATAGATAGAGAGAAAGAAGGAACAGACGAATGCGTACACATAAAAGAAGCACGCATGTGCCGATTGGGAGCTATGATAAAGTAAAGTACTTAAAATGGAATTTCGCAATGTAATTAGTAAAACGTGCTCGTCAGAGCAATCCAAGCACATTGTGTGGACCTGCTAAAAAAAAAGAAAAAAGAGAAAGTAGCGAAATTTAACTCAGTTTAGGCCTAAGTACTTTTAAGCGTGAAAATAGAAATTTTTGTTGACAATATTGACGCGAACGTTGGTTACAAAAAAAAAACGGGTAAAACAGGAAAATTGCCTACCAATAACAATTATGGCGAAAAAAAATTACTAATAGAACAACAAACGAATATAATAGTTTGATATTTTTACGATTATGAATAATATTAATATTAATAATAATAATAAAAATGATGAATAAGACTGGCATTTATAAGCTAAGATTATCAATATAAGATAGTCGCATGTGTAACCAAATAAAAATTACCACTTGCTAAACGGTCGGACAATAGCGGGCAAATACCCAGGGGGGCAATTCACACTGATTATGTGGGCCAGATATGAGGTCTTTTCAAGTATTCAATTAGTCACAAATTACATTCATTGATTGACGGCTTGACAGCTTGCAAGTAGGTCATGTCGCAGCGTCACCTTGGACATATTTTCACCTGTCGATTTTGAACAACTGTTCAACTCAGAAGTTTCGTTTATTGATGTGATCAAGAGAATTTCTAATTTAATCAATTGATTTTTACATATTTACAAAACTTGGTATATTCGTTTTCATTGTATTATATATTTATTGACCAACAAATCGCCAATTGCTAAATATAGCTAAAGGAGAGCTATGCACATATTGACTATGTAAATAAGGGACGCCTTGTTATAATAGACTTAAACACCTTCCTATATTTGTTTAACTGTCGACCGGAACAGTGTATCTTAGTTAACAGGAAAGTTTAACCCCGCAGAAATTCTAGACGACCTAAATCCATTATTTATACAGTCGGCAATTCTACATCTTAAATTTCACAGTTTTATCAATATTTACATTTTTACAGGATCGCTACAAGTGCAAATGGGCTTACTTAGGCAAACCACAACAAATTGCAGTGATTGAGAGAAGGTGGGGAGGGAAGATACACAAAGAAAACAAGAAATTCATCACGTGATTGACCAAACAACCAATCAGAGTCGATCTTTCAGTCATGTGACACCTTAACAATGTATCCTACATTCAGTCGTTGCATCCCGCCAGTAATAGCATATTATTCGATAAATCGGTTTCTAGTTTAAAATGCTATCAAGCTATTGAATTTTAGAATTTTGGAAAGTGAAAAACCCGACTGGAAGATTTTGACTATTCAGGATAATTTTTCGGATAATTGAAAAACTGATCCAGCATAAAGAGAAATATAATAAGACTTCATCGAAATTAGCCGAATTAAACAAGAATGGAATAAAAGAAGTGAAGAAATAGAACAAAATATACAAAGAGAAAATAACGCTAAGACTCATTTAGTGTTCAGTAAATGAAAAACATGAGTAATCGATTGCGATTAATATCCTTAATTCTTCTCATTTTCTGTTCTTCAATCAACTGTAAAAGAAGTGAACAAAAATGCGAAGAAATCACAATTCCTCTCTGCGTTGGAATAGGTTACAATTTTACAAAAATGCCAAACCAGTTCAATCACATGAGTCAACATGAAGCTGGTCTGGAGGCTCACCAATTTATCCCTCTGGTGAAAATTGATTGCTCTCCATATTTAAAATTTCTTTTATGCTCTATGTATGTTCCAATTTGCCTGAAAAATTATCATAAACCTTTACCAGCTTGCCGGAGTGTTTGTTTAAAAGCTCGAAGAGGATGTGAACCTATTATGGAAAGGGTGAGTTTGGATAAGAGTAAACATAGTATATGTAGTGTTCAATAGATATGCGTGTATACACAGTGTATCCGTTTATGCGCATTTAGTATCCCTAAATACGAAAGAGTCCATTAACGGTTTATAGTGAAGTGTGCTAAACCGATGATTGTCATTAGGCGCTTAGAAAGGAAGTTGACTTAGTGGTACAATGACGCCACTAACGAGCAATGACGTAACCGCCTACTCGTCTAAATGTTCCGGCACTAAACCGATCTTGACCTACTAACCTAATTCTTTTCTCCTTTTCCACTTGAAACAGTATGGATTCTTCTGGCCGAAGAGAATGGATTGCAACAAATTACCTGTCCACGGAGACACCAAAAACCTGTGCATGCCATACAACGTAACAGAGCCACGCAGGAAACCCGAAAACTGTCCGTGCAGGTGCAGTGGTTCCTATGTTCCAATAACCAGTAAAAGGAGTATTTTATATAACCAAGTGCGCACTGGAGGAGTTTTAAATTGTGCTGAATCGTGTCATTCTGCTTTTTTTAAGGATGACGAAAAAACTTTTGCTTCATTTTGGATAGGCTTATGGGGAGCCCTTTGTTGTATTTCCACCCTCATGACGGTCAGTACGTTTCTCGTCGATAGAGATCGTTTTCGTTACCCTGAGAGACCAATTGTTTTTTTGTCGGCGTCCTATTTACTTGTTTCTATTGGATACTTAATTCGGTTAATTGTTGGACACGAAAAGATTGCATGCGATGGAAATGTATTAAGATATGGTTCTACTGGTCCAGCTTTATGCACAGCCGTTTTCTTTCTTACATACGCTGGAGCAAATGCTGCCTCTGTTTGGTGGGTTATACTTACTTTCACCTGGTTCCTTGCCGCAGGTATTAAATGGGGTCAGGAAGCGATATCGAGTTACTCTACTTATTTCCATATAACGGCATGGTTCATTCCAATTGCTCAAACCATTGCTGTTCTCTCATTGTCTTTGATCGACGGAGATCCAGTTGCTGGCATTTGCTCTGTTGGTAATACTTCTTTAGCTTCATTTAGAGGTTTTCTCCTTGCGCCTCAACTCGTCTACTTGATGCTCGGATCTGTCTTTCTTCTAGCTGGTTTTATGTCATTATTTAGAATACGATCCGTCATCAAAGCTCAAGGACGTTCTAGAACTGATAAACTTGAGAAATTAATGATCAGAATTGGAGTGTTTAGCGTCCTCTATACATTGCCAGCAGCCACTGTAATAGGTTGTTTATTCTACGAAGAAAGAGAACGGCTGAATTGGCAGAGGTCAATTAATTGCGACTGTATTAAGAGGAAGCAACCAGATTTCTCAGTGTTTATGCTTAAATATTTTATGCAACTAGTTGTAGGTACGACTTCCGGATTTTGGATTTGGACTAGTAAGACCTTAGACAGTTGGAGAAAATGTTTAACTCATGCCTTCTGCTGGAGAAGACGAAGGGAATTAAGAGAAGGAAGTGTACGAAGTGAAGCAAAATACGCCCCCTATCGTGCTAATCAAGTAAAATTGTTAACGCCTTTAACGAACGTTTGACATGCTCAACCGAAGCTTCTTGCCTGTTATCTATACATAGAAAAACGTCACAGTATTAGCTTAGAAGGTGTTTGCACTGTTTGTTATTTGTCTAATTATTATTGAACTAGTTTTAAATAGAGTACAACTATTTTTTTAGAACTATTTAAAATATTCTTTACTGAAAGATAAACAGTTGGGTCACTAAATTCATGATTACAATTGCATTGTATCCAATACTCGACAGACGTAATCAGAAATGTCCTCATTTTTATAATTCTTTATGAAAGTCATTTGCATTAAATCGGGGTAGGAGGGACGGTTTTCAGCCCTTTTTTGCAAACTAAGAAGAAAAAATAACAATGTTTTAATTAGTTTTGAATGTTGTTTAAGTAAACAAAGCAAATTAATGCTTACCAGCTATTGATGCAGTCGCACATTTCATTTGAAAAGTCAGAATGGGACAAATGAGGAGGCTCTCCGTCCACAACTTCTTTCAGCATTTCAAACGGCGTCGTCCACCGACTATATGGATATTTACCTTTAGCAATTTCAACAAAAGATACACCTATACTCCAAACATCTGAAGCAGTCGTATATTGGTCAGAGCCTGGACCTTCTATTCTCTCTGGAGCCATATATGGTTTACATCCGGCGTCTTTAGTATTTGCATAGGAATCGACCAAATTTCCTGATATTCCGAAATCGCAAATTTTTACGGCGCCCTGCCTATTAACCAACATATTGGACGGTTTCACGTCTCGGTGAATGACCTTTAGTTCTGTTTTTAAAAAATAGAGAGCGCTCAATATGCAGTAGACCATTTTCCCTAAAACTTTTTCCTTAAGCGGTAAGTTATTCGCATATGCACTCTTGTAAAATTTATCTAAAGATGTCGACATTAATTCCATGCATATCCAAATCTCACTCTCTCTAAATAGACTACCATAGAACGTGACCACGAATGGACAGCTAACGCTTCTCATAATTATACTTAAATCGGTTAAAGAACGTTTTTGTTCTGTCCCATTTACAGTAAATGGTATTCGTTTGACTGCCATGAGAGTGCCTGAAGGGATATGCTGCCATTTCTCCACTTGACCATAAGCTCCTCTACCCAAATTTGAGTTAAGTAATAGCAGATCGCGAAAATCTACTTTGTGTTGTTGACCATTTAGCGTAATTGTTGTTTCATCCGTCGGTAAATTTTGCGGTCTACGAGGTGGTTCAGACGGGGGAGGTATTATAGAAAGAGAGTGAACTTTAATTATATCAGATTCTTTTGAAAATTCCCCATATCCAGAACTATTGATTGCTCGTACTCGAAATAAATATTTTTTATTCTCTTTCAATTGCAGTATTTTGCATGTTGTACTGCCTGCAGTATCCCTCTTCATTTGCTTATTTGGAACGGTTTGCCACTTATTACTGTTTAAGAGACTGATTTGGATTTCATAATCGATTATTGAATCTGATCCATTATTGACTGGAGTCGACCACTCTATTGTTACCTCTCTTTTACCCTCGTTAATTTTTTCTGGTTTTCCGGGTGCAGAAGGGACACGGTTACTCGAATCTAAAATCCGGGTGTAAAAAAAACATCAAGATTTAGACACTAGTAGAAACGTAAAAAAAAAGATACGATAGTTTACGGAGCGATCGTAAACATGCTCTCATCGAACTAGTTATGCGATTGGCTAAATTTCTAGAACGTTGAGCACTTGGATATGATAATCGTTCTTAAGCTAAAACTGCTCATCGATCGCATACTATAAATTGACCAGAAGTGAATAAATGTGTTTTTCATTACAATGCTGTCATATATATGCAAGTGATCAGTTGTAAAAGCAAGAAATGACGAGTCAATTAACAGGTTGGAGCAAATTATAGAACACAGCTGAAATAAGTCGAATCTCACCATCTTTTAGAATGTCGTTATTCGCGTCAGCCATTAATAATGATAAACAACTAATCCAGCTACTCTAAATACAATTTTTAAAAGAAAATTGAAACAGTTATGCGAATCTAAATCGCATTGAAAATTTGAGGATCTCTCTCATGAGTGATTCACTCTCAGAATTCCTCTCTCAGCGGAAATGACGACACTATACTACCGGTTATATTTAACTATACCGGTCAAAAGTATTTTAACGAGGTGAAGGTCTCTCTCTTCGAAAATTTTTCTTTAGAACTATCGACTACACTATTTCGATTCCCTAATTCGTTTAGTACCCAACATTAACTATATCATCCAAATAGTCATATTTCTTCTTATTGTCATAGTATCCTATTTCTATTTGGTAAAATTAACTCTAAGCTACAGTCCTACTGCATTTCGGATAATTCTCTGTAGACGCAAAAGTTACAAGTGAAAAAGTTAAAAGAGCGATATAATGGGCATTTGTGAATTCGGCGTGATTACAAAAGCCGATGGTTCTGCAAGATATATTACTGATAAATCAGATGCAATTTGTGCTGTATATGGACCAATTGAAGTTAAACTATCTAAAGAGCTAATTGATAGATCTAGTATTGAAGTTCAGGTTTATCCGAAATCGGGTAATACTGGCCCTCCTGAAAGATTGGTTGAAACCATAATACGGACAACTCTTGACAGTGTTGTTCTGACAAAGTACTATCCAAGATCAGCTATCAGTGTGATTGTACAACTGAAGCATGACTTTGATCTTTCGTGTGTTTTAAATTCTGTTTGTCTCGCCTTACTCGATGCAGCCATACCAATGAAAACCATGTTTTCTGCGATTTCTGTTTCTAAATCAGATTTAGACAATTCATGCTTAAATGATTCAACAATGAACTTTGTTCTCGATCGAAACTACAAAGTGCTAACATCGTATAGTAATGGAATATGGAAAGAAGATGAACTTAAATTGGCCTTAACATTCGCAACCAAAAAAGCGGAATCGATCTTTGAATTTTATAAATCATCTATAGAACGTAAACTGTTGAAAGAAGAGAGAAGCTGATAACTATGCAGAAGAATCCTTTATTTGTATAGATGCCTTTCTCTTTTTGAATATATTACATCTTCACAAACCAATAAATTGTTAGATTTGTCTATTTTATTCAATTTTACATGAATTTTATCTAAATTCTTTAGGAATATGAGGAAATTTTAACAATCCTAAGTAGAAAATGTAAACACCTCTTTGGGAGGTTCCAATGGTTGATTATAAACAACCGCTGGTTTCATTGGTTTAATTTTTCTACCGAATCTGCCATCCTTTCTATGCCATCTACCGGATCGCGGTCTTATCCCTAACCATCTTTTTTCTCCAAATTTCTTAAATTTTTTCTTATTATGATCAACGTTTGATACTCGACCGACAACCGCTAAGCACTCTCTTGAGATTTCCATCTCTCTTTTAGACGGCATTTTTATAATTACAGACTCGTCTATTTTACGCACGATTTGAGCGCTCGTTCCAGCCGATACGGCAACTTGTGCTCCTTTTCCTGGCCGTCTTTCAATGCAGCTAATTATTGTTCCTACTGGAAGAGAGCCAACTGGATGAGCGTCTCCTTCTTGAGCTCTTATAGGTGTTTCTGTAAGCTTACGCGTAGTCTTTATTAAATCCCCTACTTTCATCGACTGTTAAAAAAGTTAAAACATCATGTAAAGAAAGTTACGCAATTTTTGATTATGCATTATTACTTCATTTGCAATAATCCATCTTTTTTTCTCTCCGGAAGTTACCAAAGCAATGTGAGCCGTCCTACATTTATCAGGTATAATTTCTGTAATCCTTTCGATCAGTTCTCCACTTTCGTTCATATTGTCCGCTTCAGGGGCATCACGTTGCCTGGAGATCATTCGATACTCTTTTTTCAAACCGCCTCCACGTTTATGATTCCATATCCGACCGTTTGGACCCCGACCTCCAGTGCGATTCATTGGAAGTGGGTCAACTGTATACTCATAGCGATCTTTATATGGTACCCATGGTTCCCATTTGCCAGTATTTTTACTAGGTTCTTTGAAAATTGGCACTCGTCTACTATCAAGATTACGTGATACTATAGAGGTGGTAGTGAGGTTTTTTCTGTTCAAAGGACATCTTTAAATAATTTGCACACTAACAGCTCATGTATACATACGCTAAATTAAGTTCTGTTAATGATACTCGGGCTAGACGAAACGTTAAATTTCTAAGCATGTTTCATACACATGTATCTGTAGTGAGCGATATTAAGAGATTTAATAAATCTATCATAGTACAATAGAAATTTATGAAAATATAAAAATACTTACATTCGAAATATGATAAACAAATTGTAATAGATGACGATTAAATACTTTTCATACAATGTACAAGCAATATTCTCAATTAAAGAAGCAAAATTTTCAAATGTAACATTCAGATTAGAATTTTTGTAGAAATATTCTTGAGTAGTATCTAAGTTGATATTTATACCAAACTAGAACAATAGAATAAAAAATAATGATGAAAAAAATTAAATTACTTAATTAAATGATTTTTAATAAAAAAAAAGAGTAAAGTATTATAAACGAACTTTCAACAAATAGAATAAATAGAAAAGTTTCTATGATAAACGTACTACATAAGTACAAAGGTTTCCTCAATGATTGGGAGTAGTAGTAGTAAATGATGTAAATATTATGCTTCGTAAATTGTTTTTTTTTTTAATATTACTAATTTAAAATGTTATGGAAAAGATCTTAAATTAGAGTGGAATATTTTGAAAGAATTATAATAATTTGTAATAAGTTTAAGCCTATTTTAAGAGATATTTTAAAAGTCAAATTTAAAAATTAATTTAAATAAGCGAGAAAATTATTAGCATCATTGAAAAAATTGTAAAAAATCTGTGTAAAATTTAAAAGGGACAGAGAAATATGATTAAAAAACATGATAGGACCATGCGAGAATACAGAAACACCCGATTCCGAACTATTGAATTGGAGAAGTCCACAATAGATGATCAACATGAAATGCGTGGGATAGGAGAGATGTACAACAAGAGTACGTAATTAGTGAAATACAAGCGGATTCTCGGAATGTAAAATAATAAAAGAAATTACATGCTAAAAATAGTGACCTTTTTACAGAAACAGGTAGGAAAAGTACGGATCGGGGAGAAGAACACAGAGACAAGCAAGCCTACCAACAGGAAAACGTTGTTGAACACTTGAAAGTATACCAAAGAAAATTAAGAATAAGAGAAGGTCAATATCAGATTCTTCGGCAAGTAATTGGAGAAACAACTGTGAGAAGAATTTTAAAGAATTTAGTATTGCCGAATCCTATGCCAGAAGCTGTTTCTAGGTCGGGAAGTTTGAGTGAAAGGTTAATAGATGTTGAACACAGAATGCAGCAAATAGAGACGGACCACTCAATCGGAGTTGAAAGGTTAAATACAATGAAAGATGAAGAAAAGGACCTGAGTAAAGATGTTGATTCCTTAGAGCATGACTTTATTAGTTTGCAAAAAGACTTGTTAAATTCTCAAAAAGAAAGGCAGGAATACTACAATATATTTAACAATATCCAAAACAATACTATTAAGAACGTTAGTAACAATATTCGTATCACTGGCAATATTTAAATAGGCTCAGAATAAGCAATTTTATAAACAGTCTAATTTCTCTCTAATACAAATTACTCTTTTTCCAGGAAAAAGATATAAAAAGCGAATTAAGAAGGATAGTTGAAATTCAATTCGGAGAAAAGCAGACACTTTTAGGAAAGATGGCCAAATTAAAAAGAAAGAATAACGCTTTACAGGAAAATTTATGTACTCTACAAGATGAGGTATACTGTAGTTAAACTTAATATGATATAACACCTAAGTCGCATTTATAAACTATATATAAAGAAATCAGCTTGAACATAATACCATATTTCACCATTAACACTCCTTTATTGATTATAGATTGACTAACGATTTCGTTAGAAGGTTGAAATAAGCTATAAATATAAATAATAGTATAAATTATTATAAAAAGACTAAAATTTAAATTTAAAACTAAGGAAAAAACTAAAATTTCACATCAATAGACTTCTTAAAGGAAAATTTCAACGAAAAAGCTGTTTGAAAGATGTTAAACCCCTTTAGAAGTCCGATAGAATTTAGTATATTTATAAAAAAAATCATTTTAATGGTTTCTTATGAAAAAACAAACGTATTAAATTTTTAAATTTACATCTCAGTGTTAACAGATTATTGTATTAATGTTATATTAATTACATTATTAGGTTTATATTCTTTATATATAAATACAGTATATACTATATATCTATTTATCTATATGTAAATTTATATATATACAGTATATATATATATATTTATTTATTTATTTCACATCTTATATACATTTATCGAATATTCTCATGAATTTACTATTATATTGTAAGACTATTATAAAAAAACAAGAGTTATTTCCAATAACAATCGACAGCCAGAGGGTGATGACGAGAGTATTCTGAAGTTGATCGAGCAAAACAAAGCCTTCCGTATGCAAATTGCAACTTTGGAAATGACTTCCTCTGAATTACGATGTTTGCTATCCGAAGAATACCAAAGAAGTGAAAAGTATTCGAATTTTAATGAAGTTATTAGAGAAAAAGACGAATTATTACATTTAGTTGATAAATTACAAAGTCGTATACGTTCTTACGAAAAGGTAGGATGGAGGAAATTCGACAACTGACTAATAAGATAGCTTTTTTTTCTTTCTAGTTGAAAAGGAGTATTAATCAAGATGAAAGGATAACGGATTTACAAAATCGTATCGAACAATTGGTTTCAGAGAAGATTACTGTTGAAGCTAAATACAAAAAAATTAAGGAGCATCTGGATTCATCCAAAGTTAGATACAATTTAAATTCATTAATTAATTAATTACACTTGCCAGAAAAGTAAACTATTAAGCCTTCGTATTAAACATTTTATAATAGCAGAAAACCTCATTTAATGATGCTAAACATTGTGGACATGTACAAGATTCTATTGGTGAAATAATGCGCATGCGCCATTCCATTGAGAAGTTACAAGAGGAGTATGATTTTCCTTCTTTATAGATTAACAAATAGTTTTATTGTATATTTGTAACGGATTTTTTAAAATGATAATGACTCGCCTTCTCTATTTCTCTCTCCTTCCATTTTTGCCTTACTACGTCTCTCTGATAAATTGAGTCCGGCAATGTAATAGGCCTATAGCTTAGTTGTTGGGTTCACTGGAATCGACAATTTTTAGTGCTTCCATGCGAGATTAAGTTAATATTGCAAAAAATCGATATCAGATGGCGTTATTAGTGCTATTTCTATTCTTTCTTTCATACAAAAGTCCATATATCTAGCTATATCCAAATTGGTAATTGTATTTTTTTTTCTTGTTTATTATATAGGAACGAATACTTTAAAAACGAAAACATTGATTTAGAAAAAGAATTAGCAGACTTAAACAATCGTCTACAATCAGTTCAAAAGGATAATTTAACTTTAAGTCAGGAACGGGTCAAGGACCATGAATTTAAATTGAATAATAATGAGAATAGAATTAGTAATAATGAATTATTAAAGTTGGAAACTAAATTAGAAAATATTGAAAGTAAATTAGAAACAGAGAGAAAGTTAAGAGTGTTAGATAACGATAAATTACAAGCTGTACAAAAAAAAATGGAAGAAGAGAAAGACCTAATTAAGATGTTAGAAGAAAAATTAAACAATGAGGGAATAAAAGTAAAAAATGTTGAAATTGAGAAAGAGGTTCTTGAAAAGACGGTGAAAAATTTGACTGAAAGTTTAAGTAAAGTTGAAGCACTTCGTGAGAAAGAAATTGAATTAAATAAGACATTGGAAGGTGATGTTGTAAAAATAAAAAGTGAAAATCGTTTATTAACAAGACAAAATTGTAAACTTGAAGAAGAAAATAATTCTTTCAGAAATAATATTGAAAAGCATGAAGATTTGAAAGAAGAGCTTTGTTTACTTATGGAGAAGAAAATTGAACTAGATAATAATTTGACAGATTTTATGAGAAGTAGGGAAAAGGTGGATGCGAAGAACAGTCACTTAACTGCCGAACTTCAAAGTGATATATCGGATTTGCATAATTGTGTCTATCACGCTTCCACGGAAGTGAGGGATTTTATTTCTAGAGGTGGAACACTTTCAATGAATTTAAATGAAGGATCTGGGGAACTTGAAGATTTAAGAAAATCAAACAATCAATTAGAACAAGTAAGAGTGTATTGTAACACTTATTTTCTCTCTTTTTCTTAACTTAAAGCGTTATAGGTTATCGCTGAAATGAGCGGGAGTATACATCAGATGGCTGAAGAGATCAATAGATATAAGAATGACAAATCAGAACTGGAAAAAAGCCATAATGAATTGTTAAAGAAAATAGAGCATCTGGAAGAAAATAATAACAGTCTTCTAGTCAAGTTGACAAATGAAGAAGATAATAAAAGGAAAGAAAAAAACTATATTGAAAAAATTGAACATGAATTAAATACAATCAAAAGGGAAAAATCAAATATTTATCGACAATTACAACATGCTCAAGAATTGTCCTCAACAAAGGGGGAAGAATTGCTCGAGTTGAGAAAAACTCACGATAAGATAAAAGATGACCTAAAAGATTATCAGGAACAGATTGAAAAGGCAAAATCTGAAATTAGTAATAAAGAAGAAGAATTTTCATTATTAAAGAGTAGCTTTAAAGAAATTGAAAAAGAACATAAATTTTTAAAAATTAGAGCTAATGAAGATTGTAACATAAAAAAAAAGCTGAATGAACTCTTGAACGACAGGCAAAAGGAAATCGATCAATTAGTCAGTAATAAATTGAATATAGAATTTAAATTAATAGATATTGAAGGTCAAAATGAAATTTTGACTAGAAAAGTTAAACAATTCATGAGTGACGATAAACGATTTAATAAGGTATGTTCAGATTTTTTTTTAACTATTAATCAATTTATTTTTATCTTCTTGTTTCTATTCTTTCAACTAAAGTTGAACAACAAGAACGTGACTCAGAAGATATCTTGTTGTACATTTCACGAAGCAGACAATTTGAATTTCACAGAAGCAATGAAAGGCAATGATCAGATTCCTATAAGGTTCGCAGTATGAATATTTAGTTATTTAATTATCGTTTGACATCTTGAAAAGAATTAGGTCATATAGTATAGTAATTCAATTAATTTAAATGTTACAGTGAAGCTTCTGAGAACTTTAAGTTAAAAGAGGAAGTCAACGATCTTAAGGAGGGCGAGGACATACTAAATCCGATAAATAACGATGTAATTGTTAACAGTAAAGGTTGTCTGAAGGTTGAGAGTGAAAAGGAAGAACGACTTATGGCTTCTACATCCTGTGATGATATTAACACAAAAAGTAAAGACGTTGAAGATGGTTTTTCAATAACAGTAGCAGGGAGAAAATTGAGCGAAATTTCTCAGAAAGCCCTTAGATCTTTTTAAATACATTATAAGAAATCTTAGAAGGACTTTATAATAATAATAATAATAATGTAAGTAATAAAAATATTATAATATCGATTGACTTTTAATCATTTTAGTTTAATTGACAAGATAGGAAAGGAGATCAGGATCATTGAAAGTATATGATAATATATACATTATACTGTATGAAAAGATATATCTCTCTACTCTTGTACTATAATAAAAAAAAAACTGTAAAGAGGAGAAAAAATGACTATCTTTTTTTACTGTCAAAAGCATCCAACATTTAGTGCATGTTCACATGCTCTAGTTGCGGTCAAAATTGCTGTGACAGGTGTCGCATTAATTACGAGGCGTAACCTTTTCTATAGGTACAATTTCTATATAATTTTTCAAACTCTATAATAATTATAATTCTAAGACAGTTAGTTATATTTAGAATCGTTAAAGAGAAATAATAAATCTATATTTAAAATAAAGTTAATTTTTTAAACAAATAAAAAATGAAGATTCAAATTATATCTTCATTTTCAAATGACAAAAATTATTTATATTAAAATATGCAAACACACCTCATTCACTCTTTTTATCTTACTAAAAAAAATGAGAGGATATATTTAGATATTTTAATATTTAGATTATGTATTTTTAAATTAAGTAAGTAATTATTAACTACCTGTAATTTTTTAAACGCAGTTATTATTCTACATTTATACAGATAAAGAGAAGATTCTCTTCTTAATTATATTACTTTTAATTTTTCTTTTTCTTTTCTTTTTTTTTTTACTTCCAAAAAGAATTTAAGAAAAAGGAAGAAAAACAAATTAATCAAAAATATGAGATGATATTAAAAAATATATTATATCTATTCTTTCACTTTTATGAAAACTGAAAGAGAACAGTCTCTTTCTTTCTTTTCCCTCATTTTTAATACAATTCTTGATTAAATAGTTTAAAATTTTCAATAAGTTTTTTTATGTGGTAAAACTTTTCCTATTGAATTTTAACAAATGAAACAGGACACAATAGAGATTAAGTTGAAACTATATGACGTACATATGGCAGCATATCTTATTAATTAGGGCTAATTAATTAAAACCATATAAATTAGGCAAAGTTTCAAAAAAAAGAAAAGAAAAGACGTGAATAGAAACTATGAAAAAGTAAATTGTAGAAAATAGAAAGTCTTATTGAGAGATTGAATTTATTAATTGCAGTATTCGTTCTCCATACAAGCGATATGTTTTAAATGATTAGCTGTGAAAAAATAAAATTGTGCATAGTTTTATTTTCTTAATTCTTATTTACAGATTTTATATGGAATTCTGTAAAATATGCACTTTTCATTTCGTTAGTAACATAGTTTTTAATAGAAATGAACATTTCGAATTAAGATAGTGTATAGATAGTACATCTCTTCTATTATTTACATAGATAACACATATAATATTGACATATTTTGTCTAATAATGAAAGTGTGTGATTTTGTATAGGTAAAGAAAAGTAGGAAGATTATTATACAAGTAAAACTAATAAGTATAGCAATTATGTGTTATCTACTAGAAAAGAATAAAAACAAGACTGTGTGGTTAGAAACGTAGGAACATTTCTAATGGTAATCGGTTTTCTAGACAAAGTTTCAACTTTCAATCGATAAATCAGAATTGTCAGAAAATCCTTATTTACATGAAAAAATTTCGTAAATTGTCTTTTTTTTTCTCTCATGTTTTTATGGCTTTAATAAAAAAAATATTTCATTTTTTTACCTGCTTTTTTCTATTAGATAAATGATAAATTTGGATGAAAGCATATAGTTGTATTGCTTGTACGTTATTTCTTTTAATTATTCACTCCCACACACTTTCCAGCAATTTCTTCTTCTTTTTCTTTCTCTCTCTCTCTCTCGCTCTCTCTCTCTAACTCACTCTCTCACTCTCTCACTCTCTCACTCTCTCACTCACTCACTCACTCTCTCACTCTACATCTTTATATCTATCTCTAGCTCTTTCTCACTCCTACTTAGACAATCTCTCCTTTTCTCTCACGCACCCTTTTGCTCTCATTTGTCATTGTTTTTTTCTTTCCTTAAACATGCCACGTGATAGAACACACCTTGAAGTCTAGGTGATCAAATATCAACTTTTTAAATGTTAAAACTTTTATTGTGCAGACAAAAAAGATTATATAAATGTTGGTGAAAAGAAGAGAAAAGAAATAATAACATATCGTAGAAAAGGGAATGAAGAGTAAGGGAAAGAGATAGATTGAAAAGATAATATTGATATCTAAAAAAAATTCTTCAAGTATAGAGTATAAAAAAATAGAAAAGTGAATTCTATAAAGTTACTTTCAAGGAAGGAAAGAGGAGAGTTGCCCCTCGATTTCTCCATATTCACGAAATTTCTTCCTAAATTCTCAATCTAATGAATTAATATTTAGGTTAATACTTTTTTATCACGAAATTGAATAGATACAAGTAGAAATAATAACTGGGCCAATTATAGTTGACATGTTTGTTTTATCGTGGACAAATTTCAGTTAATGCATTCGCTTTTAGCGAAATGTAGGGCGTTGCTTAGGTCTCTTATGCTTTCTACCTAATACATGTAAACAGTCGAATGGGAAAGCTACGTCAACCTATCGAATTAGAGGGCTCTTTTTTAATCGATCTACTCACGTTTATTAATAATGAAGTACTGAATGACCGCCTGCCTGTAAAGCCGTACTATTTCTTCTCTAACACAAGTAGAGAAAGATTCCAATTCATTTGGGATGGTAACACCAAACAATAGCCTAATCGTACATTTGCAGTCGATTCGTCTCTTGGCATTTAAGATCGTTAATAAATATAAAGAATATACTAAAAACAAACAGTACAACCTATATATGTTCTTCTTTTATGAATAAGTATACATATAATTATTAGTATGTTATATATAGTGTTTATCTGAGAAAAGAAAGTGTTTGAATGTCTTTTTCTTTTGTTTTATTTTGTTTAATTAAGCTACTAATTTTTTTAAATCAACTAATTATTGGTTTCCTTCCTTTGAAATTAGATAAAAATAAAATTAAAAATGTTGATTAGTTGATTATCATTTAATTTCTCTTTTCTTATTTCTCTTTTTTCTGCTTATTGTTTTTCCTTTTTCCTTTTTATTTCTTTTTTTTCTTCCTTTCTTTAAAATTAAGTTCTAACATTACGTTAAAAAGGTACTTAAGTCTGTGAAACTTCCGCGTCTTTACTTAACAAAAGACGGCTTAACAAAAAAAGGAATATTTCTATAGAACTCAGGTAAAAACTCTCGAAAGAGCTGATTGAGTAGGTTATTGACCGCATGACCGCAAAAATCAAATAGTTTACAGTGGTTGTATTATAAAGAATTCTACCTATATCGTTTATCTTTTATGACTGTGTCTCCTATTAAAAAATTAACGTATAAAAAGGTAGGAAAATATCAAAAATACGCGGAAAAAATTAATTAATATTTCACAATTTAGTAACGGAATAATTCTATTTTTAGTCAAATTATGAATAATATATCTGTTAGAATGAGAATATAAGTAAAATGAAAAAACAACAAAATACTATTGGAGAATAAATAACTCATACACCATTGTATACTTCATTTTTATTACGTATGTACAGTATATATCTTTTAATATATATTATACTAATCGATAAAATAATAATTTTCTAGTCATGAAATTTAAGGTTATACTCCATATTCGTTTCAAAATATATGATTTTATATATAATATTGTATAAGACATCAAATACGCACTGTTTTCATATTTGTATATACATACGTATATGTATGTATCACTCCTTGATTAATTACAATTAATATTTAACAATAAATCCATAACTCATTCATGATAGTCAGGTGACCTAAAAAAATTTAAAAAAAGAAATTAATTTTACCAAAATAAAAATAAATTAAAGATAAAGATAGGTTAAAGGATTATTCTTCTTTTCATAGATCCTTTTACTCATTCTCTTCAAATCTACTTATGCAAGCAATAAATTTAAATTAATTAATCTTCCATGAAATATGAAATATTCGTGTTTGAAATATCCTTGAAAAATAAAAAAAAATGATAATAATATTTTATCGATTCTCTTTATACTCCAACATCAATTCAACTGCACTACCTAGTTAGATTGAGATTCCTTTTATAAAAAAAAAAGAACGAGTGAATTTAGTACGTTTTTTCTTTTCTTCGAATCATAAGGCTATGTAATTGTTGAATAGGCCTAGGATCTCTTCAGCATATAAAATGTGAACAAATTTAGCAAATAGGTCATATAAAAAAAGATATATATATATATATATATATACTAATATATATATATATATATATATATATTCATTATATAAATATATATTTGCTCAGTTAAAATAGAAAATGCACAAATGTAGGTCATATTTATGTATTTAGTAGGAGGAATTTTACTAGACTCACCTTGTTAAGTTATCAGCTAAGTAAGTTGATTTAGATAAGATTCTATGGGGCCTAAATAGATGGGGGGGAGGGGAAAAAGAAGACAAACAGAGATAGAGAAATATAAGTATGACGGGAGCTAGATATAAAGAAGAAAGTGTTGGTGATGTAATGTATTCAAATTACTTCCTGTAAGTTTTTGGTCATTGATTTTTTTGTTCCATTAAATATATTACTATTAAACTAAGTAATATAAATAATTAAAATATCCTATTACAAGCCAATAAAAACTGCTTATTCAAATTAGCTATGTGCTCTATTACATTTCAAGCTTTTGTCTTAAGAACATTTCCACTAGGTATCTCAATAGATATACTAAAAAAGAGATGATAACGTTTAATAAAAAAATTATAAGATCGGTTGATTATAATCTTTAAATCAAAAATTATCAGATTCAATCGATAGTATTTAGTAGTATTGGCTACAGGATTCTAGAACTACCTATTCGGTTATTTAGCTCAAGGTCTTTAGCAGTTGTTCAAATGTTATCAAAACAATTTGTCATAATTAATACTAATAAGGTGGCAGGTTGTTCCAATTTAAGTGTAAATGTGATTGAATAATTACGTTTGAGTAAATTTTTATTTTTCTTCTATATTTCTTATTCAAGCTATTTATAGTTTTTTTCTCTCTCTCTTCTCTCTTCGTCTTCTTTTCATATTCTTTTTATTCAAAAGCAAACTTTAAAAAATTTAATAATGAAACTTTGTAATCTATCTTAGAAAATAATTCATAATAGAATAATAGAAAAACATGATCAAATGAATTACGTCAGAAGGAGGAAATAGAAGCATTCTGCGTTATAGAAAAATAAATAGTTTCAAGTTGCAAATAAATGTAAAAAAACAAACGTTGATTTATCCATTTTTGCTAACTTTGCCTTTTCTTTATTCTCTTGTACATCATTAAAATTAATTACTTGGAAGTAACTCTACTGTTCGATTTATTTTATTTAGCAAACAGGTATAATTATTCACTGTTTTCATGTAAGAAAAAGGATAATTAAGATATAAAAACTGTATATTGCATCATCTACCTCAACTATCATACAATCTTACAGAATGGAGACAGTTTAATCTATTTATCGAACAATACTGATAGTCTATTCTTGTACGCTATGAACCTAATACGCAAGTATTAAGAGTTGACCTATTCAGGACATAATATCGCATAGTAGTAGAGATTTACACTCCAAAAATAAAAATCTTAATGGTATAAATGAAATGCTAAATACCCTAATAGAGTATAATATATAGAAAAACTATTAATTGTACTATATTTCTACGTAACGTACTATGCTGTATATACAGTATATATATATACTTATATAAATATATATAGTGAAAGTTTTAAATATAGATCTATATTTATAAGTAAGATGTTTATAATTAAACACAAACAAAAAAAACTGTAAAACATCATTTAATAAACAAAATGAGCTACCAACAAAAACTCCTATAATAAAGGAAAGTTATGAAAAAGAACTGTACTGTACAGTATATAGTATATATATAAATACTATATGTATACACATTAAAAAGATATTTGGTTATGTATAAGAAAAAATAGAAACTCGAATTATTTTTTTCGAAAATTTTTTATGAATTAGAAAAAAGAAAACATTTTTTGTAAATAGAAATAGACAAGAACCATTTATTACACAAACGTGGATATATTTTTTGTTACTTTTCACCGCAACAATATCTATACATTGAATATAATGTTCAGACGTATGCAATGCTGACAACACGGTCGTGCCTATGTCCCCGTTTCGTATCTGTGTAGTAGAAACAGCGTAAAAATGCAGTCACTGCGCGTTGCGCAAAACAAGCTTTCAACTTTATAAACGTTATACGAGTAGTAATTGATATTTACAAGCGTAATACATAAAAAGACAAGCACATTTCTTAACAAAAGAGACGAACTAGACAGCAGACGAAGGGAATGTTATGTTTTTTTGAAAAAAGAATAGGTTTAGGTTTCTGGGTTTAAGTGGCCGTATTCCATGGTGTCGTCTCTATCCGGGCTCGTTTCAAGGAGGGTCCACTGTCATAGTCGTTAAGTTGCTGAGGTACGGGTGAAGAACTTTCGGTAACCGTGTGCAAATGCGGCGATACGTGACCGGAAGTGGATGGCGGCCGCAAGCATTGGCCTGTGTCTGCTTGACCCGGAGGGGAATCGGGTTCGGATTTGATTAGCATTCCGTTACGTTGAGGAGCCATGCTTGTCAATTGTCCCTGCCCACCATCGTCTTGAGATCGTAAGCTAATTTTTTTAATTAATCAGAAAGAAACCGACGGTCATAAATTAATCTCTCTTGATCAATTTAGAAATTCTTACCTAGCCGATGTGTGAATCGATTGCTGCGACCAGTGGTTCATTACCGCAGGAGACTGGAAGCCCGTTATCTGCATATCTCCGCTAAAATCTGTTTTAAAAGCAAAAGTTCGATGAGTTATCAGCAAATAAAGATTACCTATGTTACGCTTGATCGTAAGAATTAACGTTTATGTAGGTAGGTCTGTTTAGAGACGGTAAATAAATAAATAAACTAAAAGCTACCTGACGGAAACGCGGATGAGATGGCCGACTGCGGATAATTACTTGCAGGCACGCTGGGAGTCGCTAAAGACACTATGGGCGTCGAAAGAGTTTGTGCCGCGGATATCGAAGTCCGATTCTGTTTAATTATTTCAATATTAATTAATCGATTTCTCTGAAGCAAAGAAAAAATATGCCTTACCTCGCTACTCTGAGGTATATGAACTCTAAGCGAATTCCCCGATGGAGCTCTTTGCTGCGGTTGATTTGGAGGTTGTTGTTTTGGGGACTTTTTCAAATGATGCGGAGAAGGCGGTTGTCCAGGATGTGGCGACGTAGACGTCTGATAGCCATTCATCGATAAATCTGTAATTGCGCATGCTGAACCGGCTGATGAAGGTCTTGATGACATGCCAGTAGGTGGCACCAGCGTAGCCGATTGCGTCGGATGTAGTAAATTGGGGGAGGGTGAGGAAAAGTGTTGTTGATTTTGCGTGTGAACTGGGAGTTGGTACTGTTGTGGTTGCTGTTGCTGCATTCTATTTCTTTCCAGCATCGATTGGAACTCCTGATTAATCTTAGTATAATCCGAATCTGATCGAGAATTTAAGGAATATCCACCAGATCCATCTACACTATCTGGACTATCGCATCCCTTGTTTTCCTTCTTATTTAAAACCTAAAGGGGAGAAAAATAAGAAAAATCGTTTAAATTATCACGTGTGTGAATGTCATTTCTACCAACAGGTATGTTTCCTGAACTTACGTCTATTATATCCTTATTCGTTCTCGATTCATGAGGTTCATTGTACTCTGTATATTTCAGTAAAACTTTATCCATATCCGTTGAAGCATATTGAAATAGTTTGTTAGCAGAGTTGAATATAATTAAAGCTATTTCGCAATCGCATAACACCGATAGCTCGTAAGCTTTCTTCATCAAACCAAACTTTCTTTTGGTAAATGTTACCTACAAGAGAAAACAATTTATAGAATGAGAAGAGAAAAATTTCAATAAAATTTTAATAAAATTTCTAAAATTTCCGTTTTCGTAGCAGAGTTATTTTATGGTAATGATTTTTTTCTTTTTAATAAATAAATATCTAAATATGTTATATAACTAACCTGTCGATTCCTCTCATCGCCGATACGAGTAATCTGAATCTTCTTCCTACCCATATTACGCAATTGAAATCTGTAAGGGAAGAAGCACGACAATAATCTATATATTCCATTCAACCTGTAACTTATTGACGTCATTTATAGACGGCGCGCTAAAAAAAGCAGCGTCGCCCACGTACGCAACTTGCGTACGTGCAGCTCGAGGCATGTATATGACGTCATTGGCGTTTTGCGTCGTCGTCTTTTTCTCGGTAATTAACCGCTTGACGTCGACCTGTAATTCTTATCAATCATTCGATAAGACATTTTGACATAGTTCATATTTCCTGTACGAAATGACTATGAATAGTCAAACGGTTTTTTTTCTCTTACTATTACTCTCAACCTACTGACAATCATATGGAATTCGATAGGAATACATTTTCGGATAACACACGAATGTGACGTCATGGTCAGTCGTTTCCATGACAACGTTCGGGCTAGGACGGTTTAACGAAAAACAACGGTAATGATCTTTTTATACGACGTCAAACTATAGGCCATTAATCCTAGAGCAATTACTAAGAATCAGCTTTTGCAATTTTAAAAAGAATAAAACAGAGAGCAGGACTGCAAACTTCCCTTCACCGTAACGCGATACTCGTATAGCCGCCAAAGTGCCAAACGGTACGTAGCCGAATATAGCCGAGTTGGGTATCCCCTACTCTATAAAAATCCGCTATACAGCTGACGATTTTTCGATTTTACGTTTTCTTTTGGCACCTAGACGTCAAACACACTTCGATTTCTCGATCGACAATACATAATTTAACAACGAGATTGAAATGTTAGCAAGCGCATAAAATAAAGTAATCAACTTCACCAACCTTTACTCTCATAAACCAAGCTATTTCAAAATCAAGGAAAATTTCTTTTATTATACAATTTTTCTCTAACCAGAAAAAAATACTATCCGAATTGACGATAGACGTGCATCAACTGAATTTCGACCAGTATGTCAAATAGCCATGCCAGCAGATGGCGCTGACAAGATCAACTCTCATTGGTTGTACTGATCACGTGACACCGTATAATATTCTAGCAAAAAAAAACTGTTTTCTACGCAAACTTGTATTATATAGTGGAAAACAGCAAAGGGGGAGCAAAGGGTATTATTATAAATTAGCAGAGCTATGCACAAATAACTGGCACGCAATTTAAATTTTAATAAGGTTAATACATAATCATTTTAAAGTATTACATAAAGCCGAATACACCGAGACATAACATACAAATATATATATATATACCTAATAGTATATATATATATATTCATATGTATATATATATATAAATGATATAAATATAGAAATCTTTAACTATAAATATACTTATATAAGATATTTTTAAATGTATACATATATTTTAGATTACTGATGTATTAGTTGTAATAGAACATGTAAATGTGTAGATATGCTACAGACAAAATACAATGCACATCGGCTAGTAAAATAGACTAACAAAAAGAATTTCATCTATCGAATATCGGTTTTTCATCGATCAATCAATCAAGTTAAGTTAAAGACAACATTTTTGAGAGTTTTTTTTACGGCATCTTAAAAACTAAGCCTCGTTTTCAGTTAAAGATACGTTTAGATAGTTAGATAAAGACAGAACACACACACACATACACATACTGTACATGTACAGTCTATATGCATGCGTGCATACAGATAGCTTCTCTACATTTATATACGTATGTAGTACAGTTCTTGTAAATGAACTCATTAATACTTAATATCGTCTTATTGTTCCTGGTGGCTTAGAATTGATAGAGAGTATAGGATGGTGAAAATAACAAAATAATATGATACAAGAGAACCAGAGGAGATGAAGAGATTTTAAAAAAATAGTATGAAAACTTGGCGCCATAAGACACCTGGCAAGAGTAAAGCGCAGTTCCCACACAATCGTTATTCAACCGGTTACGTAATCTGTGAACAGTAGTGCGCACATCTTGAGCGTTGAAATTGCCGGCGGCAAACGCTGTTACGTTTCAAATTCGATTAGAACGTTCCTTCATCGTTTCCCCTTCGCATTCCACAGAAAAAAAATCACGCAACAAATAACATACAACATCTGCTTGAACGGTACATCCACTCTCGCACCATACGGTGTCGACAGCAGGACGTCGATGTGACGCTTAGTAAACGCTCCGAGTGTACGTAATTAGACGCTGTATAAGAAGATTAAAATAAGACATCAGTCACTGACACGGCGTTCAACAGCTCGGAGGCATTTTTTTTTCTTCAAAAACTCATAGTGCGCATAAAGTTCCTTATTATGTAATTAGTAAAGAAACGCCTAAAAACGCCGACCGGTAACACTGACGTCACTGGCGTTCGATTACATAACATCAATCTTTTGAACGTGTATCGGCGTACCTTCGCTGAAAAAAGCCTTTCCCTTACCTGAATTTTAACCAACTCAGAAATCGAACCGATACCAATGTGAGAAATGACCGCTGCTAATTATAATCTATCTAAGCCTACGCGTGGAAAGGAAAGCTGATAAAACGAAAATAAACTGTCAATATTCGCACCTTCGCTTCGTTTGAGGACTAGAAATTTACTACAGTTTTCTATTAATTATACAAATGCGTGTGGATCGAAGAGCCGAGGGATTTTGAACGACCAGCAGCACCAGCAGCAAAAAGCTCTCCAATAATAATGTACCTGCATTTTCACAACGAAATCTGGGCTTTAAACATTTTTTCTAATTAAATGCACGCTATACGTAAGCGGAATCGTGTTATGTAATTTTTGATGCGTTTGTCCTCCGGCAATCTTCCTTCCGTTAGAAAATTACATTTTCAGAACGTTGTCAAAAAACAATGACAAATCCAACCCAATTGACCATGAGAAAAGATTAGCATAACGCCCAAGACGCGTATTAGGCGTCAACAAACCGTCTAATCCCTGCCTAACAGAATTAGGGCCTATAGGTGGCGCTTCTATTGGCGCCATCTGTTTTGAATTAAAAAATTTTCCTAAATCAACTTGGACTTTTCATAGATTTTTTTTGTCTGCGTCCAACTTTTACTGGGAAAAGCAAGTTTTATCGTAGACGCCCAGTAACTCTGACGTCATACAGTCGAGCTTTTGCACCCAGCAACGCTAGTCCATAGCAACGCGTACGTCATCAAATCTTGTCAAGGACATACTCCTATCGATTCTACCTAGTATAGGCCATTTTTTCTGCTGGCCAGACACAATCGTTTTTCAATGGAAAATATATACAAAATGCGTAAGAAATTAATACATACGTAGAAAGCAGATTTTTTAAAACATAGGCCAATTGACAAACGAGGTTGTCTAACTGTAGTTTCCGATTACTCTAAGAATTATACAATTCTAATACCGTTATTTAACAGAACAAACTTAACATAGAAAAGCGACTGAAACATCAAGTGAATATATCTAAACGAAAACGAAGTAAACGGGCAAGCCTAGTTGGAAATGCTCGGCTGCACATCGCCAATTGTTGGCATTATTCAACATAACATTAGATTGACAGTCGTTAATTGTGATCGTATACAGAAATTCATAGAACATACATGATGAAACGCATATAGCGCGCGAGACAAAAATAAACTTACTAGGTTCTATATATAAGCGAGTTTTCCTCCTCTAAAAATAGCGAATAATTTCCACTGATCGGCACTACTTTTTGAGCCTGAAATATGGCGTACAGTCATGTATTATTGCGCCACCCACTGTTACTTTATTCATCATTCGATTAGTTTTTAAAGTATTATGATTCTTTTTTTAATATTTAATTATATATTTTATTTAGGGAATATTTTTATATAAATTTCTTAAAGACGAAAATAGTTGAATCGTGATAAGAACTATATTTCTTTAGGGCAATGCCGAAACATCGTTACGTCATTCGATACTGAATGAATACAACCATGTTGCCATCTACACGCACGCGCGCATATCCTTCAAATCGTAGATTGGAATGTAGAAATTCCAAGGTTAAATGCGAGACTATTAGAATAATAATTCAATTTTTATTTAAAAAAAAAAATCGCTTACTTCCGGAAAAGTAAAGTTTCAGGACCGTATTCGAATGAGAGGAATTTGAAAGTTTTCAACATAAAAAACTGGTTAAACAAGCAAAGCTCGTTATTAACTTACCAAGGACCTGAGGAGCCGAAATATAAACAATTCTTAGTAGAAGACTTCAAGTTTTCTGTAGGACTAAAATGGTAAAACGTGGATCAACAGTAATGCCATCTATTGGTCTATTTCGAAACAACTCAAGGAAGGATATGCCCAATGCGTTCTTGAGTACATGACTCTAAGCATTCAGAATAAAGATAGAAGAGCGTACAAACATTCACTAATTAATCTCTTGTTAGACGTCTCTAGCATTACATGTTCAATACGGATTAAGTTTGTTAAATTAATCCTATTAGCGGCCTTAAACCTTAACTTATGCCTTCAATCTGCCACAGATCTAGATAGCTACCATCAACAACTTAAGGACTACATCTACGAATGATCTAAACATTAGAAAATAATACAAAACATCTAGGAATGGAATCTTCTGGTTGTTTAGTACTTTGATTTGTTGACAATTAAGATTCTAAAAAGTAACTTAAATTAATTTGTATTTTCTATTTACGAGAAATGTGATAAACAATTTCCTTTTTTCAAAGAAAAACTGTAAATTTAGTAAAGTGTACAATGAAATGTCAGAGAAAGTTGTAGCACATTAACACGTTAAAAGAGAAATAAATTAAATGATTTATTCAAAAACAGACTCTCTTTGGAATGCTATGACCATTTTCATATCATTTTCTTATTGGCGATATGCGGCATAGAAAATCTTTAAGGTTGGATATGAAAATTAATCTCTCTGGTAATTCGAACTCGTTTGGTATACAGCCTTGAACATTACCCTCAAAGTATTTGACAATGGGATAAAAAACGTCCAGAATTCGCCTCTGCATTGGTAAATTTGAATTACGATTGTTCAAGTTGTCTGCCAAATGATGATAATGTAAATACGCTTGAACGGTTATATAAAAGGCCAATAGGACATCAACTGTATAGTGTTCGTGACCTACAATTATCAGTATTATGGCAATGAAACTGGATGTCCATAGTATAAAGTGCATTGATCGACAATACTTGGGTGTGTAATCGACAATAAGCATTGTTAAGGATACTAAGGTGACCGTATGGCCGCTAAATATGTAATCGCCACACGTATATACTCCGTTTCTAACCATACCACCTCTCTCAACTATTATGAAAGCTCTGTAGAGTATATCAGACAGTTTCTGGTATTTATCCTGCAAATAAAAAGAAAGTACAAAAACGTAAGTTAGACGAAAAGAATAGAATTTAAATTTAATGTCTCTGCCCATTGTATTTTTTTTTTGTCGATAATAAACATTCTACTTAAAAAAATACATCTATATACCTTACACATTCTATAACTTGGTCTAGTTCCAGGCAATGAAGTCAAAGTCATAGTAAGGCATCTTAACAGTGTAATTATGGACAAAATAACCAATATTCTTCTTATTATGCAACATCTGTTAAATAAATTATTGTAAATATAAAAGTCCTACTGTAACAATAAGCAGAGCTTAGCCTACAGAGTACTCTGTACACGTGAATATGCGTACGATGTATGATATACACAGTAGGCAAGCATCAAGATCAAATATTCTTCTCATTATTGAGTAATATAGATATATAAGAAAATATTATTGTATAATACTTATCAAAGAGGAGAAACTTATCTTAAACAAACAAATTTAAAAAAATATGGTACAATATCAAATTCAGCTGTTTTCTATTATTCTTAAGGTAGGGACCGTTATCGAGTATTGAAAACCCGGATGTTTTTAGCAAGAGTATCAGTTATAACTTGATTTAATTGGCATTGGACTTTCAAGTTCAAGGATTAAGGAGAATAATAATTATATTCATGGGAAAGAAACCCTTTAAAAGTAGATGGTTATATTTTAAGCTATCAAGTTGTAAATAAGTTTCTAGTCTTTCTATCTCTTTGTCTCTCTCTCTCTCTTTCTGTTACTCTCTCTCTCTCTCTCTCTCTCTCTCTCTCTCTCTCTCTCTCTCTCTCAATTTTTCTCTCTTTGTCTTTTTCCTTTTTTGTCTATTTATGATTTCTTGTTCAAATATAACTTTTTCAATAATCGTCTTTTCCAAAAATCGTCGATATATAGACAAAAAAGGAGCTTTACGCGGATTTTTAAAGTAACAAGGTCTGTAATTTCTTCAAATATAATGGTAAGTTTGCATGTTTTTTTTTCTTTTGTTTTATGGAACAACAAAAGAATTCTTTAAACGATCGATCGATGAACAAACTGAATTGAATGGAAACTAAATGATGGGGGAACGTGGTAGGAGGGTAGCTTTCGCATGGTAAAACGATAGCTTTTCCTCGTCCTTATACCCTCGTTTACCACGTTCTCTAACCCCTATCTCCTTCACCTTTCCTCTTTCAAGTAAAAAAGAACACCTATTTACAAATATACAATATATATATATATATATATATATATATAAATTATATATTGTATGTAATGTATACTAAATAAAGATACTATTTATTGTAACACAATATACTAATATTAATATTAATAATATTATTCAGATTTAGATAAGTATATCTTAATTTATTATGAATTTTAAAGTAGTATATTAATTAATACTGTTAACATAACTCTAAACATTACCTGTGTTTGTGTAACACTGCGATCAAAATGACCACAACTATAAGTAGCATTAAAATCCCTTCACTGATATCCAAAGCCCATGATCGCAAGTTAACATTGTCAAGAATAACGTCCGGTAATTGTTTATTTTCTTTCGGCATACGGCTGTGAGCGATGACAGTTGCAATGGCAGTTATGTAATAAGAAAAGGATATGAGTAAGACTGAGGCGATTAATTTCTTACAATCATTTGGTGGTCGGCAAATAGGTTGTATTTTTGAAAGGTCTTCATCAGATAAATCGACAGCATATGACTTTTCTAAAGACATATTTCTTTGTTTAGGATATCGTCGACTGAGGTTTATTGAGCCAAGAAACTGATGAAGAGGAAGGGAGAAGCAAAACGGTATCGAAGCGAAGAGGAATAACTACTGACTGTGGAAGGGTATATACTGGGAGATAGATAGGATAAAAATGATATATTCTTTCTCTTAAATAATTATAATCCTTATTATATGTAAAACAAAGAAAGAAAGAATATTTGTTGTCTTTTCTTTTTTGAGATAACCTTGCCTTAAATTAATATTTTAAAGCCGCCTACTAATTAAATTGTTCTAGAAAATTAGCCACACCCTCATATTGTTTAGTAAATTTTATTAATATTATATGTATTTTAGAATAACAAGAACTAATTTAAAGTATTGTAATTGATAATTCTCCTTCAACTGTTCTCATTTTGTATTTTATACTATTGAAAGAAAATTTAAACTTTGTTTTGATCGCTTAGTATTAACTTGAAGATGCACACGGATTATATATACAATAAAAAAAGAGAAACATATGAGGAGACATATGCTGTACAAAAGTCATGTTCTTGGAAGCCAACTTGCGTGTTTTTTTCGTGATTCGTTATGTACTGAACACCATCAGGTTTTGCAAACTATTTCTACCCAACAATAAAATTTATCATTTTTACCTAAATTGCAATCCATATGTTTTCATGTATCATGTAATTTCAAATCAAAGGCAAAATATGATACTTTTGACTATACTCTTAGTTTCTTTTACATTATAGGAGCTTTTTATGCTTTCTCTGCTAATATTCATCACTTTTCTCTTGGTATTTATGTTAGTAGAGTTAATGATTAATAAAGAGCTTGAATTTTCTTCCATCATTTTATTTACAAGTTGATAAATTTTACGAATTTAATTATGGTTATGGATCTCTATACATTTAATTATTACAAAGAATTGAGCTAATATCTCCTGATTCCTTTTAAGTTTACGAACTGCTTTCTAGTAGTATGTTAATCAAAGTTTATCAGCCAGATGCTTTTGACAATGGATTGAGAGTTCCCTTTTACCCCCTACTCAAACTCGAAAAAGGTAGAGATACTCGAGATTTCATTGCCAACATTTTTCTCTTTCTCCCTCAATATGTAAATATGTCTATATATAAATATATATTTATATATACAATATATACAAGTATATATAAAAATATGTGTCTTTTTCTCTTTCCAGTCGTCTGTTTATCTCCCTCTCTCTCTACCTCTCTGTCTTATACTTTCTCTCTATCTGTCTCTCCCCCTCTATCTCCAGAGTTCTAATGTTGACTTCCGGTCAACTGCACGTTAAAAGGTTTGGGAAGTAACCGTTTCGAGGGCTTCTTCAACGATTCAGTACTATATTTCCTGTAGAGAATATAATATATTATATATGTTAACACTATTTAAACGCAGTATATTTATAAATCTTCGGAAGTTATCAGAGACTATTATTTGCATTGAACAAAATATCATTAGTTATTTTTTTCAACAAAGAAACAAGTTGAATTGTTATTACGTAATTCAAAACCATGATTCATACTTTTATTGTTAATGTTTATCTGGGTTTTAAAATTATACTAAAGCTTATTTTTATAGGGATTTTTTCTTGAAACTGATGAAATCAGTTAACGAGAAACCCATTGATATAATTAACAAATGCATCAGTATAACGTATCACCGTTTCCACTCTTTAAATTAGCAAATAATATCTTGTTTTTAATGCTTATTTCTATCGTTTAACATATTAAATTGTTATATAGATGTTAAATGAAAAAAAGGTTGATTTAGCAATGTTTAATACCATAAGTAAAAAGCAAACTGAATAATCATGCTATTGGACTGCTTATCGATCAAGTTGGAAAAGAAGCGAGAAAAAAGTTCGATTTATCTCTGGCAAACAGAAAACTTCGAATATTTCGATCATTTCGAATGAGAGCCCTGGAGATTATAGGCCAAGTTAGTTTGATAGTTTGTGAACTTATAAAGAACAGATAAGAGATGTTAATAATTAATTTCATGAACATCACGTAAAGTCTACAACTTATTTTATCTTATATTTCTCTTATCGGCTAAGAATCTGTGAGCGTTTACTTTATGGAATAATAAGCAATCGATAATTGCTTAGATTGCAGGTCTTTTCGTTTTCATACAGCTTTTTCCTAGAATTATAGGATACATAAGTCAAGTGCAGTGGACAAGTACATCTTAAAATTTCAGATATATATTTTGAGAATCATCATCTGGTGAAATTTGCAAGTGTAAGAAATCAGATAAAACAGGTATACACTCATGTGAATAAATGCGCTCAAGTGAACACGTGTCTGTACATATCGCATTTTATAATACATAAAATTTTAGGATTCATGAAGGTCAGTTGCACTACGAAAAGATCCAGTTCGTAAACTCTCTAAAGAAGGATGTGATTTATTCACAAGGCGTACGTAATTGTCTCGATGTGACCCAATTTGCAAAAGGATATTGAGAACAAGCTATATTCGTCCACTGAAGGACTTGCGTTGAAGTTAAAGCAAACTAGTTTCATTGAACTTTTTCTTTATAAAAATTATATTGAGCAAAATCTACTGTTTTCCGAATTGGTTCCCCCTTTAAAGAGTTAATATATTAAAAAGGTTTCCTTTTTAAAAGGAAAGAGAAACCGGAATGATACGACTAATGGTAAAATGTAGTTAACGTAATTAAATTACAAGTTCATCACACGTCGCAAGGTTATCATTGGGAAAAAATCTCCTAACGGATGGTCATCACGTAGAACATTCAAAATCGTAAATACACCTTCTCCATTCTTTTCCTTAACAAACGTACATAACGAAAAAGGAGTTCTGTGTATAAACTTAAAGGTTTTTCGTTCCTCTGATAAAAATCTTCGGTGATAAAGAGTCCCTATGTGAATATCAAGAAGAACGATATCATATGGATGAGTTACAATTCTTGATAATAATACGTTCTAAAATGGCACGAATGGATCTGGAAATGAAATCGCGAATGTTTAGCAGATTTAGCACACTTGACTGGCATCTTACGAAATTTTTACTTTTCAAATCTTATTTTGTAAATGAATTTTGTTGGTGAATTTCCATCCATAATTTCTTATTTACAACAACAAAATAGTCAATTGAGTATGGAGTAGATATTTTTCTCCCTGCTCTCTCATCTTTAAACAATAGCATATTTATCATGTTAATTCCTCTCCAACAATTCGTAGAAATCAGAAAGTTTCTCCTAACTTATAAGACAGATGGCGTCTTTCTACAGTACTGCTGCTATTAGAATTGATATTTTAAATGTCGCAGAACAATATATTTAGCAAGAGAAAGTTACTCATCAATTTACAGATTTTCCTTCTGAATGAGCTTGATTAATTAGACCATTTATTATATTTACATATGAATAATTACTAATATCTTATTTATAATAAATTCCCTAAAATACGGTTATCTTTCTATTTCTTCTCCCTCTAAAGAGTAAAGATAAACAGACTAAATATTATTATTCCATTAAAAACAGTATGACAACAACTGAAAATTCGTTGAATTCTATATAAAAGACAATATATGCTTACAAATTTTTAGGGAATTTAATTAAAAGTTCTTCTTAGTATAAAATGTAAAATAAAAAACAGATCCGGAAGTCAAGACTTCATAGGAAAAAAATCAGTAAGAATATAAGATTACTATAGAAAAGAATGTGAAGTTTAGAAATGAAAGGAATTTTTATTTTATAAAGCCTGTATATTCTATTGATTATCGAAGAAAAATGATTGTTATCCCATGGTACACTCTCATAGAATAAAATTTAACTTGGTATAACTAGAATAGACCTGTGAGAAATCGTGATTAGATGACTTGAGGGATAGATGTATAATATTTTGAAATGCTTCGTATGTGAGTTTGTCTAATTAGATTATCTTTGTTATTTCATTGATTTTCAAATGCGTGTCTGAGGGAAGAAGAATAGAGAGAGAGGACTCTGAAAATAGTGACAAGTGATAAGTAAAAGTATAAATTTGTGTTGGCACGGTTTGAAGAGAGAAGGGAATCCGATCAAGAGAGAAGAAAAGAGAGCCATACTACTCTTAGCACTGCTAATGCATGTGACTTTAAAGAGCTTGGCACTAGAATATTATGTTTGTTGTCTCTTAACTAATCGATAATGAACTATAATAGAAATCGTAATTATTTTCAATTATTTGAAACGAGAGGATTATTCATTAGTTTTAAAAGTATCTATTACCGTATTTAATTAAATAGTAGTATATATTTTGTATCTTGTATTTTCTATGGTTGGCTACTCTTTACGAGAGTGGAATGAATGATCGATTAGATAGATCTAGTTGTAGACATGAAGGTAGACAAAATCATATAGTAATTACTCCTTTTAAATAGGACTCAATGCCTTTTTATAATTTTTGTAGTAAAAAAAAAGAAACCAAATAGTTAAATCAAACAATTAGCGAACCGGATAGAGGGCGAAATAAAATCGGAAAGATTTACATAATGCCAAGTTAAGCTTGGAAGGGCTAAAAAGGTTAGATGTTTATTACCAGGTCTCTCTGTAGTATCGTTGGAAAACTTTTGGGACTTTATGTCAAACTGCCCCCTTTTGATTGAGAGTCTTCCTTCTCTTTTGAATATATAATAATTACATCATTGAAAACTAGCAAGTTTGACCATGTTTTTGAAAAACTCTTCAGCTTCAAGTCCATCAGACGGTAATTAAAATCTAAAAGCTTTTTTTATATAGAGAGGAGACAAGAACAATCCAAGCCTGTGGAGATGTTATCTACTTTAAAGTCAATTACGACGCTGAATAGATCTCAAATGAGGAAGAGATGGAACGAGGTAAAAATAAATGCCAACTATTACAAAATGACAAAATGCTGTATACATATACAGTATATACTAATATTTGGAAGGAAACTGAATATAATATGTTTTAGACAAAAAACAACTGAATCAATATAATTGGGTTTCATTCAGCTGTATTTACTAATTTATTTATGAATGGCAATTTCATCTAATAAGCAAGACTAAGTTGTAGGCCTCTACGTGTTTAATATCCTTAAGATGGGCTCAAGTTATATTGAACAAAATTCTATTCATGAACTTAATTTACTATTTTTAATTAAATTACTTGTTGATCATCGCAAATTCTATTTTCAAACTATAACATTACATCTACATTGAAATTTATTTGTTTAGTCTTTTTTAATAAAGTTAATAACGTTTATCCAAACTACTAACTACTAAATGTCTATCCTGCCAATTTAGGATTAATTTAAGCATTTCAGATAATCTCTGATCAAATTTCGTTGAGATTTAATAATTAAATTGGCGTCAGTCACCAAAATAAGTGCAATTATTTACAGAAAATATACGAATAAACTCCTTCACAAATTGATCTTTTGTATGTTTCTCTTAAAGAGATCTTTATTCTGCATTCATCATTTGAATGACACTCTATTCTTAATAGAGCATTAAAACTTAAAAACAAAGAAAAGCAATTGTATCTAATATGTAATTTTATGTCCGTAGAAATTGAGTAATGAATAATTTTTGATTGTTAGTAAATTTTGAACAATGCACGAATAAGATTTCAATTTAAAATGAAAGATAAAACTCTATTTTTTAAAGAATTGATATTTTTTTAAACAAAATTTTCAAAAACCTTTCTATAATTTCAAATTAATCATATCAGTAACCAAAATTCAATATATACTGGAATTGATTTGCTCTTTTAGATGGCTAGACGTTTTTTAAAAAGAATTTAAACTTTTTAAATCTATTGCTAGTAGGAGTTAATCAATTTTTTAATCGTGAATATTTAATTAAAAGTTCAAGAGGCAAATAAATAGCGATATGACTCTGATTTGTCGTGGCGTTCTTTTTTTCTTCTTTCCCTCTCTCACATTCTCTCATTGTTGCTTCTTCTTGCTGTCTGGTTTGGACTGTACTATAATTACCAAAAGAATCAACTTCGTCAGGCACTAAAAGCTGAGGTTGAAAGCTCACTTCTTCTGAGACGAAAAATGAAACCGATTATATAAATCATCGATCTTGAAATTACCAGATATTGTCAAGTCTCTTTAAACAGAGATGACCATTAACGACCGATAGATGGAGTTAGTGGAAGCGTCCAATTTGCCATTTCTGCAGTCCTGTCTGTTCATCAAGGTGAGTGTCATTAGAAGCACCCTTGTTTAGATTCAGCGTCTAAACTTTCAAAGAGGTCAGTACATGTGAACAAGCTTCGATGCTAAAAATGACATTTTTTGGGGTAAAAGTGTTGAAATATATCTAAAATAGCTTAATCTTTAGTCCTTCTTGTCTTCGTGAATCACTTCCTCCCCTGTAACATACAGTATATACGCATAAAAATACTTATTTCTTTGTGGAGTTTATATAACTAAAGGAACCTTTTAGATAGAAAAGAAGGAAAGATAGGTAAGAGGGTATTAATGCCGGTCTTCGTAATTTATCAATTGCTTTTCACATATAGGTTCTGTTTAGATTACGTTTTTTCTATGCATACAGCAAAAAGAGATATTCCCCTGGGAAGACGATCGATGAATTGCTACTTTTTACTGTTCTTTTTCTCATCCAAAATCTTTATCGAAGCTACTAAGCATCGGCATGAAAGATACAAACAAACAAGCTGGAAGCTTCGTAAAGAAAGATCTTTTACCAGTCATTAGTAAGTTAATATTAAACTATTTTTCTACATTGCTTGCTACCAATTTAAAGTATAAAAAATAGGTTAGACAATAGTAAAATAACGTTATTTTTCTTCAAAAAAGAGAACACTAACACAATACTATGAAAATGCTAAATACAGAACATCCCATACAATCGAAAATAGTAGGAATACTAAAGTAGTAATATTCGCTATTCCCCCTTTACTGTGGGGTTTTTCATTATTCTTGTATTATGAATTATATCCGAAAAGACCTTTTTTGATGTTAGGCATGAGCAACACCTTAAACAAATGAAGCTAAAATTACATCTAACCGCATACGATTTTTATGATAATTACATTTACCTTAAATAAATAGTATATAATTAGTTTTAATTGACTTTTTCAGATAGGCTTATGTCATAACCAGTTTAGATGTAATATACTTTGAAAAACTTCATATACGGATCATGATATTTAAGCTTATATTCTTTTTTTGATGGTTTTTGATGGACCTAGCATGTCCTTTGAAAGTACTCTTTTCTGCTGGAAGGCTTTAAATCATAAACTCTTAGGAGCTTAGAAAGGAGAAAAAAGTTTTTGAAACAATAGTTGCAGATGAGCAGTGTGACCTATAAAATTGACTTAAATATCTGATACAAGTTAGCTAATTAGCAAGCATAATACGCTATATGTTGCAGGTAATGTAGGAAGCGCAAATTTATATACTTAATATAAACATATTTTTCTTTATATTTAGTGTTAATTTAAGGTCTTTTTTTGACTTTCTTAGTCCATCTGGAACTCGTGAAAAGGATGATTTTTCAACACTGTCCAGTGAAAGCCGACTGATACACTATCTTCTAAATAAATATGCACAAGCTGGTAATATGGCTCGTCCAGTCTTCAACTCTTCCAGAGCGGTTGATGTACAATTTGCGATGACTTTGGTTCAATTATTAGACTTTGACGAAACTAAACAACTGCTTATTACTAGTGTTTGGAAGAGCTATGTAAATATATTATTAACTGCTTTAGTGTTAATTGTCTTAATACCTTTGTTTGCGTAGCAATGGATTGACGAAAACTTAAGCTGGAATCCTGCTGATTATGACGGCTTGGAAGACATCAGATTACCTCCCAGCATTACATGGACACCCGATATTGTACTTTATAATAAGTAATAATTGCGTTTTTATGCTTTAAAGATAATACTGATTAAGAGGTAGTTATTTACCCTACTCTTTGTTAATAGTGCTGATGAACAATATAACCGTGAAATTCATCATGAATTACTTGCTGTCATGCATAATGGACTTGTAAAATGGATTCCGTCTGCCATTTATAGGTCCTCCTGTCCTGTTAACATGGCAAATTTTCCTTTTGATGTTCAAACTTGTGAGTATTTACTTGTTTAATTATCTTAAATCATAAATATTTACACAAATCTTTAATCTTTAATACCCTTCAGCGAGTAAAAAAACAGGGACAAGTTCTAATAAATAACAGTTATAACACGATAGGGAACCATTCTCTAATAAATATTTTATAGAATTGACAAAATTTAAAGGGCAAGTTTTACAAGATTGACTCTTTGTACTCTGAAAAATCCAATTTCTAGGGGTAATCAACTACGGATTATAAAAAAGTTGTATATTTGAATAATTAGTTTTTCAATACACAGATTAAATTTAAGTTATTAATTTTTATTCTTGCTCAAGCCAAAGCAAAAGTTCAAAAAGCTCTATGATAAACGTTTGAAGAATCAGATATTTTGTCCTAGATTACAGACGTCATAAAAGATTCTCAGCAAGTCTAAAAATTTTCTTTGCTAAACAATTTAAAATATATAAGAAATTAGCTAAATTACATTTTAAATTAATTAGCTAATTAGCTTATATAGTTTAGGTGAGGAGATAAGAGGGAGGGTTGGAAGAGAGAGAGGAGAAAGGTGAGGAAATAGATAGCTACAAGGAGAAAGCATGATAGAGAAGCGGAGTAAGGTTACAGAAGCAAGATAGAAATATTAGTATCGTCTTCTGGCAAAGTCGATGTCTAATTAAGAAAAAACAAACAAAATTTTAAACTGATGTTGTTTTCTATTTCTTCTGTAGGTCATTTTAAATTCGGCTCTTGGACATACGATGGCAATAAACTAAATTTACACTTCCTCAATTCAACTGGACCCAATATCGATTTGAGAGAGTATGTAAATAGTAGCGAATGGGATATGCTATCGTGTGAAGCGAAAAGGTCAATTCGCTACTATCCCTGCTGCGGTAAATATTACATCACATTCTCTATTCCTTAGTGAAAATATACAAAATATTATATAAAATTAATATCGAATCAAATTATTCCAACATGGATATTGACTATTAATCCCTTGTTTTTCTTTAACATCGCACATTTTATAGGAAGCGATCCCTATCCTGAATTAATCTATTCGGTGACTGTCCGACGTAGAACTGCTTTCTATATAGTCGTTCTTATTCTACCCTGCATTCTACTTTCGTGCCTAACGGTCGTTATGTTTTGGTTTCCTCCGCAAAGGCCAGATCGAACTGGATTAGGTAGTGTAATAAAAGTTGTTTAACCAATTGAAGGAAGTTAATGAATAAAAGACTATTTTCAGGAATGAGCTTGTTTTCGAGCTTTTTCGTACTGTTGTTGATCTTGGTACAAAGTTCACCACCGACTTCAGCATCTATATCACTGTTAGGTATAATAATAGTCTTAATGTGAATAAAAAACTAACAAAATCCAAATACTCCAAACACAAGGTATATATTACTGCATCAATATGATACTAATCGCACTATCAACTATTTTATCCGCTGTCGTCATCAATTTAAATAAGCATAAAAATACCGAAATAGTTCTTCCTAAATGCTTACAAACGGTAAGGCAAGAATAAAATTGAAGTAAATCTCTCACTTTCTCTTCCTTCCCATACTTTAACATGCCTCATTTATTGAACTAATTAAACCTAACATTTCAACGTTTCTATCATTCGCCCTTAAAGCAGTCGTGGACTAAAAAATGGAAGCGTGCTAATGGTGAATTAGAGAACAATACAAAACCCTCTCCGACTATTTGTGATCAGCCACTAGATGGATCTGTAAGTGGTGTAAAAACTCAGGTTGTTCACATCAAGTAAGTTAATAAAAGATCGTAAATTCACCCATCATGGAAAATAATTCATGTTACAGGTTAAAAACCGTTGCAACTTTTTTGGACAGAGTTTTCTTTATCGTCTATATTTTTGTAATCTTCCTTGCTGCGTTCTTCCTCTTCCCTCATTAGTAGATAAATCAACGATCTATTTTTATCTGACTAAACGTTGTAAAGAGTTTTACATTCAATACACCAGACTTTTTAATTATAAGGAAATACTAAATTGGTTTCTGAGAGCATACACATGAAGAGCATTTAATATACAGTATATATACTGTATATATGAGTGTAACATGACAGATTTAGGCGGTAATAGTTTCAGACTAATATACCTTGCGTAAATAAAAGATGCAAGTTTAGGCTTCTGATACTGATTCTCATCATCGCTTCCTTCGGCTTATAAGCTGTTACGTAATCTCATCTTGGCGTGGAAATCTGATTCGCTTTCCCGTGTTTTAAAGATTCTACTAAATATCATGCTATATTAAGTTATCATTTTTGTCAAAGTTTTCGTAACTATCATACGTTTCATTCACTATACAAAACCCTAACCAATTTTAATGATATAGGCAGGATATAGAGAGAGGAGAAAGATGTAAGCAGGGTACAACTACATTTACAATGTCAATATATTACTAGAGATTAATTCTTATAAAATTTATATCAAAAGACTCAACTGCGAACTATAATTTAGCATTAAAAAATTATAAGATATATTTTTTATCCTTTGAATAGAACGTAAAATAGAGACAAAAGCTTCATTTATTAGCCAGTTTTACCTTCTTTTTATTTCATTCAAGTTATTGTTTAAAATATTTGCTTCAACAATACATAAAAAACTTAATATATGTTAGTCACAAAAAAATCAAAGATAAATAACCGGTTGATTACAGCAGCAACTAATTAACATGCACAGTTCGAATAAGGTATCGAAGCGACACCTCGCGTTTTACACATCGCCATTCGTATCGAATTGACGGTATAATATATAAATGTCCAACTCGATGACATTTCGACTTTATTTAGCTTTAGGAACGGAAGTTGGAAGATATTGGTAGATGGAAGGTTCAATATTCATTTTACTAATTATCTACATGTTATCAGTCCAATCAATGGGGTGAGTAGCCGAGTTATTTTTACATTATGCAATCAAAACAAACGAGCGTCCTTTTCTTTTTTATTGTCTAATTTTTTATTTCGTAGGGGCAGATTTGTAATTATAGAGCATCAGTAATTTCTATATCTATAGTACAAAAAATGTCATGATTAATTAGAGTTAAACATGTCAGATCTAATTTAAAAGGGGAATTTACACGTATTTTAAACATCACGATTTCTTTCCCAGTGAGTTGTAAGACTCCTCTTTTATTGGTGGTGGAACTTTAGGTAACAGTCTTTGCTTTGGTAGCGCATCCAGTTTGGGAGTATCATCTAGTACTCCGCTTTCGTAAGGTTGCGGATCAATAGGCCACATTTCTATAGAGTCTACTTCGGAAGCTTCACAATTCAAGTGTAAAATAGTTTCTTCTCCATTTGAATGTTTGATTCTCATACTAGTTCGACTAACGTTGGAGCTCAATGATTCCTTTGATCTAACTCTGATAATAGGTTTACTGGTATCGCCATTGACTCTCTGCTGATCATTTAGATGCGTGTTTTCACTAAAGTCAGAGTCATTTCTTCTTCTCCTAAAAAGCAAATATCTACTGAATAGGGATCATCATTTTACTAAATAACGCCTAACCTTTTGAGATATATAACACCAAATATGACAGCTAATACGATGACCAAAAGCGTAATGACGCATATTACGATAATAGTAACTATTTTAAAGGAAAATTAAATTATTATATTCCACGTAATTCATAAAGAATATTAAAAAATGTATTACTCATTTTTCTGCTACTCTTCCCATCAGTTTTACCATCGGTTGGTATAATAATAGTTGTTGTTTTATCAGGATTCTTGCTATAATATTTAGGTAGCAAACTAATAGGATCTTCAGATATTTCCCTCAAAGATGGTGAGCTAAGTATCCTTTCAACTGTAATAGACCCATAAAGCCATTCGCATCCGACCAACATTATAGTAACGTTGTTTTGAGTGCTATTTTTCAGTTCTACATTCCCAAATATAGCATCGTTTCTCTTAGAAAATAAGATTTTTATCTGCTGTCCATTTAATGTGCCATATTTGCAATTTTGATTGAAACCCAAGCCAGATTTCAAGTGAACTTTTATACTTAAGCGAATATGATTAAGTTTAAATTTTAGACATACAGAAGAGATGTTAACTTTCGGTACTATATTATATGTTCCTTCATTTATATCAAAACACGGTAAATCCTCTCTTTCTAAAACCTTGGCTGTAAAATAGAAAAGAAAAAAAAAACGTATGAAAAGGGAACTAATAGAGACATACGGTAAATTAAATGGTAATAGATAGCAGATAAGAAAGAGTAGGAGAAATGAACTAAAAGTAGGACTAGATGTTTAACTAGAGTATAAAAAATAATTTTACTTTAGTTGACATAGTTATTTTGCTTTGCTCATTTGAAAAACATTGACAACCTCGCCTAAGGAGAGAGTGTAACTATTGAGCAAACTAGAAAGAAGAAAGAATATAGATATATATCCAAGAAAGGAAACCTTACAAGCTTACATATGCGTCTAGTGTACCGTATGCAAACAATATCCTCGTTAATATGACTATTATTTTTTGATCGATGATGCTAGTTCGATTGCAAACGATATTCTCTCGCCGTCTTCCCCCCATTTTATATTATTAGTAAAACCTATGTATTAGACGTAAATTATAGCTGATGTGGAAAAAATCATTTAGGTACGGGGTTATATACTATGTTGACCAGACGTAGAACTCTAAGCTTATATACATATAAAATATTTATATATTTACAATAAACTGTAAATATATATGTTTAAATACAAAATCATCACGTTTTTCAAAAGTCTGAGTTGGTAATTTTTACTTTATAAAACTACAACAAGCCAAAATAGTTAATGTATAAAAATCAAATAATAGATATTTATATTAAATTTCAATAGAAAATTTACACCTTAGAAAATTTAATTGTACCGGAAATTTGAAAAGGAACATGCATGATTTAGAGCTAAATTTTTTAAATGTACAAACCTTTAAGACATATATATTGGTAATAAATATAGCTGTGTAATAAATGCTGAGGTCTACTAACGCCTGGGCAATCTTCTTTTTCAACCAATTTTATTTGGCATATTTTTCGACCTGTACAAGATCTTCTTAGATTATCTGCAATTAAGAGGGAAAAATAGAATAAATGAATAATTTAAAGAGAAGAATAAGAATATTATAAATAATTTATATGTTAAACAATAATATTAATTAATTATATTTGTCTATATATTTATATATATATATATATATCTTTATATATTAATATATTGATACACTAATGTGATACATATATATATATAATTTACACTATTTTTTCTAAACTTACTGTATTTAGTAGATATACAACTATTCTCTTGTTTGTTATTAATTATATCCCGGAAGGATTCCAAAAGATCCTCTCTTGTCCTACTTTCGCATAACTTCTTTTGACCATCATATACAAATTTACTATCTTTTATAATAATTACCTCACCATCATTCTTACATTCTATAGTAGTAGTGGGAGGTGGACAGCATGTAAAGCAATCTATAATTTGTAGAACTATAATATATTATTACGAATAAATAAATCGTTACTTACCACTATCCATACTACATTCATTCTTATCGTCACAACTAACTACATTCCATAAACACAAAGTAAAGGTAATTATTAAATTCCTTGTTAGAAGCATTATCATGTACTTTTCACTCTCTTAAAATACAATAAAAAACCTAAATATTTTCAATTAAGAAGATAAAACCATTGTACAAATAAGTTAAGCCATTTTCAGCAGTATGGCTGTATGCATACGATTCTTTATGTCTCTTGACTTTTCTGGATTTTTTATGAAATTTCAGTTTATGTTTTCTTTATTTGAGACCTTTTTGACTATTATTTCTACAGTTGAGTTCTTTTTCTAAATAAAAACAGGCCTCGACGCTTATCACTAATATTAACGCACATTTCTTTTGTTATGATAAATACAACCGTACAATACTATTGCTACATAGGCCTAATGATTTTCGATGCAAAATTCGTTTCAGAAAATGTTTTCCCTTTTAGTTTTATAGATTTACGAGGAAATACCTCCTTTTTCACATCAATTGTGTATTTTAACCACGAATTTGGGGTAGTTAAGGGGATTTAGATCTTATTAACTTCTATCTGAAAGAAAAGGTGCTCCCAATTCCCTTTATGCATCTTTCCTCTTTAACCGTTTTGATTATTTGCCTTTAAGTAATGCACCATTGGATTTTTTTCCAGCTATAGTCCTTATTCCACCGCTTGTCAGAGATCGCCGGATGATCATCAAATATCGGAAGAGAGTCGGCTAATTAAATGCTTAGAAAAACGCTATCAGAAAGTTACTACTCTTGCAAGGCCAGTTCAATCGTCGAAAGCAAGCGTAGTTGTACACTTTGGATTATCGCTAATTCAAATATTGGACTTTGATGAAAAGAAACAAATTATAACAACTAGTATATGGAAGAATTACGTTTGGAGGGATCAAGTTCTTTCATGGAACCCGATCGACTTTGGTGGCGTTGAGCACATCAGACTAAAAGCATCTAGTTTATGGTCACCGGATATTGTTCTCTATAATAAGTTAGTTCTATTAATTTTAAAAGTATATTTTGCTACAACACCTTATATCCTTTAGTTTAACAAAATTAAAACCGAATAAGGTCAATTCCATTTTGATTACAAATTATATTTAATACTTAAGACGTTTTATAACATTCTAACAACCAATACACAAGTACAAAGATTCTATCTAGAATAGCGGTTTTTTTATTAAGTTATACGTAGTATTCTACTTTAATACACAAATTATCAGACTTTACTTAGGAAAAAAGATTTGAGAACTTTATTTAAAAGAAGACTACAGAATTTACGTTTCTTTCAAGAGTAAAGAGACTAAAAGGGCAAAAGAAAAAAGGATTAGTCTTCTTGAAAAGGAACAAAATTTAGAATCCTCACTTTCTTTTAATAGCGTTCTTTTTTATTTTTATACGATTCTCTGCTTAAATTCTCTGCTGAGACGTCAGTAAAATTAACTAATTTACACCTATAGATTATCATATACAATATATTCTATCAAGTAAATCAACCTAAATATATTGGAATATACTAATATGTATACGTATATAAAGAGCTTCTTGGTCATTTTATCCATCATTGATTTCTTTATAAATCTAATTCCAATAGAAGAAAAGGTAGAGAAGCGTAGCTTAGCTTGATTCATCTTTTTCTAATAGGAAGAGGAGAAAGTAAAATAAAATTCTAGATTATAGTCTTGGGTTTCATGCGAATCATTTAAAATTCTTTTCTCCTCTTTGTCTAGTGCCGACGAGCAAATTAAAGAGCATGAAGAACTAGTGGCCGTTTACTTCAATGGAACTGTCAAATGGATTCCGCCTGCCATCTTTAGGTCTTCCTGTGAGATTGATATGCGAAATTTTCCTTTCGATGAGCAGGTTCAGAAATTTGACTCGGAAGGAAAGATATAGATTCCTAATTAAATAATTATCCTCTTTTTATTCCAGATTTGCGAGTTTAAGTTTGGATCATGGACTTTTGATGAAAATAAATTAGATCTTCGCTTGTCTAATGACACAGATAAAATAGACCTAAGGGAATATGTTCACAGTTCTGAATGGGAGGTTTCATGGACGTCTGCCAAACGACAGGTATTATTTTCATTGTTGTTTAGCTTTAATGAACAATAGTAGCAATAAGAATCATACACGTACTGTATTTAATTAATCGTGTTTCAAGAACTTAACACAATGATCAATTCATAAATGTATAACAAAGTTTACTTAGTTTTCTTTGAGTTTAATGACCTACTTAAAGCAAAAATTATGCTAGCTACAAAACTGTTAAATGTAAAGATAAAACTATTCAAGGTGGAGATTAGCAAGGATTATTGTATTCTTGAATATTACTGGTTAATTTTCATAAAAGAATTACAATCTTCCTTATACTGTATAAAAACTTTTAATCGCTTTATCTAAAATTCCCATCTATGCATAATATCGAAAGCACATTACACTTTTTCAGATTCGTAAATATCAGTTCTTTGATGACGATCCCTACCCCGAACTCATATTTACCTTAAAAATAAGACGTCAATCAACATTTTACGTTCTTCTGCTGGTTCTACCCTGTGTGCTTTTATCATGTTTAACATTAGTTCTCTTTTGGATTCCTGCTAACAGACCAGATAGAACTGCAGTAGGTTAGTTACTAATTGTTCTTACCTTTTGATTAATTGCTTCTTCAAGATATAATTTCTATGTATAGGTATGAGCGTTTTCTCATCATTTTTCATCTTACTTCTTATTCTTGTTCAATCATCTCCACCTACATCAGCTTCAATTTCATTACTTGGTTAGTATTACACGGATATTTGTAAGCATTTTATGAAATTAAAATTGATTTTCACTTAATAGGCATTTATTTTTGTATAAATATGGTTCTTATTGCTCTCTCTACAATTTTATCTGTGATCGTCATTAACCTAAGACGTAGGGCGTTCTCTCATTATGCTCCCAAATGGTTACTCTCGGTTGGTTATTTTTTTCCATACTTATTCTATTATACAAATCATAGTAATCACATTAAACGATATTAGGAAAAGCTCGATATAATTGCACGATTACTTTTGGCATCTGACGTTTTGAGTATTGTACCAAATTCCCCGAGATCATCCAAGTGTAAGTTAAGAAGACTCGGATCAAAACGAGCGAGCAAAATAAACGAGAAGCATAATTTAGAAACTTCGGACGATAGCGATGATCAGTATGAGAATGCTGATTTGTATGGCGAAGACACTGAAAGAGAGGATTCAGCTAAATGTTCTTGTTTGAAGAAGAAAATAGCCAGAAGATGGTTACTCGTTTCGTCAATTCTCGATAGAATTTTCTTTGTAACCTATTTCTGTACGATTTTACTTGCTTTAGCTTTTGTGTTTCCTCGGAATTGATATATTCGTATATGTCTTTTTTCTTTTATTAAACTCTTTACTAAATTCATATTTGTATCTCATTTCTATTAAAGTCTCTAAGTGCACATAAGATGTAACTATTTTCTCTATATTTAACTAATTTTCAATGTAGAATACAGCCAGAATTTTCTCATATTGCTTTTATCTGCCCTCTCTCTCTCTGCCGTTGTGCTTTTTCTAGCTCATTTTTTCCCTTTCTCTCTCTACCTTTCTTTCTTTCATTCTCTTTATTTTCAGTACAGGTATATACTTTTTTAGTGTATAAAACAATAAATGCATATACATCAAAGTTGAAAAACTACGAAAATAATGACAAAAAGATCAAAATAACTTTTTTTTTATAACAAAACAAAAATAAAAATAAAGGTAACACGCTTAGAAAGAGAATTTATAAGAACATTATAGAATTTCACCCACTAGATGTCGTATAATCGAATTATATGTTATCTGATGAATCTAAAGCCCTTATAATTACTATTTTATTTAGCTAGGACATTGGTCTTTAATTATATTATAAAAAACAAACTACTCTTAAAACGAGTTTATGTTGTCAGCATTTAAAAAAGAATTCTATTATTAGGTGACCTCTATTTCAAGAACTTCAAACTTTTTATTTTTACTGTTAAAATTGTTTATTACAGTTATTTTCTCACAGTTTTCCCTAATTTGCATTCACGTCAAACGAGACAAAAAGGATAGAGTTCAATAAAAATTTCCCTAAGCCGTCTATCGTTAGCTTTGCTAAATATGAAAAGACTTCATTTATCTTAATCATAGATCATAGGTTCTGGATTAATGTAGAATAAAACTAACAAATCCTACCAATGTTTATTGTTAATAAAGGAACATTATGGTTTGATCTGAATGGTGATTGGCTAAAACGCCCTTCGAGATTACCATATTAATTGAGAACTTTAACATTTTCCCTTAGATTTAGTAGTCACGTCTAAGAGGCATGACAAAAACTTTTCAAAACCTCTTGATACTTTTTCTAATAGGTGATTTTTTCTTCTTTTATTTTAAATTTATCTTTTTTCAAACTATCAGTTCTATATAGTTATTTTGTAATTCATCCTTTTCAGGAGTATCAAATGGATCTATTTCCTCGCTTTTACCATCTGGTGATCAAGATTTGGTTGTAGCAAGAATTAATCATTTTAGAAGAAATGCAGGATCATCTGATATGCAAAAAATTGCCTGGGATGGAGATTTAGCAAGTTCCGCTCAAGAACAAGCCAACCGTTGTTCTGAAATACAAGATTCAAAAGTATTTGCCTTTTCTTCAATTTCTTCAGTTGAAAATGCTGTGAAGGCATGGTTTGATGAAAAAGGAAATTTTGATGGAAATTCTTGCAATTGCCGAGTAGGAGCAAAATGTCAAAATTATATTAAAGTTACAACAGCAAAAACCGTAAAAGTTGGCTGTGGTAGACAAACATGCTCTAATTTATATGAAGATAGCACAAGAACCTCAGTCATAAAGAATAATGTCGAGTTTCTTGTTTGTAAATTTGAAAAACCGTAAGTTAAAAAAGTTACAAGCAATGCACTTTGTGAGCAATTTCTTTAATATTTTTTTTACTTTAGAGCTATAGAGAATAATTGTCCCTTTAAAAAGGGAAAAGAATGCTCAGAATGTCCAAGCGGAAGGGAGAGATGCGTTGAGAAGTTATGTCAAGGTAAATTGAAAAGAATAAATGCAATTTTTAAATTTAATATGTTTTTTGAAAACAAGCTTACATTATTTGCTTATTTCAGCGTCCTGCGCAAAAGGAGAAGAGGGTGAAGGCTGCCGTTAGTAAAATTTATTGACATATTCATCGTTGTTTATTGATCAATAGAACGTGATAATCACTAAGGATCTGTAATTTTTGGATTTATCCTATTGTTCCTAATCCTAGTAATCCATTAATAACCAACTAACTATTTAATGTAAATAATCCTTGCATAATTATTACAGGATTAGTTAACATTTTGCGTTGCCTAAACAAAAAGAAAAATCTTATTCATTATTTTGAAATGTATTCAATAGCGTTACTTTCATTGTATTTAATTCTTTTTCATAGACATCGAACCAAAAGTTACACATATTCAACCGCAAAAAGGTTCTTTAAATGGTGGAACACGAATTACGATTTTTGGAAAAGGTCCATATTTAATATTTTTTTTTTCCAAATTTGATAAATATGTTATCAATTATCTCTTATTTATAGGGTTTTCCCAGGATCGATTCAATTTTGGTGCAAATAGAGAATCGTTAGGTAATAAAGTGACTCTAATATCTGCAGTGGGAAGCCATACTTGCGATATTCATATTGATGGCTGTACCGAATTTCAAATTACTTGCTATACTAGGTTGTTTTATAAAATATGTATATATATACAGTGTATATGCACATTTCATTTTTTATTGTCTATTAGAAAAATGCCCGCCGGAAGTTATTTTGTACGTATCGAGGTTGATGGAAAAGCAGTAACTGATGAAAATCACTGTGGAGATGCTGATGCTTCAGGTTTGCTTATAAATTAGATTTTAGATCACGTATGTTAGTTAGCTATATAAAAATTAAAATTATAAATATCTTGCAAGAGATTACTTTTAGTCTCGTCATTGAAGCAACTTTTTCTTACTAGACATACATTTATACGTTTTAAATTACTTATTTATAAGGACTACTTCAGGGATTTAGCTTAGCTCATAATAATAAGAAATAGAAAAAACATTTTGTTAATTTTTACTAATCTCCGTTACAAAAGGAGCTGCATTTTAAGTATGATAAAAGACATTTTGAATGTGTATTATGTCATAAGTTCTAAGAATACTCTAAATTCTGTTCTAGTTTATTCTGAATTAATCATTTTCGATTTTCACAGACTGCAAATTTACAACTCTTCAAGATAAAACACCAACAATAGAGTCAATAGAGAGACATACACAAACACCTCGTCAATTTATTAAGATGAGAGGTGTCATTGGTACAGCTTATAGAGGAAGTACTATACTTACCGAGAATAGTACAAATGGCGAAACCGATAGATTTACTAGAATGTGGGCATGCGGGCGCGAATGTATTATGGAAAATGAAAACGGCGATGTGTTAGTTTTTATTCAGAGCTTATTTATAAAATATTAATAAAATAATCTATTATTATACTTGTAGCCATAAATTAGAATTAGATGGTGATGGAACAGGCAAATATGGCTCGGTTTGGTGTGAACACCAAGGGAATTTTGTCGGTTTGTAGACTTAATAAAGTGTTTTAATTTTCTATATGTATTTTATACTTAAATTAGGACTTTGTAATGTAAGTTCACTGATTGAAGGAAGTTGGGGAAGATCTCTAACCAAGACACACTTGTTGAGGGTTTCTCATGATGATAGAATTTATACTCTTCAAACCTATGCTGTAATAGAGAGTATCTCCCCAAATGAGGGATCTGAATCGGGTTCAACCTATATTACTATATCTGGAAACTATTTTGATCCAAAAACATCAAGTGTTAAAGTTAGTGATGAAAATTGTGCCATCGTTAGCATTACTAATAATGAGATTATTTGTAAAACGTCACCAAAACCTGCTTCCTTACCATCTAAATTCCCCGGAAATCGGGGTCTACTCAGAAGCACTTGGGAAGGAGAAAATAAAAATTTTGCTAATTTAGATGATATAGACTCTCTCTCAAACCCAACATATACCAACTGGACAGATGAAACTTATTATAAAGAAATTGAAAAAAATACATATGTTACTAAAACGGTTGGTTATTTCATAGCCCCTGCAGACTCTGACTATGTTCTCAAAGCCAAAGGGGACGATTTTCTTAAAGTTTATCTTAGTAAAGATGACACAGATCCTTCATCCCTGGTGAGTAAATTATCTTCATTAATACTACTCACGACTCGTGAATAACGTTCTTTCTTTTAGGAATTAATGTCCCAAGTTGTGACAGCAACAGACAGTTTCAATACAAATCCAGAGCAAATTAGCTCGAAATTTACATTAGAGAAGGGTAAAGCTTACGCTATCAAAATAGTTCATGCCGAAGGCAGTTCAGCGGCTAAAATTGCTGTTGGAATTCACTCTATGAGTACGGTTTTTAACGAAGGTCAAAATGCCTGGGCAAAAGACGAAGTCCAAATTATAAAAACAACAAGTACTGTCCGACCCGAAATACAGACATTAGATATGTCTAGTTTCCCAGCTTCTCAAACTGCAACTTCCGAAGTTCAATCTTGTGTAATTGACATATCATCCGAAGAAATTCCTTTCAGATTAAAGTACAATAATTTACCAACAGGTAAGAGTTTATTAATAATCTCTAAATAGAAGAGTATTAATTTTTCTTTCATATCTTTTTTATAGAACTTTTATCAAAGCTCTCAACTGCAAACGATGTGAAAAATAAACTTAAGAAATTGTCGACAATTGCAGCCGAAAATATAAATCTTGATGTAACTGTTGCTAGTGACGCTACCACGTTTACTATAACTGTCACATTTAATTCTGAATTGGGTTCTCATCCACAATTGGAATTGGTCACGGCACCGGAGTATTCAGGAAATGTATCAATGGTTGTAACAAAAACAACAGCGGGAGTATCAGGAAATGAAAAATTTAGATTACAATATGCCGATCAAGTGTCTCCTGTAATACCTGTTGGAGCGAACGCAGAGAAGGTGAATAGATTAAAAACTAATCTCTTTCTTACTATAACAAAGACAAATCCCTAAAATTAGGTTAAAGAGGCCGTTGAAACTCTATTTTCTGTTAAATGTTCCAAGAAACTTACAGAAAATTCAGCCTTAGAATTTGATGAGTTTGAAAGTTCAAGTGAGTCAGCTGAAGTCGTACCATTTTGTGGCAGACGATCTAGAAAGAACCCCTATATATTATTTTCTTCGACAAAAAGACCTATATCAATTAACAGCAATCCTATTGTAAGTCATATATCGAAAATATTTGAATTTTTAGACAATAATTAAAACTCTATGTTTTACAGTTCTGTACTGCTTATAAAGGAAACTTTTTATCAAGACTTCAGGTTAAATACATTTACCCAGACAATGGTAAATCCTCAACACGATTTAGAAATATAAAATTTGATTTGAGTGATAATAGCGGAAAGTAATTAGCGTTTTATCTTAATAATATATCAATGATTAAGTTATGAGATATTATTATAATATCCATTTTAATCTTTTTTCAGTTGGAACTATAATTGCGTAAACATATTAGAGTATCTTAAGGCTAGACACATTGGCGTCACTATATTTAGAGCGCAGCTAATTCGCATTAATCCTATGGATTCTGAATCATATATTGATATTCCTTATCTTGGTCCAGAAAAACCAGCTGGTGAAGAAAATCGTAAGTTTGACTTAACTACTATTGGCTACTTTTTAGAGCAATAAATAATAATTCTGTAATTTTATAGCTACAAATTTAAGAGGAGTTCCAGCCTTCGTTGCTGATGAAGTAACAGTCAATGAAACTGCTTCAGGAATTTACGAGATATCAATTATGCCTCGCAATTGCTTCAATAATTTACAATTATTATCTGTGGCCAGCGCAGCCCCTGCAGATTTCACAGTTACACAGGAACAAGCTGCTGGCGTTCCTCCCTCAGGTGAATTCACAATCAGCTGGGATGGAAAGACCACAGGTAGGCGAAATATAAATCTAGTATTAAAAATTCAATAGCTGAGAACAAATTAAAATAACAACTATATCTTGTTTTTAGTTGTTAAGGCTGACTACACTGAAAGAGAAATGAATGATCAATTAGAAACTTTAAGTGGTATTCAAGATGTAAAAGTTACAAGAACAGGCAAATGTAGTGGCTACGAATGGAGAGTACAATTCCTTACTTATCATGGAGATGCCCCAGATATGACTGTTTGTAAAATATTCCATATTTACCATAATTATATTAATTTATTTTAAAGATATCGGACCATTCAAGTTTACAAGGTACGGACGCAGCTGCTAGTATAGTACAGGGAAGGAATGGAGGTATTTTTTACTACCCTATCCCAGGTGATATGCTTAGGACAATGCATGATCTACCTCAAGTAATTATAAACTTATTGAATTTCTATGCTTTAATCTTGATTTAATTTTTAAATGAAGACTTTATGGAATATATTTTTCAGGTGACAGTCGATGTGAATAATGTTCCTTCAAGATGTGCAGGAAATTGCGACTTTCAATGGAGTAGCGCGATAAATCCAACAGCTTCGGGTATTACTCCCACAACAGGCACATCCGGAACAGCAGTTACCATTGCTGGCACTGGTTTTTCAACCACTCCATCTATGAATGTCGTCCTCATTGGTGATTCAGAATGCTCTATCACAACATCAACAGAAACCGAGATACAGTGTACAGTAGCTGATGGTGCACTTGGTAGCCAAGATGTTCAAGTTATTGTTAAAGATAAAGGCCTTGCGACTTCATCTATGATCTTTGATTATACTGCAGCTGTTTCAAGTATTTCTCCTACAAGTGGAAGTATCGGTGGAGGTTTAGTATTGACTGTCACCGGAAAAGGCTTTCAAGATGGAGACATTGTTAAAATAGGAGCAGTAGAATGTCCTGGTATAGCCTTGACTTTCTCGACAATAACGTGTAAAGTACCTGCCAGAGCTGTAAGTAACAATTAAACAACTTTTCTAAATAAGTATATAAACATTATTGTTTTATTAAATAGGCAGGAGCTGGCCAGGAAACTGTTACAGTGGAAAATAGTGGCTCTCCAATAACAGGTAGCGCAACTTTCGACTATACTGAAGCCGATTCAATATTAATAACTGCCATTGACCTAACACAGGCAAATGCCTTTGGTAAGAAAATATTTTATACTTTTAAGAATATACTCAAAAATTGACTGTCACTTAAATTTAGGAGGCGAAGAGGTTACAATTGATTCAACAGTTGGACCCTTTGGATTCAATCCTCGTAAAGTTTTCGTAGGAGATCATGAAACAACAATATTAAAGTATTCGAACACACAAATTAAAATTAGATTACCATCTTTACCAAATGGAGAGCATACTTTATATATTCGAGGTGCACATGGATATGCTATTTTAGAGTTCGTAACTTCTATACCTTTATCATATTTAGATAAAAACACATAATTCTTTCACAGTGCCACTAAAGCTCTTCCAAAAATAACAGTGCAGTTTGAAGTTACAGCAGTTTCGACAGATAAATGCTCCAGCTATGGTGGTTGTAGAATAACTTTAACTGGAGTAGGCTTTAATACTGATTGCTCAAAGAATAAGATTACATATGAGGATTCAGTATGCAAACCGACATCTTGTTCTGACACTTCTGTGGAGTGTACTTTAGAATATGCTGCATTTGTTCATAGAATAACTAATAATGGTATCAATCCTGCTCTGGGTAAGAAATTTGCCTGGGACCCAAAAAATATTGAAATTATGATGGGTGATATCATTTCTTGGTCTTGGGATCCACCAAAATTTGTCAGAAAAGTCAATTATAGAGTTGCTGAAACTGAAACGGACACAAGCTCAGTCCCAAAAGTTGGAGGTTTTTCAAGCGGACCAAATGGAAGTCCTACTGGATCCTATAGAAAGCACTTTCCCACTGTTGGAAATTATAAATACTTCTCCGGTTACGTTGATGAAGAAGGAACTATTGCTTTTAGAGGATGGGTGAACGTAGTTGCAAGAGAACCTTTTGTTTTATATCTTTCTTTTTATCAAGGATCTGCGGAAGCCACATATACATTAGGTGAGATTTTAAATAAGTTATTCTTTAAAAAAAACACAATCTCTTTCATTTTTAGGTGGAGCTGGAAAAAGAAAGAAGAGATCAGCTTGTTCAGTAAAATCCTGTTCTGATCCTGACCCGACAGTATCTGATGCAACAAAATTTCCTTTGAAAATGTTAACGTGCTTAGATAGTGAAATTGATAGCATAACTCCATCTGAAGGTACAGCCGCAGATACGTTAACCATAACTGGAAGCGGATTCGGCACAACTGATTCCTGCGTAACTGTAGAAGTCGGACAAAAGACTTGTACAGTCAAATCCATTACTGATACACAGATAACATGTATTATAGATCCTGGAAACGATATGAAAATTGGTGAACAGCATTATGTTAGAGTTTACGTTCATGAAAATGGCTATTCGCAAAATAAGCAAGATTATACTTTCTCCTACTCGCTTAGTCCACACATTGCCTCTATAACACCTACATCTGGTTCACTTGCTGGAAATAATAAAATAACAATTACGGGAGCCGGGTTTACAACAGACACTGTTGAAGTAAAACTCGGCCTAGTCACTTGTGAAATAGAATCTGTCTCATATACAGAAATTGTATGTATTTCACCTCTTAAAGCCTCAGCATCGACTGAGACAGTATCGGTAACTGTTGGAGGATTTCCAGCTATTTGCAAAGCAAGTGGAGACGTATGCACCTACGAATACTCGGCAGCTTCAACTCCAGAAATAACGGCCATAAATCCTACATCTGGAGGAGCATCAACTACAATAACTATTACTGGTTCTAATTTCGGTACAAATAAAGATGATCTATCTCTAAAAGTTGGGGAAGCTGATTGTATTCCAAAAGATGGTTTAACTGATACTCAGGTTGAATGTGATTTAGCTGCTTCAGCAGTAGGAGCAAACTCTTTGGCTCTTGAAAAAGTAAATGCTGGCTCTGCTATTGTCGGAAACAGTGTAAGTTTCAGTGGAACGCCAACTTTGGATTCGGTAAATCCGACAACTGGCTCTGCAAATGGAGGAACCATAATAACCCTTATAGGAAATGGATTTTCAGCTGATATTTCAATAAGAATTGCTGGTCAAGATTGTGTCTTAAAATCTAGAACTCTTTCAAGAGTGACTTGTGTTACCCCTCCCTTCATTGCGATGACAGTTACAATCAAAATAACAAGCGGATCAACAGAATTTCCAGATATAAACTATGAGTATACAGATTTGGCTACCCCAATCGTCTCGTCAATAAATCCAACAACTGGAACTGGAGGAGATGCCCTGACAATAACTGGGAGTGACTTTAATACAGATGCAGCTACAAACGCAGTTACAGTTGGTGGATTAGCTTGTCCAATTACTGGAACACCAACAGCAACAGAAATTATATGCACAGTTGATGCAAGTTTAGGTGGAGGAAGTCATCCTGTCAAAGTTGATGTTGACGGAAAAGGTCTTGCAACCAGTTCAGCTTCTTTTGTAATTACGTTTGAGATAACAGGAATCGTACCAGCAGATGGAAGTCTTGCTGGCGGTCAAACTTTGACTATTAATGGTGCTGGTTTCAAATCAAGTGACATAGTTACTATTTGTAACCAACCATGCCCCATTGAAGCATCATCAAGCAGTCAAATTACTTGTATAACACCTCCCTCTTCCACAGCTCAAACATGTCAGGTTGTTGTAAACTCAGGAGCTAGCCAAATACAAGATAACTATGACTACTCATCGGCAAAAACTCCTACAATTTCAAACGTTCAACCAAAAAGAGGAGGAACAGCGGGTGGAACATCTGTAACTATATCTGGCACCGGCTTTGGAACAGTATCGGGTGATGTTACAGTTTCAATGAATGGAATTGAATGGACAGTTGATAACGTGACTGATACTGAAGTAATTTGTCGAACTGCAGCTGTTGATAAGCCTGTTGGTCCAGAAAGAACAGGTCGAAATAAAATAAGATTGTTGATTTCTGCTAAAGGAATTGCAGATCAAGTAAGTGAACTGCACTGTTTTAAAATCTTAAGATTACTTATTTCTCATTTTGTACAATAGACGAATGCCGATTTCGAATTTATTGATGTTTGGTCAAGCACATTTACTTGGGGAGGAGCTGATCCTCCAGAAGAAGGTACTTTAGTTGTTATCCCAGCAGGTCAAACTATTTTGCTTGATCAATCAACACCTAAGCTAAAGATGCTTCTTATTCAAGGTAATAATAGATATTTTTAGTTATACTTCTTATAAGGAAACCTAACAATTGCAATAAACTTAAAAGGTGGCAGTGTAATTTTTGACGAAGTTGACTTAGAACTGAAAGCAGAGAATATTCTCATCACTGATGGTGGTTTGCTACAAGTTGGTACTGAAGAAGAGCCTTTCCAACACAAAGCCATTATTACAATGTATGGTTTTGTTAGGAGTCCAGAATTACCAATTTATGGTGCAAAAACTTTGGCTCTAAGAGATGGCAGTCTAGAGTTGCATGGCAAAAAAGTTAAGCCATGGACAGTTCTTGAACAAAATGCAGCAGCCGGATCTAGTACAATAGTGCTCAAGCATCCTTGCGATTGGAAACCAGATGACACGATTATTATTGCTTCTACAGGAGGTCACATGTCTCAAAGAGAAACAGAAACAAGAAAAATCGCTGCCATATCGGCTGATAAACGCACAATAACTCTAGACGCCCCTCTTACTTATTCACATAGAGGGGAAACCCAAACGTTCGATGGAACTGCTCTAGAAGTGAGAGCCGAAGTAGGTGTTCTGGATCGTAATGTTGTCGTAAGAGGAAATAATGATATTCAATGGAATGATAAAATTGAAGCATGCCCTGATGGATTCGATCCAGGAGAGCATGCCACTCAAACTTGCTTCCAAGGAAGATTTGGAGAAGAAGTAGGCAGTGATCAATTTGGATCTCAAATAATGATTCATCAAAATGATCTTAACGCTAATAAAGTTAAAGTCAGGATGGAGTATGTGGAAGTAACCTATTCTGGTCAGGCTTTCCGATTAGGTAGATACTCAGTTCATTTCCACTTAAACGGCGACATGACAGGCTCATATGTAAGAGGTTGCTCTATTCATGATACCTTTAATAGAGCTATAAACATTCACAACACCCACAATTTATTGATTGAACACAACTTGATATTCAATGTGATGGGAGGAGCAATGTTTTTAGAAGATTCTATTGAACATGGAAATATTTTCCAATATAACCTTGCCGTTAAAGTTCGCTCTTCATCGTCTCTGCTCAACGATGATATCACTCCTGCCGCTTTTTGGATAACCAATCCCAATAATATTGTGAGACATAATCATGTAGCTGCTGGAACCCACTTTGGATTTTGGTACAGAATGCTTAAGCATCCTGATGGGCCTAGTTTCGATCCAACTATTTGTCCTCAACATGTTCCGCTTGGAGAATTCAATAATAACACTGTCCATTCTGTTGGATGGTATGGTTTATGGGTCTTTGAGGATTATTATCCAACTCTTGAGGGGAATTGTGGTCCTACAAAGACTCCAATTAAAGCCAAATTTACAGGATTAAAGGCTTGGAATAATTTGAGGGGACTTGAATTTGTTCATGCAGGAGCTTTGCAAGCCCATGACGGAATATTTGCCAACAACTTAAAGGCAGGCATTGAGATTCTTCATATCTTTAGACACCATGGAGAGGTTGAGTTCTTTTCGGAAGAAGGAGCTTTGTTGAAGAACAATGTTATAATCTCACATTTAGAGCACACGGATAGAGCTCCCTGCACAAAGAGGGGTTTAGTTCTACCTTTTGGTAGCGGTCTTTTGATAGATGGTCTTAAATTTGTAAATTTCGATGGCGAACAAGTTTTTTCTCATACTTGCTCAGCTATTGGAACAGTAAAGATTACCTGCACATGTACAAAGTTGTGTTCTGGCTATGACTATCAATTTAAGAATGTAAAATGGGTCAATTCTATTAAGAAAGCGTTTTTCGAATGGGAACATCAGGCGGAACTCACTGATTTAGACGGCTCTTTAACAGGAACGAATAATGCAAAAGCAATTGCAAAATCAAATCTGATGCCCTCAAGTAAATGTTCAGATAGCCCCGAATTTTCCGTAAATTTTCCCGGACAAATATGTACTGATATAGATATTTTAAAACTGAATTTGAATGAAGTACAACCTGTCTCTCTTTTGTATAAGTCAATATACATTGAAAATGAGTATGGAAATTCTATCGTTCCTTACGCTTCCGAGAGAGATATTTATAAAAAAGGCTGGATGATTTTAATTCCTGCAGGACACCTTCATAAATTTTATTTTATTGATGGTGCACATATAAGTAATTTCACCTATGAAGCTCAGTTTGATGGACTAACGAACAATGCCTATGCCATTATTCAACATAACTTAACAGAGCCATCATTTGACGAAGTCAGTATTCTAAAAGACCCTGTTGACGGAGTTACTTATGATTTGACAAGACAAGTGTCATACGACACAGATAAAAATGGAATGTTCTATTGGGATGAATCAAAACTAGAATTAACTTACTTGATTTCTGATAAACCAGGCCCAGTTCCTCGTTTTACCAGACAAATTAAATTAGTAGCAACTAATTGTCTCTATGAAGGATGTGTGAATCCTTCTTCGGTCGACATTCCCTTAGATACAAAGAGACCTGCGACCGCAGTATTCTGGAGCGATCTCAAGAGTTGGGAGAATATGCCTACAGGTTATGCAGGTGGTAATCAACTCCCACAAACTGGACAAAAAGTTATAATACCTAAGGATATGTGGATGGTTGTTGATGTTGAAGTAATTGACCTTCTTTGGATTGAGGTTTACGGCACATTAGAATTCGAGTACAAACCTAAATCTGATGGATCTTATTATTCAATTTCTGTTACTACTACTTATATTTTTGTAAAAGGTGGTAGACTTATTGCTGGTTGGCCAAATGATCCATTCCAAGGAAATCTCAATTTACAATTTAGAGGTTCTCATGAGACTCCGAAATTCCCTCTCCAAGAGGACGGGCCAACAGCTGGCAACAAAGTTCTAGCAGTTTTCGGAGGTCTGGATTTGATTGGTAAAAATCGAACTGTTTACTGGACAACTCTGAAATCTCCTGCTGCCGCTGGTGATAGCAAACTCATTTTGTCTAGAGCCGTAGATTGGGTTGTTGGAGAAGAAATTGTTGTAGCTCCCACAGGCTTTGATGTAAAACATACTGAAACATTCACAATTACCGGAGTATCACCAGACCAAACGGAAATTACACTAAACGGAACTCTTCAATTTGCTCATATAGCAAGTACTGAACAATATGGTAGCCAAGTAATACAAATTGCCGCTGAAGTTGGTCTTCTGACAAGAAATATAAAAATTATTGGTCTTGACAATGGCAATATGTTCAAACAAGCTTTTGGAGCAAGAGTTCTTGTTGGTATTACAAGTGGCATAAATGAGTTTGGAGAGATAGAAGCCCATATCGGCTATGCAAGATTAAGAAATGTTGAATTCGCGTATACTGGACAAGAAGGATTTGTGGCTTCTTATGACCCTAGGCATTCTCTTTCGTTTGTACATACGGGAGATGTTACAGAGAACAAACCTTCAGAAGTTATTGGCTGCTCGTTTCACAACGGATTTGCTACCGGAATCGCTTTATATTCAGCAAATAAAATGGTAATTGCAAATAACTTGATTCATCATGTTGTTCGAGAAGCCATTCTTGTAGAGGGAAATATGAACGAATTAATAGATAACTTAGTTGTTCAATCTTTGTTCCCTGGTACGTTTAACGATAGAAGGGAAAGCTCCAATATACTTTGGCACGCAGCTATTGACATAACTAAATCGTCTGGAACTAAACTGATAGGAAATCATGTAGCTGGCTCAGAAAGAGCAGGCTTCCACACGCCTGGTCAGCCATGTGATACTCCTACGAGTGAATTGTGGAGAGATAATGCTGCTCATACTACAATTTTAGGTCTTTACCAAAGTCCCACTACACAATGTTCCGCTGGCTGCATCATATTTAATGGTTTTACTTTATATAAATCGAATGGATATGGCGTATACACTCAAACCAAATGTTCTGTAACATTTAATCGTGTGAAATTAGCAGATAATACAGTTGGAATACTCACTATGATCGTAGGACCCAAGTTGGATAACCATGAGTTCAAGGATTATAGAACAAAATATCATAATGGGTTGATTATTGGCAAATCAGCTTCATTCAACTGTGAAACTGACGTTAGAAATAAACAAGATTATAATATAAAATATGGCTCAGCAGGTTTAGGTTGGACCATTGGTGGAGGTTTTGTAGGAGTTTCATTCCCGTTGAGAACATCTGGCGGAAATCTTCATCCAAAGATGCCATTCAATTTGGCAAAAACAACTCCTGCATTTTACGGAATTATGGAAATAGAGAGTAAGTTCTTTATACTATTTATAACGGCTATTAGTAAATTACTTTAATACTTTATAGATACTGAATTCGCAAGATTCCAAACAATGTGTAGTAATCAAAGAGACAGAATGATTGCTACAAACCCACGATCCATTGATGTTCAATGGATTATTGAACTTAAACGCTGTTATAAACATTATGTTGATGAGGACTCCCTTGTACATTTCCATAAGCCAACTGGAGCATCTGCTGATGAATGTGTCGATATGACCTGTGACGGAATGAAAAAACCTTTGTTGAGAATCATTGACGGAACTATAACTGAATCTTCAGGAGTCTTCTTTGCAGATTCAACAGTTGGGTACAATACAGACAGATCTCAAGGTTTAGGAGATTATAGAATACCAAAAACAATGCTTACAGAAGTAGGCACTGGTAAAAGAATTCCCCCTGAGGAAATAAGATTTGGTGGATTAGGTATTATTAGAGATAGCACATGTCAACAAAAATCAAACGTTCCAGGATTTTTTTGTCCTTCAATTGACTATCATACTATGGTTTTCGAAAGTCTGGATGAAGATTCTAAAACCAGAAGAATAGGACCAATAGCCTTCCAATCAGATACTGGCTACTTAGATATGATTAATGGGCCAAGGGATGTAGGAATTTGTGCTGGCTATGTTTGTAGACATAGATCGTCAGCATTTTGGTCTATTGTTAAATTAAATCATCAATATAACATCTACCTAACCGGTACAGCTCCACAGAGCCTTAGATTTCACTTGCCATACGTCAACTCACAAGAGACTATAAGAATAGCTTTCTATTACGGCTTAATGCAGAGATTAGATATTTCAGTTGATGGGGAATATATTCCTCCTAAAAATATCAAAGACCCAAATAATTATAATGATGGTTATATATCGAGCACTAACCCGAAACAGGACTTTATGCCAAGTTACTCAGATCCATCCGGTACCAACTACTTTGATTCAGATGAAATGATAATATACTTCCTCATGAAGGGAAATAAACCCGTCGAGATATCCTTAAAACAAGTTGTTATTATGCAATTTGGCGTTCCTCCGATGTCAGTAGCTGACTTTTATGGGAAGAATCTTGTACAGAATTTGGCCAATTTCCTTGGTATTCCTAAAGAAAAAATTCGTTACGTAAATGTAATATCTGAACTAGCTGCCAGTAGTCGAAAACGACGTAGTCTTCCAAATCTTAAAGTCATGATTCAAATAGGAGATCAGCCAGGCTCCAGCACTCTTCAATGGTCCCATCTCAATAATATCTACTCTCAAATTCAAGTTGCAATTCAAACTGGCGAATTAAATGCTGTTGTCGGTATCCAATTACAAAACGTTTCACTTAGTCCTGCAGTACCTAGCTCCGACAACCCTGATTGGCAAACATATATTAAGACAATAGAGAATGGAGGAACTCCAACAGCACCTATTGGTAAACCAGACAAAATTGTTATTAACGAATGCAATCCATTACACGAAGGTGCTGAGTTTACAGCAGTTGCAAAATTAGCAGACAGTGCAGGTTTTCTTGTTACAAATCTTGGAGGTACTTGGAAAATGAAAGTGGAAATCCGTCATGGCTCAACGGCTAATGCAAATACAAAAATCCTTGGTGAAACAATTGTTTCAGTCAGCTCGGGCTTCGCGGTATTTAGAAATTTAGCATTCTCACATTCTGGTGGTCCTTATTATTTGGATTTCTCGGTTGTTGAGCCAAGTAATTCAAATATTGCCAAAGTATCATCGAAGGAAATCAACTTAATATCAAGACCAATAACTTTAATATCTAAGAAGAGTGTTACGAGAGTAATTAAAGCAGAACCATTCCACTTTAAAATTGAATTGATGGATTCGGTAACGAAATCTAGAATTAGCAATGTTTCTTGGAAGGGTCAAAAATGGACTGCTAAAGCTCAATTAGCTAATATTCACAAGTCACAGGCCTGGAGTACATCAGGGGAAGTAGAATTCGATAATAACGGCTACGCTATTGTACACAACATATTTAATTCAACTGGCTTTTTCGCTGTAAAAGTTATGGCTATCAGCAATGGAAATGAACTTGTTAAGGAGGAATTTGTGAGAGTCTTTGAAAAAACTCAGAAACCCGTTAAAGTAGATGTAACAAGACGACTTACTCTAAAGTTTAAAAATGACTTTTCATCTGTTGCTGATCATCTGACATCATTTGCAGTAGTGTTAGCAAATCACGTCAGAAAAATTAAAGAAGAGGTAGAATTGAATAATTTTGCGTTTAGAGAAGGAAGTATTTTTGCTAACTTTTCGGTTGGTGGAGAGAATACAAATGTTAACGATGTCATAGAAACCTTAAAAAATCAAATCAAAAAGGGTTTTGCCCTAGATTTCAATAGCAAAAAATTCTCAGCTCACCCATACTTTTACGTTGATGGAAAAGTTGTTGATGAGCTTGATGGGCAGGAAACAGAAAAAGAGGAATCTAGTTCCCTTAGTACGGGTGCTATTGTTGGAATTGCAGTTGGATGTGGAATTGGAGTATTTATTATTGTACTCCTTGTTGTCGTTATAGTTGTTGTAACTAAGAATTCTAAAAAAGGTAGCATAAACAAAGACCGAATAAATGACAGTCCCCCACCACCGTATATTGGAAATCAGCCGCCTTCCTTGACGAAATACGACGAAATCAAAGTTATACCTTCAAAAGAAAGACGGTAAGGCGATTAGAATAATTTTTTCATCCCTTTTATATAATTCTTTATAATTAACAGTGACACGGATGCTTCATATATTTCTGGAAAAGTGTCGAGTTCCTCTTTAAGTATAGGAACCTTTGGCCCGGACTCAAGACCTGGAAGCTCCAGAAATGAAATCGTAACAAGCTTAACTCCAAATCCTAGTAGAAGAGCATCAGCAGCTGCTGTGCCTACAGTAAATGAATAAAGTATTCTATATTTTGCCCTGCAGCTATAAAGATTTTAACAAGGAACTTATGAAAAACTTGAATATATATGATAAATATAAATTGTTATGTCGATATTAAATTTGAAAATCTCTAAAGTTATTGAACAGAAAATCAAATTTTATTTTTAAAAGAAAACAATAAGTTAATTTAACAATTAATATTTTCTCAGTCAATTGTTTCTGATTTTTGGTTAAAACCTCACTTGATATTTAGATAATACAAATACAGCATTTACACTATAAAAATCTGGTTTTAATTGTTCTTTTAAGTTACCAAAGATATTAAAATAACAAGAGTTTATCTTCTGGAAAAGGATATGATATTGAAAAGTTACTTTTAGCAACGACCTGACTGTTGTTTTGCTTCTTTTTTTTTGGAATTTAATCAAAAACTTTACTGATTTCACAGTAGATCTAATTCAAAAAGAAGAAGAGAGCAAACTCGCTTTAGCCTGATTCGTCTTCTTCTATTAGGAAAATGAAAAAGTATAGAAAATTCTAAATGACAGTTCGGCAGTTTATACGTTGATAGAATTTCTCATCCTCCTCTGCAATCTAGTTCCAATGAACTAATTAAAGGGTATGAAAATCTAGTGGTGGTTTCTACAGTAGAGATTCCGCCTCCTACCTACAGGTCTTCAAAAGGTTTTCCGTTCGTTTTCTTTCTTTATTTATGAGGTAAACATACTAAAGTCTTCAATTTTTTGACAAAACTCTGATAAGTATCTGTTACCGTTTGTACTGGAAAATCACACTGATGTCTATTAAAAAGACAGATATTATTAATAATGCTAATAAATAGTCAATTGTCATTCAATAGATAAATAAGAATTCGGCTTATTTATCATTAACTGGAGGTGTACAGCTCTTTTACTCAAGAATTAGCTCTATTCCATCAATTCGAAGATTCCTTTATACAAATTTACTATAAAGTATGCACGACAGAAAGATAAAACTCATTCTATTGGAATCAACTGACAAGTTGAAAATTCTATAATGTTTAAGACAGCTATTTTATCTTTCATAACTCACGAATCTTAGTCATCGACATGTCTTTTGCTCTTGATCTCTACTCCGAACAGTAAAGTAATGACAACCTTTCTACAGGTAAGAGGAAAAATATCATCTCAATACTTGGTTACATGAATTTCCTATCTTAAGTAATTGCTTAATTTTTAATTAATCCAAAAATACCTTAAAAATTAGAACTTCCTAATTAACTCTTGGAATAATAATCATCGATAATAATATTCCTTCGCGACGCTTCTATCATCAATCTTACAACTGGGACAGTCGAAGTAACGCAAGCTTTCTTCAGTGGTGTAGAATACCCCCCTATAACCTCATCAACAGCCACTGAACACAGTAAACGCTATTACTATTTTAGCTAGAGGTTATTCATAGCCGTGATGTTATAGTATACAAGAAAATATTAGAAAACGCATTTTGATATTTAAGGAACCAGTTAAAATTTTAAATGAAAAACAAACTATATAACTTGAAGTTAAATTATGTAAAGAAGAATATAGAAACACGAGATATTTAAAACTATTGAATAAATTATAAATTACAGTCCTATCAGGACAACAAAAGATCTATATATCAAAGTGAAGTAATCAGAAAAAGCAGTCACTCCATCTACAGTTTAATCTACAAATTGAAAATTTACCCAGATTTTTTATATTTTCTTCTTTAATTACTTAATAAACATCAACGCATCTATGATCTTTGATCAGTAGAAAAAAAAACAGGATAAGATTTTATTAATATGTCTTTAATATAATTGACACGTCAGAGGCAAATGGAGTACCAGTATAATGGTCAAGTACCTCGAATTTTCCATCGATAAATACTTATAAGAACTAGAATTGTAACTGATTAGTGTGACCTTAAAGAAGAACACAATCATAGCTGTAATAAGATTGAATATAGGAACACTCATTTCTACCTTTTTCACCCCTCTTTTTTACTAAATAGCTGGATCAGTGACGATTTCTTTTCTTTTTCGAACTTTAAAGTAAATGCTTTCTAATTTGACTTTTTAAGGTTTCTATGACGCAGTCAGCATCTTGTTTTGATTCTACATCAGCAGAACTTTGACTAGGTTTAACTAACTTACTTCTTTTATTAATCTTAAGAATTTGCTATATTTTACACCTTATCCAACGGTTAAAACGTGATTAGTTAATGCTGTTCTAAACGATACCAGGTGATTAGCAATATATGAAAATTCATTTCTTAACTTAAGAGCGAGATGTCCAACGCTCTTAGCGTTAACAGGCTTTTGAGTTTCTTGGAAGACGCCCCTAAATTTTGCCTTAACAAGCGCGTTTCTATTGGTTACAGTAACCTTTTTAGTGAAAGCTACTGAACTAATCATATTGCATGTAATTGTATAGCCTTTCTCCCCAAATTTCTCTCATAGTATGTCGAATAAGTTTTAGGATACAAGTATTACTTAATTAAAGTTCCTGGACCCATGTAAAATACCTCTCTAATGGATTTCTAGGTAGATGAGAAAATTAAATTGCTATTATTTTAAATATACCACAGCTATTGCGTTATAAATCATTTTCTATTGTCCAATCACAATCAAGATATTTTCTTAGCATAAAACCAAAAAAATTCAAATACTTTTTAATAACAGTAAACTAAATTACGTAAGTTTCGAACACTTTTAAAGCTTAAAAATAGGTTCTATTTGATTTTAACAATTTTGTTAAAGTGGTTCTTCGTGGAAACAATTATTTTTTTCTTAAACCTATTACGATGTTTTATTTACTTACTTTGTAGCCTTTTTGCATAAATTTATCCAAGCCCCAGTTTTAAGATTTGCAGCAGAAAAAATGTAATAAGAATTAGAATGTTCATTTTATTCGATAGTATCTGTCTATTTTGACAAACCTTTTACTCTTATCTTATCGATAAAAGTTTCGATATGGAAAAACATGACAACTTTATCTTAAACTCTGCTATCCCTATTCATCAACCAGGTCAAAAAACTCTATAATTTTTATTTTATCGCGCAAGAAGAATCTACTTTTAACACAGATTTGCCTCTGTTTATACACATATTATTACATAACATTATTGAATATTTATGTCATGAAAGATAAGATAAAAAATAAATCTTAGTTTCTGTTCACAAATTATTTACACATAAAGCGAGTGATTGCACAATAAATGCCATTAGTCAAGACAAACTCGTTCTTCTTGTCGGAAGCCAACAAATATCTGGATTACTCGGACAATACTTCGATCTTTTCCAGATTCCCTAATATTAAGGCTAATTAACTATTAGTATGTTAATGCATGTTTTTTATTCCATTGATAGCTGTTTAATATCAAGTGAGAGCGGGCTGGAGGGAAAATGAAATATATCTCTGCTGTTTTATATTTTCCAGACATATTGTATTAAGGTCAACGTTAAGAGTGAAAAAGACACAAAAAAACATCTTAATCTATTGTTGAAAGGATTTATATAGTTTGTAACAAAAGACGCAATTTACAGAAGATAAGAAATTCAATTTACTTAGACGAGACAGTTTGTCAAACTCTTAGAAAAGTTAGTGAATGAACAAAAGCTTTGCTCTTTGTAATGGAATATATTTAACACCACAAAAGTTACTTTTAAATAACAAAGGAAAAAATACACAAAGTTTGACAAATGGTAGAATGCTCAAAAGAGAAAAGAGAAACCAAGCGAAAACATTATCAAGAACGCCGGAAGGATGAATTTCAACGATGGTATATAGTGTCAAGAACATACAAGTACTGGAAGCGGAAATACTATCTTTTTTAACAGTTGCCAATAGCTCGACTAGTAGTATAAAGTTAATATGTCCTAAAAGGAATTTTCTTATTAGACTGTCTATAAGTGCAAAGAATGCAACACTTTACAAAACAATAAATATAACCTATTCATTGATATTGTATGTAATTTATAATATTTCATTAACAAAACAAAGTAAAAGGAAGAGAGAGAGAGAGAGAGAGAAGATACATATAGAAAAGATAATAATTATAATTCTTGTATTTATTCAACATACTAATTTCATATTCTTATTTTCTCCTATGAAACCCGTAATTCTTATATTTAGTTTCTTTTGTTGAAGAAAAGAAGTATTTACAGGAATTATTGCTTTTTTTTACTTTCAATATAATAAAAAATAAAAATTTTTATAAAAAATATATTTTCTCTTCTTTCTAACTGCAGATAACATCTCTTTCTGAAAATTCACCACTTTTATATCTAATTATACTTTGTGCAGTTGTACTTCCGGCAATAAAGAAACCAAGAATGACAAACAGTATTCCGAAACCAGTTTTCACCAAATCTTTTATTCTTCCGCCGTATTTTGATACATTTAATAAATTTGCGTGCATAAACGATAAACCTTAACGTGATGGAATAAGTGTTTATGTTAAGTTAAAGGCTTTTTATGTAAATTTTATATCTCTTACCAGGGAAAACGAAAATGAAAAGAGCGGCCGTACCGCCTAAAAGTGCAATTACACTACCGATTGTAGGTACCGCTTGAGCAACTATTAAAGATATCATAAAAAGGACTGTAGTAATAATGTATCGTCTTTTGCGTTCGTGTTGTTCGTATTCCAATTTGAAGCTATACCGAACCAGGTCATCAATTACCAACCTATAAGAAAAAAGGAAAATATACGTTATATTCTTAATCTAAAACTCTTTACTGTTGAGTATTTAACAAACAAAAATTTGAATGGTTACTCCATCTAGTGTTTAATACTCAAGATTTTTGTAGGTTTTCCAATCGTTCTTTTTTCAATTAATTATTATAAATGTTGACAAACCTTGCGCAGTAGAAAACAGCAGGATATGTTGTGATAACTTTTAAGGCTATAATTGCCATGGCAATGATAACTGGAACATCTGTACGATAGCTAAGAAGAAAATCGCTTTTAACAGATTCGCCAAATGTCAAGAAACCGAATGCTCCTATAATTGTGTAAATAGTGCAGGACATGAAAAGAGAGGACGCAATAGCCCTTGCAAATTCTGATAGGTTACGCTTCTTTAAACAAGCATAAACTGGAACTGATTCAATGTGACCCTGTAAAAGAAAAAAGAAATATCCATTACATAATACTATCGCCATCTAGTAGATATAAAAGTTAGAATTGTACTTTTGAAACTAACTTCAAAACTAAAACATATCGTTGGCATAACTTTAAATATCTCTAGCCATCTGTCGGCCCTATATTCAGGCAGATCAACTGGATCAGTGTTGGTACTATATTTGTATATTGATAGACCTAGAATATAGAGGACAGCAAATATGCCCAACATGCTGTAAACATAAAACAAATTTATCATTAATAAAGGCTTTGGTAATAATACAGAATGTACAATATACTGCGTACTTTGTACATTCCCGTTTAAATAAATCATTATACGAATCGTCTCTCCATGACTATCTCTGTCTAATTGCCCGTCTCTTTCTCTCTCTCTCTCTCTCTCTCTCTCACACACACACACACACACACTCTCTCTTATTTTATTAATTATAACAATTGATCAACGGCATAAAACGAGGTTAATAGCATTTGAATATTCATAAGTTTTTACACACCTTATAAATTTAAAGTCGCTTATAACTTTCGGGTAGCAGAAGGGCAGAATCAGAATAATGCTGATTACAGTGAGAGTAAAAGTTCTGCACATGTACCAATAATGACAAAAAGTTAATCCGTATCCATACGATGTAACTGTTATAATTAATTATCTTTAATTGTCTAATTAATGAAGTATTTAAAAATTTATATTTACTTACTCTGATCTATTTGATCTCCTAGAATCACGAGAAATGTTATACAAGATCCAAAATTATGAATAAAAATGAATAAATTACAAACAACAAGGGCTACAGGTCCGGCGTGGGAATGAAGGACATCCTGATAAGTATTATCACCCTTTACATCAGATGCATAGGCTAAGAACATAAAAGCAGTTGAGGCGAACAATAGGCATATCTGTTTCCATTGTGAAGGAAGAAAAAGGGAATGAAGACCTTTACTTTTATATATTAAAATACGCCAAATGTGCGTATGTACTAAATATATACTATATATATACTAATATATATATATATCCATTATATGTAGTTTACTGTATCTTTTATCTCTTATACTGAGTTAACGATAACTTATATTAGTTGATGTATAAACTATATATATATATATTTAAAGTAATTACAAATTATGTTTTAATTATGATGATAATTACCGCTTGAATTGTAATTGCCTGAGGTATTCCTCCAGCGTCCTTATAGGCCGCCGGAAAATTTAATAGGCCTACTCCAAGAGTTATATTAGCAATAATAAATGAAGAACTTAACCAGCCAGTCTCTAAAGTAAATAAAACGTTTCTGTTAATTTAGTATAAAATTGTCATACAGATGAATTTTTTTATGAATAGAAATAATAAATATGATTGTTAGTAAAGAAAATATATCAAATTATTAACTTACTTTGAATAGTATCCACGTGTAAAGTAGTACTGGATGTTCTAACCTTCTTACCGGAAGAGGTGAGAAGTGGTTGCCTCTCCGATTCTTCACTTTTGTCGAAGGAACCCATTCCTTGATTTAAGATCTGTAGAGCAATGCCCGTAGCAAAATACTTTTCAGGATAATACTTGGACTATATACTCCTCAAATAGGCTTAAACTACATTAGTGTAAAGTTACAAGTACTAAGTGTTAGGCAAAATTGTAATTTTTTATAAGACTTCTTTTACCTGTTTAGTGACCTATCGAAATTTTTTGATTATATCAGTTATACATATATATATATAGATGTATGTATAGATCACTAACAAATAGACAAACCTAGTTAAATGGCTAAGGAAACTGGTTAATCTCTCTCCTAGTTCATTCAAATACAGTCACAATTGGCTTTACATTTGTTCAAATCAATTGTCAAGCTACAGATAGGAGCTTTACGATTATGATAAGATAAAAATATTTTGGTTAACTGATAAGCGTGGATATCCCCCTCAATTACTTTATTATGTAGGCTTAATCATTCTATTTATATCTACATGTATCAAACAATCAAATCTCTTCTTCCAGAACGAAGAGAATTGAATGAAAAGAAAAGGTTTTGGTTATATTACAATGGAAATGAAATACTTTTTTCCTAACCTTTGGAATATACAGAAACAAATTATCCTATCTAATCTTCGCTTCCAGTACATTTGATGTATTTTACCTCTTTTATTACCCTGTTTCTATATATTAATAATAATAATAATAATAATAATACAAATTGACTTATTAATTTTCTATGTTGTTTATTTAATAAGTAATTTTTAATGTTAAAAAATATTATTCAACTTTTCGCCAAATGCACATAAGACCTGACTGCAAAGAAAAGAAAATATTATCCTCTTCCTGTTTTCTTTGTCACATCCATCTTTTCCCTATTTATCTATCTATCAGCCTATCTATATATCTATTTAAACCTTTTCAATTTCTGCTTCGTAGTATTCTAATAGATGCAAAGAAAGAGAAATGGTGTCAGAAATTACAAAAATCTAAACCAAGAGTGCTTAGGATTCTTATTATGTCTGAAATATGATGAAAATTAGCTTAAAGAAGCTAATTTTAACTCTTTTAATGATATAATCGCTGCGTCTATATTTTTGTTTATATAGATAAGGAAGCTATCTAAAGCATAGAGAGATAGAGAATATCTTAAATTCTTTTTTTTGCATAGGACAATAAAAATAGGATAAATGGACTCTAAAAGTATAAACTTGTCGGAAATTATGGCACAACTCTATGTTCTAACTGCAGACAGCGCTTCTAAATAATTAATTTTCTTTATTATTTTCCTCTTTTTTCAGCTTATGAACCTTGTTATCTGTACTTCTCTACCTTGACACTCACTCTCTTCCTCCATCATTATATCACGGCTCCCTCTCCCTCTCCCCAACCATCTCCCCACCTCTCTATTTCTTTCATTCACTCACACACTCACACTCCCACACATACACAGTTACACAGACATTTTACTCGCTCTGCCTCTCTATCTCTCTCAGTCTCACTCCCTCAGCCACCGTATCGCTCATACCGCTCATTCCCTTTCTCTTTTTCGAGCTTGGTTGAGCACCTGTTGTAATACCCGCAACATATTTCTATTGTAAAGTTTCAAATCTACTATAAATTATTTTATATATTTAATCCCGCACGAAAATAAAACCATAGAGGGAGTTTGAAAGATGAAAATCTAGTTTTTTTTCCCCCAAACAAGTTTACCACGAAGCGATTTAAAAACTAGAATGACGGGAGAATACCTACCGATGCCCGGCTTCTGTCCGGGGTTAAGGATTAAGGACTATTCTTGTTTTATATGGGCTAAACTAATGGAACCTGCTGATGGACTTTTGGATAATTATGATTATAGTAAGTTGAATATATATACTAATATATATGTATATATTTAAACAAAGAGATTCTATATGTAAACATTTTGGATTATTACTTGAATTGTCTATTTGCAATTATCTGTTTTTAGTATTCAGTAAACGAATTTTTACTTTAATAATACTTCTAGATATTATTGGCAATGAGAGTTCAGGGCCATTGACTGACTCCTATGACATGATGGATAATGATATGTCTGACTACGAGAATCTTTTAACGGATACTATTGAAGTGAAAACGACAAGAATTTGTAATATTTATTTTTTACCTTGCTTAGCCTTAATCGGACTTATTGGTAATAGTATGCTAATGACTGTCTATCCCAGCTTATCTCGAATAGTCTCTTCTACTTATTTATATCTTATGGCATCTTGTCCTGCGGATATTGCTATAATTCTAGTCAGATTGGTGAATGAATGGTTAGCTAAAGCCTTTTATTTGGATACAAATGTCCTAATATTGATAAAAGCCCAAGCGGCATGTAAAGTTTATCCTTTGGTTTTTAATTTTTTCTTCTATATGGGAAGATGGAGTCTTTTACTGGCAGTTGCCGACGGAGCCATAAGATCATGCGGGCGTCATCCACCAGCTAATTCTTTACACTCATGTCGAGCTGTACTTTATCTGTTTACAGTCCTTTTCATCTTCCTTAATGGTCATTACTTCTGGTCGTTTCACCTTACTATAAATAGAATGAGAACTCAATTTCAGTGTCATTTTACACAAAATTTCTCGGGAGCCCAGCAAATCAGCAGTTTTCCCGATCTTATTTGGCCAATAGTCGATTTTCTAGTTGGTGACCTCATACCACTTTTTGTTGTACTAGGAGGGTCATTCATAATTCTTTATAAAAGATGCAGGGGCAAGGATGCTCCTCTTAGAACGTATAAACACAGCGCAAGACCATTGGGTGTGTACGAATTACAAATTCTACTTGCGTCAATTGGACTTTCTCACGTTATCTTGAATTCTCCAAAAATATGCTATACAATTCTAAAATACTATTCGGAGAATTATAGCGCAAATACAGATAGCGAAGATTTGGTCAAGTTAATTCATTCAGTAGCAACAACTTGCGAAGGCGTTTACTTTTCGCTTAAATTTTTTATCGTGTTAGCAAGTAGCGGGGTATTTCGAGCAGTCTTTAGACAAATGGTTATTGTAACGACAACTTTAAAAATGCTTCGTAGAATCAGACATCCAAGAGCTCGATCAGCAGAAGAAGATGCTTTCATAGAAGTTTCCTCTCAAGATAAATGGTACGAACCATATCAAGCTTGAATATTCAACAAAAAAGTAGAACTATTATTACAAGAAAAGAATAGCCATGAAAAAAAAACAGAAAGAGACAGATAAGTGACGAAGAGGAGGAAAAAGAAAATGAATAATCAAGAAAACTGATCAGAATATCATATATTTATTTTCTCTCTATTTTGATATCTAACTAAATAAAAATACAACAAAAACGATGTTTTATATTAAAAAAAAAATATATATATATATATATATATGTATGTATTAAAAACAATTTACACTAGTCTTCTTCCCTTTGTCTGTACTGAAAATTCAATAACAATATTAGATATGGGATTAAAGTTATATTAAATCTCTTTATTAATTTTTACTTTATTCCCTACTAACCCGGATAACTCTTTTAAGGAAAATAAAACAAGAGACGTCTAGTAAATAGAAAATTTCAATTATAATCACAGACGCTATTTTTGCGTGATTATTATATATATACAGTATATACTCTATACATATGTAGTATAGTCTCCGAGTTTACGCTATTATTTTCAATTAAGTATATCTAACATTTTCCCATAATATAATAAAATAATGCAAGTCTGCTGTAACATATGTTTTAATAAATAAAAAAAATTAAACAGAGATGATAGGCTGAAATTTCTATGTTTTTATTATGTTTACAGCACTTATTATCCAAAATAGATAATAGTTTTGTAGTAGAGTAAAACAGAAAAGGGGAAAGAATATACTTATATATATTGTATTTATAACCTTCTTTCAGTATTGTACAATTGCAATCTATGTAGTAATAAGAAGAGATCAAATTATATAGATAAACTATACAGTATACAGTATCGTATTCTATATAAAAAATTTCGTAACAAAGTTAATAACTTGAATATATAATGATTCTATCTATTTTTTAAAAATATCTAAATACTATTTAAATTGATTACTAATCAATTATTTTTTATGCTACATTTCGCCATAAAATCTTGATTTAATTGTTATGAAAGAATTGATGACTCTCTTGGCAAGGTTAATTCTTAGAAAGCCTAGTGAATGTAACCTTTCCCAACCTTGAACCTATAAAATGTTTAAAGTTTATAATATAGTATTTGAACAAATGCATTAAATAACTGTTTCAAATATTGTCTTACAGAAAATCCCACTTTAAACCTAAATTATTCTTTAAAAGTTAAGTATTTTTAATATTGAAATAATATCATAGAAAAAAAACATATATACCAAGTGTTATCTATTATCTTCTATTTCCCAATCATATATCACTGAATAGGATTATTCAAAATTTTGATTCAATACGCTTTAAAATATCTTCATTTTTCATCGGCTTTCCCAATCAGTTTCATCATTTGCATTCGTGTCCTAACATACAGTCATTATATATTACAGACACTAGCAATAGAAATAGCTTTATGGGAATATTCCTTTTATTACAGTTTGGAACATGGAGAATAATTTGATGAATTTTATTATTGCGAAAACTCCCTATCGTAGACCTTTGGCTGGAACTAATCTAAACCTGATATTTTTTTATAAAGCATAGTACAAAAACCCTTCTACAAACTCAAGTTGATCAAAAGTCTTCCGGTATATACTTTAGACATTAGTCAAAAGAAGCCTATTTATGATCAATAATCAACGGTTACTTTTAGATGTCCTGTTGCTACCATGATTGGCATTTCGTGTATATACAGCTATACCTTCTTTTTACAAACGAAAAAAGGCCCGATTCATTATATATTTTATAAATATATATATTAATATCTTTGAATTTAATCGTAACGCCATCTATGAAATTGGCCATTATATTACTTCATCTTTTGTTACTTTTAAATATAAACGATCTATTTTATCAAGTATCCTACTTATAGATGGCACTACAAAACTACCGGCACGTATTATTTTGCTATTATATAGTTCCATCAATATCGCTCGTGTTATGAATTCCTAGATCAGACGCGCATAAACAATCGTTTAACCGACCGATTGAGTGTTGTGCAAAAGAACTTAAAAAAATCAGTCTCGCAAATTTAGTCGAAAGTCTTCTTTCAACGGCTCATACTTGTATTGATTCAAAATACAAGAAAACAACTTAGTTCTTGTATCCACGACTCTTTCTGCGACCACGGGCTCTTTCGAATTTTCTTCCTTTCGATCTAACATGAGGACTGCAAAAGAAATAATAAATATGTAAACGATGGTTTCCTTTGATTAAAATATTGTATACTAACGCAGTCTTGCTGTGTGGCACACCTGGTGCTGGACCGAAGTGACGGTATGCCTCTCTAGCCTTTCTTCTTCCTATTACATATAAGTTTCATTGTATTATTTCGAAAAAGTTGATTGTAATAGTAGACACTAGAAATTTACCTTGCAACAGAACAGTCTTCTTTCCTTTCGGAGCTTTCAGTGCAAGCTGATCAAAAGTGATGATTTCACCACCGCTCTTCAAAATTCTGGCACGAGCTCCATCAGTAACTCTCAATGCACAGATTTTAAGCTTGGGAATCTTCATAATTCTCAAATCGTCAGTAATTGTTCCTACAACGACGGCAGTCAAATCTTTTCTACTTTTATCCTTCATCTGACGAACCTAAAATTAAAAATATAATGTAAACTACAGTCAAATAAAATCAATATTTTTCTCAACGAGTTGATGTACAATATGAATATGTTGAAATTAAACATACCAAGCTAGCAAGGGACATTGGTGGCCTGTTGGTTTTGCTCATGAAAAGGCGTCTTAGGATAATCTTGTTAAATTTAGCATTGGTTCGACGAGCCAAAAATCTATACAACTGTATAAAAATGTTCCATGAAACTGAAGTTTTACGGCTTTTTTAATAACATACCTTGACCAAAAGGCGAAGATATATATCTTCGCTTTTCGGAGCGGTACGACGGACCTTGCGATCGTGTTTATGGTTTATGTCGATACCCTAAAAAAATTATAAGTGGTCATTATTGTAAATAAGGTGACTATATATCTAATCATGATATTAGATGCAAAAAATATCCAATTCTAAAGGAAATATTCGTAGATTTTTCCACGTTTCCTAAGAAAACTCACCATTGCTGCTTACAGTACCGGAAAAGGAAGTTCGCCATTAAAAAATCAGAGACATTGAGGGGAGAAAAGAACATTTATAAAAATTTTTTAAGGCGCCCTCTATACATTAAATTGCTAAAAGTTACAAAAAATTTTATTTTAGGATTAACAATAAAAGAAAACTATTGCGAAAAATTAAGTATTCAAAATAAAGACTATCTTAAAACTTTTAAGCTATTTATCAGTCAAGTATTTATGAAACTCTAATTCTTTTTAATCAACCGCCAGATGTCGTTCACCTTACTTTAGAATTTCTCATTTAAGATCAATATTTTACGCCATCTCTTAGTTGGTAATTGAAACTAATTTACGTTTGTTATCAGTTGACAATCGTTGTTCGAAGCCCGTATGTCACAGTTAAGCTCTACTATCATAGATCGTTAACCTAGCTACTGCTGTAAAGCTCATTAACTGAAAGGTAAGGTCTTAGAGATTAAAAATAATACCTTGATTGCCAATTTATTTGTTATACCTTGATTTCCTGTTGAAATTTGGTGTAGAATTTTTAAAGCTCAGCGTAGCTTTATGTAGCCTTTGTAATTGCAAAAGGATTAAGATATATACATAATGTAGCCAGTTTAACACAAATCTACTAGCGATGAATAAGCAGTCTATCGACAGATGACTGTATATTTCAGATTGTTTAGAATAAAGACGTATAGTCATTTTTTGTTATTTTTCATGTTCTAATATCACCTTGACCTGTCATTTTAGATAGACAAACGTCTGAACTATGTCCAGTGTGGATCCCATCTTATCAGCAACGTTTCAATTGTGCACTCAACCTAAAATTGACGTGATAGTGACTTTAACATCCACAAGTTTGACATGCATAGCGGCTCCTTCTTGTAAATCGAATACTCCTAAGCTACCAGTAATATTTTTAGACGATATAGTCGGATGTTGTATACTAAAGAGCTCAAGAAAAGATGAAAGTGCTGCTTATTTAAAAGTTGTTTCCTATCCTAAACGCAAAAAGTTTTTAACAAGGAAAAGCCTCAGACGTAAAGTTCAACACGTTTTTAAAGCTCAATCCGCTTTGTCTTACCAGGACAACGAGAATGTCGTTCATAAATGGCATTTAGTAATAAGTAATCTTTTAGATAACGTTCCGGTCAACTCAAGTACAGGTAAAGTATTATAATTTAACCGAGTTTATAACAAAATCTGCATAATCAATTATGTTATATGTAGATCTAACAACCCTGAAAGAGGTCAAGAAACGTCATTTTCTTATTCTGATTAATCCTTTCGGAGGTCGAGGAAAAGCTAAACAAATTTTTTATGAAGAAGCCGAACCAATCCTTAAAGAGTGTAACGTCTCTTATGACGTTGTCCTGACAGGTAATTGAAACTCTGATATATCGAGGAAACGCTATAAGCTAGAATTGTATAATATATATCATAGAGAGAGCAAACCACGCAAAAGAAATGATGCTTAGTTTGGACATAAAGAAATATTATGGTATAATAACGGTTTCGGGTGACGGTCTTATTCACGAAGTCTTTAATGGCCTTATGAAAAGGCCTGACTGGAGAGATGCGGTCAGCATACCTTTCGGTTCCCTTCCGGGAGGATCTTCTAATGCTCTTTGCTGTTCTATAAATTATACAGCAGGGTAAGTAACTTAAACCCTCCCTTTTTTAAATGAATTGAGGAAGTACTTTAACCATACCTATTCTAATTATCTCGGAGCGCAAATAAACTCTAAAGCATTTGTTATAAAAAGATAGATATTAAATCAGTAAAACACCCTAAATTAAGATTCTTACACGTAAATGCAGAGAAGATTACTTCAGAGAAGTTATTGCTAGTGTATCTACTTATATTATTGCACGTCATCGAAAAGAGAGAATGTCCTTGGCCAAAGTTGACACGAAGAGTAATAGTTTCTTTTCACATCTCTCTGTAACTTGGGGATTGGTTGCTGATATTGATATCGAAAGTGAAAGACTTCGGTTGATGGGGGGAGCGAGATTTTCCGTTACAGCAGTAGCTCGTCTAATCAGTGAGTGCCAATTTCGATGAAGGTCCATTATTTGACGTTAATGGAATTAATTATCGCTTATAATTTATTTAGTTTTTGATTAGATAATTATTTTCTAGCTTCAAAGCTTTGCATATTCTGTTTTTAATTTTCGTGTTGATTATAAAAGATGCTTTTTTATTTTTCTTTTACAGTTTAAGCGTTCATGATCAACTTTGCTTAAATATGACGTTAAATATAACAAAGCCACATTTAAGCTTTATGAATCTTTTCGCTTTTGATACTCCTAAGCAGAGGGGCTATGGTTTTTTATCAGTTTCCTGGGGTATATTTGCTGATGTAGATATAGAAAGTGAGAGGTTTAGAAGCCTTGGAGGGGCCAGAATTACAATAGGAGGTCTGGTAAGGCTATTCAGTAAGTAACAGCTTGCTTGCTTGCTTTCTTCCTTCCTTAAGCGCATTATCTTTTAAATCTCTTTGCCGTGGATTTAAAACTAAATTACTAGATAATTAACTAGTTGCATTCTAAAAAGTTTTTCTTTTACATAGATTTAAGGAAATACAGAGGCCGATTATCTTTTCTTCCGGCTGACGATTATAGTCCGAAGAATGGAATTTGGAGAACTTCTTCTACCAGCGAACTAAATAGGGGAACATATGATAGACCGGCTGTGCCAAGATCGATTTCTGTCGTTGGGACGAAATGCACGAATCTAAATGCTATGGCCAGAGGGGATGGTGTAGGCGATGACCTACCTCCTTTAACGCCCCCTGTCGACGCTATCGTGTCTCCAGATATGCAACCGTCAGAAAGTTCATATAACCTTATCAGAGTTCAAAATCAAACAGATGGCGCTGGAGGCTCTGAAGGCGCCTCAAAGCAAATGGCTTCGTCAAAAGTTAGCACTCCACTTTTACCTCCCCTTACAGAGGCAGTGCCGAAAGAATGGGTTACAGTTGAAGATGATTTTATTACTGTTATTGCCGGTTTTCTTTCTCATTTGGATGGTAATTTAATGATATCACCAAAAGCAAAGTTACACAACGACCAATTTAATTTAGTATTTATAAGATCTAGTCAAATATCAAAGGCCAGATTAGTATCACTTTTCATGAACAACATGGAAGACGGCTCATTCCTAAACGATGCACACGTGGAGAGTGTAATGGTTAAAGCGTTTCGTTTAGAACCATTGTGCGAGAACGGAATTTTGACAGTGGATGGTGAAAGAATAGAATATGGACCTGTTCAAGCACAATTTTTACCTGGTATAGCCTCAGTTATGGCAAAAACTGTTGAATGATCGTCTGTTGTGATAGAAATTTTTAATAAATGGTTTTTAAACACCCTACATTCGATAGAGTACGATGACCGCGTTTAAGCTAAATACTATAGGGTATATATATATATACTGTATATATATAAAATTTATATATACAGTATATACTATATATATAAGCCGACACCCCTCGGCCCTAAGATTTCGACTGCTCCTCGTTTGGTCCGGGCAGTTGGAAGAAGGTTTGCCGAGGCGAATAAATTATTTTAAACCGCTGAGGAAAAAAAATTTTCCCTTTCCGATATTACTTTTTATTTTTTACGCGAAGGATGAGGTTTAAAGGAGCATGATGGTCAGTGGAAAAAATTGTTCAAGTAAGGAAGGGTCCGATACGGAAACTCTAACTAAAGGCAATCGTTATGGAGATGGTAAAATAAAGAAGGGAAAAATAGCCAAAGTCTACTTCCCTAACTTCTTCTACGCTATTTCAACTATATGGCTAATAGGCCTTACTGCCTTCGTCGCCTATAATTTCGAACAGAATGTTCTTCTGCATAGTAGAATTGCTCAGTTGGAAAACGATTTACGGCAACCGGTAAAGTTTCTATTTTCTACAAGCAAAATAACAGGAAAAAAAACATATAATATCTATATATATACACTTAGAATATATACATACACTTATAAATATAGTTGTCTAAACTTGCTATTATTAACGGCTTAAGAAAAAAAGCTATCTTTTTTTTATCTTTATCTATCTTGGAGTAACATTCAATCTTTTATTGTTTGTTTAAAAAACAGCCGTCTCCAGCGTCAAGACAGAAAAGGGATACGTTCAACCAATGCAACTGTCCAGCAGGTTCGTATTACATGAATTCGTGTTTTCTTTATACTTAATAAGCTTCGAATGTAGCGAATTTGTTTACTGTAAATTGTGTGGCGACAAAGTAAGGCGTAAAATAAAATCTAAGACGAACTTTCTCAGCACGACCTCCGTGCAAACTAGCGTCGTTATCGGAGCCTAGTATATTTTTCCTTATTTCTCCGATTTCTTCTATAAACTCTTCATTCTCCTCCCCCTCCTCTCTACTCTCCCTCTTTCCTGATAAATTTCTTATATATATCAATAGGTTTCGCCTTCCTTAGGTCACTTTTGAAAGAGCTGCGCTCTAGCTTATTTTTCTTGACCAACTTTTTGCAAACGCGCCGTAAAAGAGGTGCGAAACTGTTGTAAGCTATATAATAATCGATTTATTTGCACTTCTGCCAAAAAGTTGGTGATTCATCCATTCTACCTTTATATAATATAATTATAAATCGATTAAGAATAGGGACACAGCATGAAATGCTATTGCAATGAAAATTCTTTAGTACAATTACTTAAGAAAGAAGAGAAAACCTTCGAGAAAATAGAGATCTGTCTCTCTCTCTCTCTCGCTCTCCCTGTCGTATTAAAAGTTGAAATATATTTATGAATTCTCGTGTTTCGTCACCAAGAAGTTATACGAAATTATATACCATGTAGGGATCTTATATCTACAATTGAAGGCAATAGATTACATCCATATTTATAACACATAATACATTGAAAAAAGTTTATGTACTGTAGAAACGTGTCTGACAAGTCTACTATAAATACATATGAATTCCTGTCCGAAATGTAGTATTTTTTACGTTTATACCGTATGATAGCTTACTTTATATGCGGATGTATAGTGTAGCGTATGCATCTGTATATAAAAGCGTTTTTTCACCAACATCTGCAATGCACTGCAAAAATCGCCGTCTGCTCTCCCAGCACGATGTATTTCAGACATACGCGTTATTGTTTGTAAACGGCTTTAGATTTTTGATCACGTGATTATATCTTGTTTAACTAAAACAGACGTAGATTGACAGGATGGCCTTTTTTTTAAACGATTAGTCTCAAATTAAAAAGGTAGAATAAGTTAATTTATCAATTGAATTACCTATCGGCTATCTCCTTTACGATTGTTTATTAAGTAATTAAGTTGAGAATATGTTTGAGTTTGTCGAAAAGAAAACTTTCATATACCAATTAATAAGTTATTAGAGATTCTATTTATTTGTTTGTTGACGTTTCGCCGCCTTCGCCTAGACAGTAGGCTTAATTGCAGTTTGATGGCTCGAGATGAATGGCTACGGGGAAACGATTCCTGGAATGTTGAGGGGGGTGGTTAGGGGGGAGGGTTGTTACGGCCATATTGAATAATAAACTAGAAAGTTGGTAAGAGTTTGAACCTTATCGGAAGAAACGCTTTACGATTTTTCTACTTAGTTGAAGCAAGTGGTATGGGAAGATAACCTTTAAAAAAACATCCCCCCTCCCGTTTCTTCTTTTTTTTCACCTACAATCAACTATCCCCACCCAAGCCAGTAGAAAAAATAAGGCAAGGTAAAGATAGATGAAGTCAATTTCGCTAATCGTTCTTTTATCCTACGAAAAAGGGTTGATTGCATAAGAATTTAGAAGGGTTGCACCTGGTAGTAATTTCAATGTTTGATCTTTTCGTTTCACCCCTATACAACTAGTATCATTTTTTTCATACTTTAAACTTTTCCAAGTCTAATTATTCCGCTTACTAATTTTTGTTACCCTTCAATTACTTCTATTTATCTTCCATCTGCTGCTTTCCCCTCTTTTTTATATTAAGAGAAAAGGAAAGAATTTTTTCTCTTTACACCTCCTTTGATTCAGTAAAATAGATTAACAGTAGCAGGTGATGTAAGTCTGACCAATGCGGGATTGTTTTCTCTTCTAAGTTACTATAATACGATATATATATATATATATATAAATGTAAGAGAGTGAGTAAGAGAGAGAGAGAGGAGAGAATATAGAGTTTATATGAAAAATATGTATATTATATATTGATATATGTTATTTATTGTAGGCTATAAAACCTTAAAGCCTTAACTTTTGGCATTATATTACATTTTAAAAAGTACTTTAATACACTGTTACGGCCGTATTACTGTATATATGTATATATTCTAGGTATAAGAAAAAGGTTAAAATAACTAAACGGTCGAAGATTAGTTAGAAAAAAGAAAATTAATCGATTTTAATTATAAAAGATCTTCTTCTATTTCTATTCTGGCCTTATAACATTTGCCATTTAGATAGGGGTCTAGAAAAGTGAGAAGGAAACTATCGGCTATTAATTTTCTGCCCTCTTTTCCAATTTATATACGGAAAATTTGTTTGTTTTTTCTTCCATTCGGCATTCCAATGCGTCGAGTAGGCAACCTTTTCAAAAAAGCGAAAAGATTCCCTAAATTCTCTTCCTACTCGGATTCTATTTGACATTTTTAGCATCCATATACACGATAATCGAAAAATAATAAACGCGTTTTAACATCTGTCGTAATCGGATAGGACTCTGCACGAAATTGTAAAGGTGACACTAGGTGGCGTTCTTTTATATATTTTATATTGCTTTATGTATACATTAGCCCACAGCAATGTTTCGCCAACTTTGTCGGTTTTCAATTGATACGCACTAGCCCCATCCGCGTTCGGTGTATAACTGTTATGCCAACTGCAACTTTGCAGTAGTCGTGCTGTCTGTAGCTGTTTACCGCATGCCGCTTAACTGGACCGAGTTAATGCGTATACAGACCTACTGCGTACAGTGCTTAATTTATCTATACACATTAAAAATTCCAGTTCTTTTTTTAAATGCATTCTTCATAATTAGGTCCGAAGGGCGCAGTTGGACCACCAGGCATAAAGGGCGAAAAGGGTAACATAGTAAGTACTCAAACTAGTCTAAACCAATTATAAAAAAGAGTTGTTTTTTTATTTTGAAAAATAATTTGATCATAATAATAATAATAATAATATATCTATACACCGTCAAAAGTTTATCGGCTTAACTCTTGCATGATCCCTTATTAACTGCATGGTTTTCTTCTCTTTCCAGGGTATTATGGGTTTGCCCGGAAAAAACGGTTATCCGGTAAAATTCCTTTCAGTTTTTTTTTCTACATTTTTTCTCTCGCATATTTTCTTATTTAATTAAAAGAAAAACGAAAGTTTTTACGTTTCGACACTAAAACTTCAAACGGGAATAAGAAAAAGAGCCTTTTCTCTTTTATTTTTAACTTTTTCTTCTTCGTTTTTTCCTTTTCTTTCTCTTTTTTACCTTTTTTTTTTAAATAACTCTATTAAAGGTTCAAAAGAAAATCCTTTTTTTACCTTTTCAAGCTGATTTAATTAATTAATTTCTAATTAATTAATAACAGAATAATTAAGGTTGAAAAATATCGTTGCAGTATCATGTTTCTTTAAAACAATAACTATCTACGTAAGATGTTTGTCGGCTAAAACTGTTGCATGATCTTCTTACGTAACAGACGGTATATTTTTTACCAATCGGTACCTGGGGAGCATTTTTGCTTGGCCCAGTTATATTTTTCTAAACGTATATTTACTGTATATAAAAAAGGTATTTAAATAAGACCTCTTAGGCCATCAGAAGGGAAGATATCTTCTTTTCTAACATATTCCTTAATATTCTTCTTCAGGGGAACATAGGCCAACCAGGATGGCCAGGTCCTAGGGTAATTAGCCTTTCAAAGAGTTCTTTTTCTATTTTTACTCTTTATTTCTTTTTATTTTTTTATAATACTAACGGTATCCTTTCACTTGAAAGAAGAAAAAACCAATATATTATATAGCCCCTTTTTTATGAAGAGAATGATATTTTTTTATTCTTGATATCCTTGTTCTATTAAGCAAAGAGTTCCTTATTTTTTTTTTCTTACATCCGAAATGGTCTGACAGCTGACCATTTCAATTTCCGCCTTCTGGTTGATCTAAACAAATACTTGTAAATCTATTGTTAATGATTATCTTATTCTTTTCTTGTTTGAAACAAAATCAGGGTTGGCAAGGAAGAAAAGGAAAAAAGGAAAGTAAACTGATAAAAATTAAATAATGAGTTATTTAAAAAGATTAGAAAGAGAGATTGGGAGAAAGAGAGAAAAGAAGAAAGAGA